GCCAAGGCCTTTGGCTCTCCATGGATTACCAGGCCCACTCCACCACCTGCTTGCTGGTGGGCATCCCCCATGCTGAAGGAGGAAGCAGATGGCCCAGGGAGAGGCCCATCTGGCCATGCACACTCGAAGGTCACCGTGCCACTGGGGGTGCCTGCGACATCAGGGGTCGTGGGGCTTCCGAAAGCAGTGTGTCCCCACTTCCTGTGGCCCTGCCGCAGCCCAAAACTCAAAGGCCCACTAGCCCGTAGAAAGGCACACCGGACACCAGAGTGGCCGGGAGCTTTTCTGTCCACAATGCGAGGTGAAGCATCCCTGCAGGTCAGTCAGCAGTTCTCAAACAAGCGGCCCACGAGGGGTGTCCGGCTGCGCGCGTGATCCCGCAAGCACGTAGACCGACCCGCCAGTACCTCCCACGCCGTCGCGGCGCCCCAGCCCCGCGCGCCAGGCCTGGCCTGCGTCCCCGCCTGGCCGCGGCGGCAGCAGGAGAATGCGCGTCGGAAGAGGGCGCCGCGGCCAGAACCACCCTCCGAGGCCCGCGGGCACAGGGCCCGGGAAGGCTGCCATCCACGAACTAGACGCCCCGGTCCCCGCCCCACGGACAACAACTAAGAGAAGCTTCCCGGGTCACAGCCCCACGTCCCCTCACCCCCCACCCCGGGGCCCTCCGAGGTCCTCTGCCGCGCCCACCCTCTACCGACATGCCTAACTAGCTCAGGGCCCAGGCCCCTGGACCTCTGCGACGGGGCGCGCGCTCATCCCCCGAACAACATTGCCCTCGCACACACTGGGGCACCAAGAACAAGATCCGACCCCAGCTTCGAAGTGTGCCCCCAACCGAGACCGGGCAAATCCTAGAGGCCGGGTCCGCAGCGCCGACCAGCAAACCGCGTGTCACCGACCGCAGGCGCGCCAGGACCCCTGGCCCAGACAGCGTGGCCAGGGCTTGAGGGACACCGCATCCGACTCCCGCAGCCCCCGGCTCCGCTCACCCTCGATGGAGATGACGTGCTCCCGGATCTGATTCTGCAGCGCCAAATCCTCGATGCGCTCGATCAGGTCGTAGATGGCGTAGATATTGGGATGCACGGACTCGAAGCGCTGGATCTCGGCCCGGATGGCCGCCGAGTTGGAGAGCGCGAATTGCTGGGGGGCCCCGCCGGCCAGCTGCTGCGAAGGGCCGCCGCCGCCCCCGGCCCCCGGCCCCGCACCGCCGAACTGCCCGCCGCCCCCCGCACCACCGCCGCCGCCGGCCCCCGGAGCCGCCAGGCTCTGCTGCTGCTGCGGGCTCTGTCCGCCGCCCGCCTGGAAGTTCATGGCTCCGGAGCCGCGGGGCCCGAAGCGGGCCCGGCTGGGGCCCGGGGCGGCGCGGCGGCGGCGGCGGCGGCAGCAGCCGCGGCGAGCGGGCGCGAGGGGGGCTGGCGGGGCCGGGACTACGGAGCCGGCGGCACGGAGCTAATGCATGGGGCCGAGGGCCGGGGGCCGAGGCCGGCAGGCACCACCGCGCACGCTCTGGGCCGCCGCTGCCGGGCGCTTCCCGGGACCGCGATCCCGCTGCCTCGGAGCAGCAGCCTCCAGCGGCAACAACAACGGCCCGGGAGCGCGCGGCCCGGGCCCTCCCCACACGTCATGCGCACGCACAGCCGCCCCCGCCAGCTCCGGCACTCGCAGCCCGAGCCCCCTCCCCGCCGCCCCCGCCCCTCGCGCGCTCGCCCGCCCTGCAGCCTCCACCCCCAAGCCGCACACTCCAGCCCTGGCGCCCGGGGCCCTCCCACCGGCCGCGGCCCTTCCGCCTCCTCAGCCCGAGCCCCCTCCCACGCCGCCTCGAGGGCCGCTCGCTCAAAGGGTACCGCTGTCCCGGCCTCCTCCCAAGGCCTGGCTGTCCACCCCGCCTCTCGCTGCACCGGTCTGGGCGGGTATCCCAAGCGGTGTCCTGCGCCTCAGGGTGCAGATTGGAGGCAGAGGAGGCGGTCCCAGCCTCGGTGCGGCGCTGTCTAGGCGGTGTCCTGTCTTCAGAGAGGTGCCGCACCTGCTCCAGGTGCTCAAGGCCCTGAGGTCTAACTGTAGCCCACCCCGCCGCCCAGGTTCTCTCCGTGGCTCTCCGCCCGGGTTCTGCACTGCTGGCTGCGTCTCCGAGGCTGGGATGGGTTCCCGGCTCTTATTTCCAGTTCTAAAATTCTCCTTGGGCGGGTGTTGGAAGTGGCACTTGGAGCTTTAAGGTTTCCCATCCCAGTCTTCCTGTAGCAGCCTGTGCAAGAAGACCCTTCCTATGAGAAGGATCGCTGAATGTTGCCAGAAGCAGTTGATATGCCAGGAAAGAAGAGGCGCGAATCAAATGTGCCTGCTTCTGCTGCCCACCCCCATATAGTTCCTTAGTCCCTTGTCCATTCTGTCGTTCCACTGTCTCCTGGGTCAGAGAGCCCACATTCTCATTTCCAAAAGGGGTTCATAGTCCTAGTCCCTGCCCCACCCTCACCCCGTAACATTTCCTGGAATCCACAAGGGGTGGCAGGCACAGGGAAGTGATCCCAGCCAGTAAATCGGCCATCACCTTTTCTACACACACGTCACTTCTCAGGGCCAAGCTGGACAGATCTGCCCGCCATATGACCCATCTACTATACCTCAAACCAACACAAGTGACCGCAACGGCGAGAGCTGAGCCAATTCAAAGCCAAAGCCTCTTTGGGGTCTCCCGCACTGAAGCAGGGTCCCACAGCTTTGGGCTGCCCTTGACTGCTTTCCCAGGCCACAAGCAGGGAGCTGGATGGGAAGCAGGGCTGCCAGGTCACAAACTGGTGCCCATATAGGATTCTGGTGCAGTCAAGGCGAGGACTACACCACCGAGCCAGGCCCAAGAGCTCTGTGATTTTTTTTTTTTAAGATTTATTTTATTTTTATTGGAAAGTTAGATATAAAGAGAGAAGGAGAGACAGAGAGAAAGATCTTCCATCCGATGGTTCACTCCCCAAGCAGTCTCAATGGCTGGAGCTGAGCCAATCCAAAGCCAGGAGCCAGGAGCTTCTTCCAGGTTTCCCATGGGTACAGGGTCCCAAGGCTTTGGGCCATCCTCTACTGCTTTCCCAGGTCACAAGTAGAGAGCTGGATGGGAAGCGGAGCTGCTGGGATTAGAACCGGCATCCATATGGGATTCTAGTGCATGCAAGGCAAGAACTTTAACCACTATGCTATCGTGCGGGGCCCTGCTCTGTGATTTTTTAAAACCAGTAACTAACATCTCCTTTAGTTAACATTTCAATAGAATTGACAGCAAGAAATTGCCTGAATATGTTGTGTAAGAAAGATAGCAAGGATGGGGGCTCTTCAGTTCCTCACACCAGTAATCACACACCTGCCTTAGTACTGCTGGCCCATTCACACATGGGTGTCTGCAGTGAGTCCTGTGAGGGAGACAGGGTGAGGGTCTGGTTCACCACTGTATCCTCGCTGCCTGTGGACTTTGCTCTGTGCCGTGGCTGGAGTTCATGTACTGCTAACACATGTTTGTGGGATGATTATTTGGATGAATGTGAAGAAAGGAACTAAAGATTAGGTTTGTATGTCACATGTCTAAACTGACGTTCGCAAGGTATCATTCGGAGTGTGCTCCAAGTAGGCTTACGCTCTGGGTAACTAGGGTAGATTACTTTTAATCTAGGCTGGCCTGTAAAAATCCAGGATGTGAGAAGTTCAGAGGAAGCAGAGAAGAATCACAAGGATTAGACCAGACTAGGCTGGCACTGAACATCCTTTGTAATACTCTATTGACTCAGTTTACAAGCCAGGTTTAGGTAGAGGGTGTGTCCTAATGCTAAGACAAACAAACATCCACTGTGGCTTTCACACATATTTAATAAAACCTTCCATCCACTCATTTGTCAGAATGGAGGCAGAAAGTACGTTTTAGGGAAAAAAATAAAACTCAAATTCAAAACATATTTATCAAAAGATTCATTTTTATTGAAAAGGCAGATTTACAGAGAGAAAGAGACAAAAAGATCTCCCATCTGCTGCTTCACTCCTCAAATAGGCGCATTTGCTCCAGCTGAGCTGATCCGAAGCCAGGAACCAGGAGCTTCTTCCAGGTCTCCCACGTGGCAGGATCGCAAGGCTTTTGGGCTGCCCTTTACTGCTTTCCTTGCTGCAAACAGGGAGTTGGATGGGAAGTGAAGCAGCTAGGACATGAAGTGGCACCCATATGGGATCCTGGCGTTTGCAAGGTGAGGATTTAGCCAATCAGCCATCGTGCCAGGCCCTAAATCCAAGAACATTTACTAGTCCACGGCAGGTCAGGCTGCTAAGCATTGTATGTGCATGCCTGGTTGAACAGCCCATGTTTGTTTCACAGTCCTGCAGGGGACCAGGGGAGAGGACAAGCAGAAGGTGGGGAATGGCATCTTCAGCCTGCCTGGTAAAGCATCCCAGGGGTCAGCCACTCCTACATAAGGGTAGGCCGGGATAGGGGCCAGCAGAGTCCTGCAACGCTTTCATCACTGCACCACCAACAGGAGCGCTCTGACGTGCTCCAGCTGACGTTGGCGCCTGGAACCACACCTGCCCTGGTCGCCGGCAGCGGAGGGGGCGGTTCCTGAAACCGCCCCAACCTCTGCGCACTAGCCCAACCTCCCAAGCCGCCCCTGCCAGTCTCTCCTCCTCAGTGATCAAGCGAGCAGGGGCCAGAGCCCGCCGAGCTGCGCACGTGGGTCCGTAGGGAGGAGGGCGGGGACGGCACGGAACTACAAATCCCACAATGCTCCGGACCGCGGCGGCGGGGAAGGAGGGGTGCTTCAGGTGTCTGCGACCTCGGCGCCTCCCGCCCGGAAGTGCCCGAGGGGCCGAGATGGAGCTGGTGGAGCTAGGCGGTGAGTACCCGCACCGTGACCGCGCCCACCCCGCCGCCCCGGGTGCCAGCTTGGTCCCGCTCGCCCCGCCCCGGGATCGCCCGTGGCCTCCCGCGGCTCCGGGGAGGGGGCAGGGAACATGGGAGGGGTGATGGAGGAGAGAGTGTGCGTGTGTGTGTGTGTGTGTGTGTGTGTGCGCGCGCGCGTTGTGTGGCGGGGGGTGAAGTCTGGCAGCTGGGTGGGTTTGGCGAGCCTTCTAGCGCAGACGCGGAGTCAGGCCTCCACGGGTTGGGGCTGGAGTGGACTAGGCGGGGGCCGAGTTGAGTGGGTGGCAGCTCTTAGAGGTTCCAGATTGCCTAAGGGCGGAGTTTGACGTTTGGTGTGGGCGGCAAAGCTCCGGGAGGCAGTCCCGTGCGGCAGGGCGGTGGGTTTGACTGTGGGGTAGGGGTGAGGTGAATGGGGTTGCAGAGGCCCTGGGTTTACCCCATGGAGAAACAGTATCAACTGAAGGGCAAGATGAGCTTAGGGACAAAGTAGATGAAGGGGTAGACAGACCTTCCCGGATGAAGTAGGGTAACTTTGGGGTGAAGTGTGGAGGAGTGTAAATTCAGGGGATGCTTAAAAGGTGCTGGGGGTTTTGTAAATCGAGGAGTTGGTTAAGACCAGAGCTCAGGTGACAGATTAGCTGTTGGGATGGGGTAACAGGAAAAGATAGGAGGAGGCAGGTTTGGGATGTCCGGAGTGAGAATACCCCGCGTTTTGTGAGAGAACGGAGGAAGTGGAGAGCGGTGGTGGGGTGGGCTAGGGAGGACCAGGGGCGGGGAGAGGGGGGAACCAGCCCTTCATGAGATCTTTTGTGCCTCTCCAGCACGGTAGCCTGGCGGGCAAGGCAGGGGCCATGGCCCTGATCGAAGGGGTGGGTGATGAGGTGACGGTCCTGTTTGCGGTGCTGGCCTGCCTGCTGGTGCTGGCACTCGCCTGGGTCTCCACACACACCGCCGAGGGGACTGACAGTACGCCCCAGCCCTCAGCCGTCCCGTCGCCGGGCCAAGTCATGACAGCCCCTGACAGCATCCAAGCAGAGGCCCCAGGTGCCGAGACCTCCAGCCTGAGACACAGAGGCCCAGCTGCACAGCCCGAGCCTGGTCCAGGGGTCACAGCAGCGGCACCACCCCCGGACTCCTCACAGGAACCCCTCGTGTTGCGGCTGAAATTCCTCAATGATTCAGAACAGGTGGCCAGGGCCTGGCCCCACGACACCATTGGCTCCCTGAAAAGGTAAGCAGAGGAGGAGAGCAGGCGGTGGAATGGGGCAGGGGTTATGGCTGGAGGGCCACCTGAGGTGGGTGAGCTGTCCCCCATGTGGGAGGGAACCCAGCTGCCCCTGTCCCACACCGGAGCCCACTTGTTTCCCTGGTGGCTTAGGCGGTGTGGTTCTGGGGCAGCAAGTAGGACTGCCTGAGGCCTGCTCTGTTACCCAGGTCCCTCTCTCCTCAGGACCCAGTTCCCCGGCCAGGAACAGCAGGTACGACTCATCTACCAAGGGCAACTGCTAGGAGACGACACACAGACCCTCGGCAGCCTTCACCTCCCCCCCAACTGCGTCCTGCACTGCCACGTGTCCACGAGGGTCGGTCCCCCACATGCCCCTTGCCCGCCGGGGTCAGAGCCAGGCCCCTCCGGGCTGGAGATCGGCAGCCTGCTGCTGCCGCTGCTGCTGCTACTGTTACTCCTGCTGTGGTACTGCCAAATCCAGTACCGGCCCTTCTTCCCCCTGACCGCCACTCTGGGCCTGGCAGGCTTCACCCTACTGCTCAGTCTCCTGGCCTTCGCCATGTACCGCCCGTAGTGCCTCCAAGGGCCCTCGGCAGCATCGCCGGCCCCTCTGGACGTTGCTCCCCACGGCACAGTGGGAACTGCTGTCTGCCCAGGCCCACGCCTGCGGCCTGCCTCTTCCCGCTCCCTTGGAGCCCAGCCCTTCGCCGCCGAGGGCTCCGGGGGCTGGTGGAACCCCCTGCCTCTGAGCAGCACGGCTCGGGGATCCCTCCTAGGGCTGCTGGCCCTCAGCCCTCGCTGACAGTGGGCCCCTCGGGATCAGACACCTGCTGTCGCTGCCTTGGCCCTGGGCAGAGCCAGACCACTCCCTTGGGCCCATCTTAGTGTTCTGCCTGTGGACCCAAGCCATTGGGCTGATTTAGGGACGCACGGACAGTGGTGGGATGTGACCGGGGCCGAGGTCAATGACATGTGTGCAGATTAAAGTAACTGTGAAATTTTCACTCTTAGTGTGTGTCTGTGGGGGGCTGGGCCCTGGACCCCTGGGAAGAAAGGCAGCGAAGGACAGGCCCGGCCCAACTGCCCCTGCCAGCCGAGCTCACTTCCTCTCTTCGCCCTGTCGCCCTGGCGGCAGCCTGGGGTCCCGCGGCCCCGCCCCCTCGGCACTGGGCCCCGCCCCGGGGTGCGCACGCATCTTCCGGAAGCTGGGGCGGGGCCCTTGGCATCCCGGCTCGCGGTGCCTGCCGGGAGCCACGTCTCCGCTGGCCAAGCCAGCGCTGCACCGGGATTGGCGTCCCGGTGGCGATCCCGGGGCTGCTGGGAAGATGGCGGAGAGTGTTACTCGCGGATGAGGAGGCCGCGGGGGAGTCCCGGCCCCCGGGCCCCGAGACCGACTGAGGCGGCGATCTGCGCGGGGCCTGGGGAGTCATGTACGGGTGGCGCCTGTGGGACGGGCCCAACCAGGTTGGGGAGAGGGGTGGGAGCTGATGTGAGCTGGTGGCCACGGTCCCCTGGTGTCCCCGGGCTGGACGGGGAGTGGGGGGACCCCAGCATGTCCGAGTCGGTGCCGTGGCAAAGATGCGCACTTGGGTCTCACCCACGCCCAGTGAGTGGCAGCTGTAGTTGCATTTCCCTGGTGAAGAGATTCAGGCAGAGAGATGAAGCCACTTGGCCAAGGTCACGCAGCTGGTAAGTGGGAACGCCCAGCATGGAACCCAGCAGTGTCCAGCTGCGGTTCGGTGTGCGTGTTCCACCCTCTGGGCCACCGCCACCACCTCCTCCTGCGGGAGCAGGAGGTAGCCAGGAGGGCATCTCTCTAGGGCCTCCTGGGCTCTATACTGGGTGCCACCACTAACTGGCGAATGACCTCAGCCTACACCTCCTGGCCACTGTGGCCTTGGTTTCCACATCCATGAGACGAAGTGATGCCAGCCCTTCCTGCCCTCCTAGGCACGTGTAAGCAACACCAGAGGGGAGAGTGCATGGCAGCCGCCTTGTAAATGGCGCTGCCCCAGCACACCCAAGGTTTACGATGTGTGTGGTTTGGAAGGAGTGGATGGGGGCAGAGCAGTCCTAGAGGGTTGCTCTGAATGGGGAGTGAGGTAACGAGCAAATAGCTCCTTTGGAGAAAACCTCACCTCCTTTTTCTGGGCTGCCCCTTAGGGTCTTCATCACCCAACTCCATGCTTCGAGTCCTGCTGTCTGCCCAAGCCTCCCCTGCTCGGCTGTCTGGCCTGCTGCTGATCCCGCCAGGACAGCCCTGCTCTTTGGGGCCCAGCAAGTGGGGGCACCGGCCTCTTGGAGGAGGTCCCCAGGCCGGTCCCGTACAAGGACTGCAGCGGCTTCTGGAACAGGCAAGGAGTCCTGGGGAACTGCTACGCTGGCTGGGCCAGAACCCCACCAAGGTGCGCGCCTGCCACTACCCAGTGGCACTTCGTCGCCTGGGCCAGCTCCTGGAGTCTCAGCCTCGGCCCCCTCCCGTGGAACAGACCACCCTGCAAGACTTGAGTCAACTCATCATCCGAAACTGCCCCTCCTTTGACATTCACACCATCCATGTGTGTCTGCACCTTGCCGTCTTACTTGGTGAGGAGGGGTTGGAGGGGGCTCGGGAGAAGGGAGCAGTGTTCCTGCAGCGGAGAGGCCTGAAATGGCGGACAGGCGCTAGGATGACGCATTGCGAGGAGGTGCACTTGCAGCTTCCCTTCCCCTGTCCATGGCGGACATGAGTCAATCGGCATTCCCAGCATTCCTTCCAGCCTCGCTCAGGCTCCCTTCAGTGGGAAGCTGCTTTGTCCCAGTTGGCCCGAGGGGAGAGCTTACTGGTCATCTTTGTGTAACACTTTCCCCCCTGCAGCCCATGTGCTGATAACTCAGGTTCTCATGATAGCCAGTGGTTCTGCAGCGTTTCCACCTAGACCCCAGCACACCTTCCCATGCAGGAAATGGACGAGGAGAGGGGGAATGGGGATTCACTAACCCCACAATCTGAAGGCACTCACAGGCCTGCCAACCACCCCTCTCCCTCAGGCTTTCCACCCGATGGGCCTCTGTGGCGTGCCCTGGAGCAGGAGCGCCAGTTCCGCCTCTCTCCCAAACCTTCCAAGCCACCTCCCTCTCTGCAGCCTGCCCTCCATGGTGGGCAGAGGCTGGAAGCTGCCCTGAGCTGCTCACGATGGCTGCGTTATCCACGGCAGCAGCTGATCCGCAGCCTGGCAGGTGCTGGAGTGGGTCACAGGCAGGTGGGTGTGGGGGAGGGGGATGTGGTGCAGGAGCAGAGGACACTGAGGGCTAGAACCTAGCCTGTGGGGAGGGGGGAAGAGGAGGCCTGACCTGATGGTCCAGCCTAACAAGCTTTTCTTCACAGAGGCAAGACCTGAAGAACTGACTCCCCATGTGATGGTGCTCTTGGCCCAACACCTGGCCCGGCATCGGCTGCGGGAGCCTCAGCTTCTGGAAGCCATTGCCCACTTTCTGGTGGTCCAGGAAACTCAGCTCAGCAGCAAGGTGGGCCTAGCTCCCAAGATCTTGGTAACTCCTCCACTCTATGTCTGCCTTGGCTGGTCTCTGCCTCCAGCAAACACTGCAGCTGGACCCCTCTGCTCTGTGCTCCAGGGCCCCCATATTTGTGACTGTCCTTTTAGCAGCCTGTCTACCAGCTATCAGGACCAGCATCCATGCCAAGTATACAGCTGCCCAGAGCGCTCAGTGCCATACTAGTTTGATCAGTCCCACTACTTGTCTTTAGGGCCACACTCCACAGCTAAATCTCCCAAGATACTGCTTATGCTGTTGGGGGCGGTATGTGTTAGAGGGATCAGCCTCCCTTTACTGCAGTCTTGGAGCTAGAGGGACCATTCTCCCTTTGGCCTGAGGGCCAAGGCAGGCCAAGCCCTGCCTTGCAGAACAGATTGGAGAGACTTCGCGCTGGGTCACACTGTTCTCCCGGCAGGTGGTACAGAAGCTGGTCCTGCCTTTTGGGCGGCTGAACTACCGGCCCCTGGAACAGCAGTTTATGCCCTGCCTGGAGAGGATCCTGGCTCGGGAGGCAGGGGTGTCGCCCCTGGCCACGGTCAACATCCTGATGTCCCTGTGCCAGCTACGCTGCCTACCCCTCAGAGCCCTGCACTTTGTATTCTCGCCGGGTTTCATCAACCATGTTAGTGGTATGCACACAGTACGGCTGGCAGGGCCCTGAGGGCCTGGGAGAGTGGGCGCGCTCTGCAACCCAGCGAGCTGCCGATCCCAACTCCCCCACAGGCACTCCACATGCTCTGATCGTGCGTCGCTACCTCTCCCTGCTGGACACGGCTGTGGAGCTGGAGCTCCCAGGATATGAGGGTCCTCGCCTGCCCCGAAGGCAGCAAGTGCCCATCTTCCCCCAGCTGCTCACCACTGACCGTGCCCGTTGCAAGTACAGGTGGATGGGGTAGCTTGCGGGGAGGGAAGGGGACACTCGGAAAGCACTGGGCGGAGCAGCCAGAGAGCCCATGTTATCTGCAGGCTGCGACACTCCAGCAGTCATAGTAACAGAAAATGGGCCCAGGATGGCGGTGCCTGACACTGGGACAGACTAGGATGGGACTGCAGGAACCACTAACTGTGCCCTTCCCCCTTCCCCAGTCACAAAGACATTGTAGCTGAAGGGCTGCGCCAGCTGCTGGGGGAGGAAAAATACCGCCAGGACCTGACCGTGCCTCCAGGCTACTGCACAGGTGAGTTCAGCCTGGAAGGGCAGGCAGCAGGCCCCAGGAGACAGCCACAGCTAAGGCCTTGGCCCTCTCTGCCCCTCCAGACTTCTTGCTGTGTGTCAGCAGTTCCGGTGCTGTGCTTCCCGTGAGGACCCAGGACCCCTTCCTTCCCTACCCTCCAAGGTCCTGCCTGCTGGGCCAGACTGCCTCTAGCCTCACTACCAGGGACCCTGTCCAAAGGTAAGGAAGGCAGTGGTGGGGAACCCGGGCTGCATGGCCCACAGCCACCCTGACCCTTGCCTGCTGTTCCTCAGGGTGCTGCTGATGCTGCGGGAACGCTGGCATTTTTGCCGTGATGGCAGGGTGCTGCTGGGCTCCCGGGCCCTGAGGGAGCGCCACCTGGGCCTGATGGGCTACCAGCTCCTCCCGGTAAGCTGCTGCCCTGCCCTGCCCAGCTCTTTTCCACACTCCCAGTCCACAGGTAACCTGCTGCCCTCTCCCCACAGCTGCCCTTCGAGGAGCTGGAGTCACAGAGAGGCCTGCCCCAGCTCAAGAGCTACCTAAGGCAGAAGCTCCAAGCCCTGGGTCTCCGCTGGGGCCCTGAAGGGGGGTGAGGGATGGCCCCCCTATGGGGGGTACACAATTTGCACTTTGGATCCCTATATTTTGGTTTTTCATTAAAGTCTCCTTCCTTCCCCATTACAAGCTTTATTCCTGGGCCAGGGAGCAGGGTTGGGGGTTCCCACTGCCCCCAACAGAGACAAAAGGCCGGGTAGGTGGCAGCTGAAGCACTTTACTGTGGGGGCAGGGGCAGGGGCAGGGGAGGAGGCTTTAAATTATTCACTTAAATAAAAACAAGGAGGGCCTAGGGGCTGCATCCCATCAGCCTCTGTTCCCTCTGTCCCTCCAGGCAGCAGCTACACAGGCATGGGCATCTCGTTGTATTCATCCACGCCCTCCCGCTCATCAAACACCGGCTCCGCCTCATTAGCATCCAGCTGTGGGAGGAGGCAGCTGTTAGGCAGGAAAAGATCTGGAAGCACAAGAGGGAGGTCCCACGGGTCGGAGGGAGTCCTTACACATTTCATCTCTCGCTCAGTGAAGATGCGGGTGAGCACCACCATGCGGAGAGGCACTGTGAGGATGAGGATGAAGGGGAAGGCCAGGGACGCAGCTGTGGACATGACTGCCCAGAGCAGGGCCAGGCAGAGCAGCTGCAGGGCTGTGAACAAGTGCATCCGGAGGGTTCGAACCTGAGGAAGGAAGATAGGGTGAGCCGGGCTTCTCCCTAGCCAGCTTCAGCCAAGGGGTGGAGATGAGCCTCTTCCCCTCCTTAGCAGGTCACCTTCTAAAGTGCCTGGTCTATGCAGAAAGGAAAAGGGCGGAGGAGAGTGGGACAGGGCAGAGGCATGGAGGCCCTCCCTGCTAGGACTCACCTTCTTGACATAAGTGACGTCGGGGTGGTGCTTGGGCGGCATAAGCAGCAGGTGCAGCCGCTCATAGAACTGAATCCCATTAAGGGAGGTGACTCCCATATACAGGAAAATTCCAAACAGCACAGCCAGGGGGATCTGCCGGAGCAGGTCCCCAATAACAATGGAAAGGCCTGTTAGGGGAAGGCGGGGAGGAGAGGAGAGAAGGTTGGCACAGATACTGCATCCCAGTGGCCCGGAGCCCCTCGGAGGGTGGGAGGCAAAGAGCAGCATACCTACAAGCAGGGCTACCAGGAGCCCAGTCACCCGCTGCTCCTTGACCTCCTGAATCTTGGGCTTGTCCCCTGGCGCCACAGCCTTGCTCATGACAGTGAGCGCGTTGGCATGAGTGACGGAGCGGACAGTGGCGGCAGCCAACCAGGGCAGGCCAAATAGAGCACAGATACCACCCATGGCCACGATGAGCAATAGGTCCAGGTGGAAGCCGGAGCCCTTCTGTAGCATGCGCTCCTTCTTGGAAATGATCAACCTGAGAGCAGAGATCAGCCTGCTGCAGCCTGGGCTGGACTCAGCATGCCAGGTCACAGACTTTCCAGAACTCATTCCCAGCCAGACCCTGGGGCTGTTATGGAACTTGGTGGTCACTGTCCATTCTGTCACATTCCCAGCTGCTCTGTCCTGCAGGACAGGCCCCAGCCTGCACCTTGTTCCCGTCCCATATCAGTGGGCCTTTCTGTTGCCAATGAAATGAATTCCAATGGCATAACTGGCAGTTAGAGATCGGTTCCCCAGGCTGGGAGCACTCACGTGGTGATCTGTGTCTCCATGAAGATGAGGATAAAGACCAGGATGGCGGGCAGCAGACTGGCCAGCATCATCCACACAGGGAAGGGGCTTTTCTCTCCCAGGGGGTTGATGACCCAGCCCCGCTTGTCAGGAGCTGTCACTGAAAATCCACTGGGCACACTCAATTTCTGCAAGGCAGAGGGGTGGCAGAGTGGAAAAAGCTTGTCAACGGTCCAGTTTAAGGATAGCTACATTGGAGGCCAGAGTGGGAGGGGGCACCCAGAACCCAGGCTCACTGTAGCACCTCTGCACCAGCCTGTGCCTCCCCAGTGCTACATGGGCAACACCTTACCTGGGTGTAAGTGTCTTCAATGCTATAATCCACAAGCACCATGATGAGGATCGCAATGGGCACCCCGAAGTCCCCGATGACCCGCCGGATCTGAGTGGGCAAGCATGGTGCTCAGAGGCCGTGTGGCCTACAGCTATCCCCATCACCCCCCAGTCACTTGCCCCAAGGATGCCTCCAGCCTGTAAACCCACGTACCCGGCCAGGGAAGAAGCGGCTGTTCTTGAATTTGCGCAGGAAGAAGGCAATGAAGAAGGTGCCGGCCATTAGCACCAGTGACAGTAGGGCTGTGTTGGGCTGGCCCCGGGGTCTTATCTGCCCAGATTGTCTGGCTGAACTCCTATTGCTTGGCCCCAGAGTGGTTTCCACCCCAGCCCACGTCACATTCTCGCTGCCATCCACCTCTGAGCTGTTGGAGACTGAACAGCCATGGAGTGGGTGCTCCTGGAAGATCTGGACAAAGCAGGCCAACACGTCAGCAACACAGCAAACGGAGTTCCTGAGGGTGCAACTGGACTGGGGTCGGGGCAAAGCCAGCCTGTCTGCCAGGAGCTTCTGCTGTTAGATCAAGAAGACGGCCCAGGGAAGCAGCTCCAATCCTAGGGCCACGTGGGATGAGGCGAGGGCTACAGGAGGCCAGGCAAAGGCAGTGGGTCAGAGTGAGGAGTGTGGCAGCAGCCAGGCACCAAGAGGCTGGGAGGCAGGTAGCAGAGGCCTGGGAGTGCCACCTCCAGCACCCACATGGTGACTATGTGTTGCCTCTGGGCATTCCCGCTGCAACCTCCGAGTTGATACTTTAACACAAACATTGTTACCTTATTATAAATAACGTTTTTAAAAAGACTGATGTGAAGCCCTGGTATGTGGACTGATGAGAGGATACTAGGACTCCACCAAAGCCATGCCCAGGGGGCCCCACATCAGCTGGGAATGGCAAGCACCGTCCTCCTGCCCACCTTGATGAGCTTGTAGAATGTCTCATAGATGAAGATGAGGGAGATGAGAAAGGCAAAGATCTCCTGGGTGAAGCGGGAGACGAAACGGACGAGGAAGCTGCCCTCCAGGGCCACCATGAGCAGGGCCAGGAGCACCAACCAGAAGCCAATCCACACACGGCCCACCAGGTACTCCAGCTGGTTGCTGCTACAGAACTGCAGGTGGAAGAATGAGAAGGCGTCAGGCCCGGGGGTGGGAGGATGGAGGTGGTGGTAGCAGTGGCGTGGCTAGCAACAAGAGCACCCACCGAGAAGAAGGCCTCCTCGAAGACCAGCAGAGGTCCAGAGAAGCCGATCACCAGCAGTGGCTGGGCCCCCAGCAGGCAGAAGATGACCCCCTGCAGCGCCGTGGACATGATCAACTCTGACACTCCTATCAGGTCCTGCGTCTTCTCTCCTGAGGACACGTCAACGGCTCAGCTGCTGGCAGCTGGGCCCCACCCAACCAACCAAAATCCCTGCTTACCCAGCAGCCCTCCAAAGGTGATGGCTGGAGACAGAGCAGCAAAGTAGATGAAGATGACGGCAGCCAAGCACTGGGGATCAAGTGCATCCCGGAAGTCACTCAGGTAGTGTGGATAGCGGCGTCTCACATCGCGAATGAGGCCCCCAAAGGGTCTGCCTGTCCGCCGCAGCGGATCATCATCTTCAGCTGCACCTGCCGCCTCTACCATCTGCAGGAGCGCTGCAACCCAGGCCTCCGTCAGGGCACCCGTGGGCCCCTCTTGCCCACCCTGCCCAGCCTTCCTCTGTGCACACACACCACCTGCCATGGCCAGGAGCACTGCCACCCAGGCATCTCTCGGGGCTGCTCAGGCAATATCGCCCACCCTTTTCCCTCCTCAAGGCCACAGGTCAGCACGGGCCCGTACCCTTATCTTGGGCAGACTTGGGCTCGAGCCCAGCCCCAGGAGGCAGCAGCCGGCCCTGCTCCTCACGCTTCTTGAGCATCTGGCGTTGGAAATGGGCGACAGAACGCAGCAGCTCCTCGCCCTGCACCTCTGAGGGCGGCAGCACCACGCTGCAGTCCAGGAAAGCGTTGATGGCGGTCAGCAGGTCATCCCGCTCGTCTGCCAGGTAGGCTGCCTCATGGAATTGCTGCCAAAGCAGGAGGGTGATCGGGAGGGGTGCCAGGGGGAAGCTCTAGGTCAGGGAGCTGGGACAGCAGAATCGGGCTGAGGCTAACTGGGAAGATGGGGCAGAGGGGATGCAGGGTGGTCCACATTAACAGGGCCCAGATGAGGAAGGACACCGACCTTGTCAGACATGAGGGTGGAGATGGAGCGACCTATCTCATGGTAGTCCATGTTGGCGCTGCTCGGACCCAGCAGCAGGAAGAGAAAGCGCACAGGCACAGGCACCTCCAGCACCGCATCCAGTTCTACGGCCTCCCGTAGCCGCACGAAGGCCATGGTGGGGCGGGAGAGGAACTCCACGCAGCCTAGGGGCATGAGGAGTGGGTGAGAGCAGGTGCAGGACCATCCTCAGCCACCAGGCCAGGAGGAACCCCGAGACCTGGCTGCAGAATCCCCCTCTCCCCGAGACCTGCTTGTCCCACGTACCCACAAGGACCACAGTTGCCTCAGCATTCTCCGGGATCTTCTCCAGAAGCTTCAATTCATGCTTGGACTTGGAGCGAGTGATGCCGGCTGGTGGGGCCTGAGGTGGCAGCTCACGCTGGATGGATGGTGGGGAAGGGAAGTCAGCCCACACAGGCTTGCTCATGGTCCTGCACAAGCCCCGCCTTTGCTCTCCTCTCACCTCTCGTTCCACCTCCAGTCGGGTCTCTGGAATGCCTCCGATGAGCGGCTCGGTGACGTGAGGGTCGCTCTCGGCCCCCTGACCATGGTGATGGCCCAGCAGGGAGCCCAGGGAGCCAGCCGAGATATTGCGGGGGAAGGAGAAATCCTTCTCGTCACTTGGGTGGCTGGGGGGGGGGCAGGGGACAGAAGGGGTAGTGAGCTTAGACAGAAGGGGTGGTGAGGGGCTGAGGACATGGGCTTAGGGACAGGCAGGAAGGGCAGGGTGAGCCCCCTGCCCGCAGGGCCTCACCTGTGCTTCAGCAGCAGGGCCCGCAGCACGTTGGCTCTGTCCTCAGCCTTGATCTGGTCCGAGATGACCATCTGCTCTACCACCTGGTGAGCCACTCCAGGCAGGGTCTGCTGGTCCAGGTCCAGGAGCACAGCCCCTAAAGTACAGGCAGCAAAGACTCCTCAGCACTTCATCAGAAAACTATGAGGGATGGTAGCAGGGATAAAACAGAAGGCGAGCCTGGAGGTTGCCGGGGTAGCCAGGAGTGGGGTGTGATCCATGGGATGGACTGCAGCCCCAGCTACGTCCCATGCCTAAGTCACACTGCCTCTGATCTCTTTCTGTGCTCCCAGATCTCACCTCAGGAGTGCATGAGGACCGCAGAGTACCAAGCCTCATTCACAGATGCTCTAGGCCGAGAGCACCCAGCCTCCAGGGGATGCTCCAGGCTGCTTGCCCCAGCCAAAGCCTCTTCATTGTTAGAAAGTCCCTCCTGGGGCCAGCATCAGCACATAAACCTCTACCTGCAGGGCCAACATCCCGTGTGGATACTGCTTGAGTCCCAGCTGCTCTACTTCCAGTTCAGCTCCCTGTTAATGTGCCTGAGAAATCAGCGGAAGATGGCCCAAGTCCTTGGGCCCCTGCACCCATGTGTGAGATCCAGAAGCCCCGGGCTCCTGGCTTTGGACTGACATATCTCTAGCCATTGTGGCCATTTGGGAAGCGAACCAATGAATGGAAGATCTCTCTCCTTATTTCTGTAAATCTGCTTTTCAAATAAAAATAAAGCTCAAGTCATTAGGCCCCTGCACCCACATGGGAGGCTGAGAGGAAGCGCCTGGCTTTAGATTGGCTCAGCTCAGGTCACTGAGATCATTTGGGAAGTGAACCAGTGAAAGAAGGATCAATCTCTCTCTCTGTAAATATGCCTTTCCAATAAAAATAAACAATTTAAAAAATTTTAAATATATATATGCTTTTTAAAAAGATGTATTTATTTTTATTGGAAAGGCAGATATACAGAGAGGAGGAGAGACAAAGATTTTCCATCCAATGGTTCACTCCTCAAGTGGCCACAACAGCTAGAGCTGAGCTGATCCAAAGCAGGAGCCAGGAGTTTCTTCTAGGTCTCCCACGTGAGTAAAGGGTCCCAAGGCTTTGGACTGTTCTCAACTGCTTTCCCAGGCCACAGGCAGGGAAGCAGGGCCACTGAGATTAGAACCAGCATCCATATGGGATCCTGGCGAGTTCAAGGCGAGGACTTTAGCAGCTACACTATCATGATAGGCCCTATTTTTTTTTTTTAAGGTAGTCCCTCCTCCCTCTTGGTAAGCTATATGTTCATTCTAACCTCTGGATGCATGTCATGGCTTTGTCTGCATGACAGCCCTTGGGCTATCTGAGAATGCCCCCTCCACCCCAACAATGTCCACTTCCCCTCCACTCTGTCCAGTCCAAAAACCATTCCCTGGGCAGCGTCCGGACCTCCCTCCACCACTCTATATAGAAACAGAAAAGTCCCTTCAAAGTCGCCAGGTCATAGTTCTGGCAAGGTCAACTTTCAGGAACAAAGAGCTGAAGAATAAACAGAAGTGAAGGCCCCTGGGCAGCCAAAACAGACATGGCAAAGCCACAGGGCGATAAAGAGCTCGCTTTCTGGCATGTGACCCACAGCACTCAAGCCTCACTCGGAGCCTTTTTGCTTTCAGCTGGGAAACAGTTCAACCAGGGGCTGCTCAATACTTGGGAGGAGTCGGCCCTCTAAGCAACTGGGAACGACTGATGGGCAGGGGGCGCACATGGACAGCAGAACACTGGACACAGGCTGGAGTGCCTGTGCCAGCCTCAGGCTACAGACCAGCCGGAGGGATTCCCTGGACTCTGATATTAACAAAGCATGCAAGGAACATGCACAAACTGTCCATCACAATAGTTGCAAAACAGCTTGCCACCCCAAGCCCATCAGTTTCTGCTGTCTGGAAACACCATGTACAGAAGCTGTTCACTGCCAAGGCCAAATAGTGACGGACACATCACTCCCACCCTGGTAGCCTGCAGGATCCTGGGGCCAGGAGGATGCTCCCTCCCTGACAATATGCACAATATGCAGTGTGTGCCTGGACAGACTGGGGCCACCTGACTCTCAGGGAACAGGCCTAAGAGTGGGTTAGGGGCTAAACAGGGCATTCCCAGAGAGAGGCAGGGTAGCCTTACCGTGCGCCAGGGTCCGGCGGAGCTCCAGCAGACTGCGGAAGGACAGCGAGGCCACATGAGGCTTCCCCCAGCGCTCCGTCTCCTCTTCCACATCCTCCTCAAATTTGATCCAGCGCGCTGTCTCCCGCCACTGAGGCTCCTGGTTTTTGTCCAGGAGCAACTCGTTGAGCTCCACAAATACCTGGGGGTGAGATGAGAAGGCACTGCAGGGTGTAGAGCCCCAGGCCACCCTGGGGTGGGAGTGGTCCCAGGGTTTCTGCTGGGAGCACAGTGTGGCTCCCAGCTCACTGGGTAAGGGACTGACCAATCTAGTACTTGGACTCTAGACACACTGGTCAATCTAGTACTTGGTTTCTCTCAGCTGCAAAATAGGGATAGTGACATCTGCCTTAAAGGACCAATCGGAGAATTAAAAGAGCACAGAAAATAATTGGCTCCTGGACTCAGCCTGATACACAGTCCCTTCCTGTGAGACAGAGGGATCTCCTGCGGCTCTATTCTCGTGCATTCACGAACCCGCATCATTCACTCCAAGTGACAGAGGAATGGGCACCGGTGGAGAATCCCAACCAGCTCAGGGCACGACTGTGGAAATGTTCTCTACTTAAAGTGGTGGTTTCCAGGTGTTGCGTGAGCTGAAGACAAGTGAAAATTATGGTATGTCTATTATTCCTCAATAAAAAGGCTCCAAAAATACACCGAGCCAGGGAGCAGAGCACTGACGACTACGCTGGGCAGTGTCCCTCAGTAACAGCATGACCTTGGCCAAGTTACAGCCACCCGGTTTATGGCTGGCACCACCTGTGCAGCCATGCTCACAGATTGTTGGGAGGAGCTCAAATGCATCCAGAGATGACCGGCTTGGAAAACGAAGGGCAGTACCCACAGCCACCTCTGGCCCAAAGGGTCGTTTTGTTCAAACCAGAAAAAGGCAGTTGCTCCCCACTCTAACACCTCATGGTCACGCCGTGCACTCATCCACCGTGTCTCAGGCGTGAATCATAACCACAACACCCAGACCCACAGGCGCCAGGACAAGCTCAGCGCACTCCTGCAACCTCTGCGACCAGAGTGGGGTGACCCAAGTCCCAGTGGCCTAGGAAGAAAGGGCATGGAGCAGAGACTGGTACCTCATGGGGCTTGTGGGGGGCCCGAGGACGGGCTCGAGGCGTGGGGCCAGGCTCACGCCCTTCCCGACTGCTCTGGGCTGACCCTTTGGCATTCTTCCGCACCAAGTGCCGCCGCACCCCAGGAACGTCCTCGAACCGGTGACCTGGCCGGGGAAAGAACCAGGGTCAAGGTTCCCCTTGTCTGTGGGACTCCTTTTCCCACCCACGATGGATGGAACCCAGACCCCAGCACTCACTCTTCATGAGGTCTAGATCAGCTGTGGCCAGCGTCTGGGCCTCGCTCTCGTCTGTGGGGACACGAGGGAGCAGGGCCTGTTCAACCCCGGTCATGCTCCCGATGCGCCTCCTCTCCTGAAGGTTGTAGCTGCGATGTCCAGGCTGGGCTTTGGTGAGGGGGCGCCCCGAAGCACCCCCATCGTCACCTCCTGCTGTGGCACTGGCCACCGCCACCACCTCTTCCAGTGGGACTCTAGACACACGGAACAGCCTTAATAAGCCCAAGAAAGTCAGCCTCCTCCCCTGCAACCTACACCAGGCAGGGGAGGGCGGGGAGAGCAGGGAGGGGACCGCCCTAGACCCCGCCTCCCCCTACTTCAGATGAGGAAAGAGGGAAACTTCTGATAGAATGCCTGCATTAAATCTCAACTCTGCCCTTTCCTAGTTGTGAAGGTATCAAGTTACCCCAAAGTCCCCCCCCCCAATATCAGCTCCTTCCATAGGGGTGTGGGAGGCAAAATTCCGGAACAGGAATAATGCAGGGCATGGCCGTAATGGGTGTTTGGGAGTATTTCCCTGTCTTTGCATTTACTCTCTTGCCCGAGCACGGGACTCAGGAGCTTCCCAGAGTCTGACATTCCTAACCAAAGGGGACTAGGGCTGTGGAACGGGCCCTGGGAACTACAGCCAGCTTCTCTGGGCTTGTGAGGAGGAGAAGCATCTAGCAGCTTGGTGCCTGGGTTAGAGTCCTAGCTCCACCCAAATCCAGTTTCCTGGTTTTGCATACTCTGGGAGCTGGTGGTGATGACTCAAGCACTTGGATCTCCACTACCATGAGAGACCTGGACTCATGGCTTTAGCCTGGCTCAGCCTTGGTGGCTGTGGGCCACTATGCATGCCTGTGTCCATTTAGCCCAGCCCAGCGCTCCTGCCTCTCCTGGTTGTTCGATGGGCCCCTGGGTTCACGGTACACCATGGGCCAGCTCCATCAGCGCAACCTGTCTTCTCAGAATGCCGTACACTCTGCCAAGGGGGGAAATGTGCCCTTCACTTCTGTCAGCCTTTCATGCTAGCTAGCACCCAGAAAACAACAGGTCTGCGATAGTAGTGACCTTGAGTCCAGCTCAAAGTCATCTCCTCCAGGAAGTCTTCTTTGGCTAGTGCCCCTCAACTTGACTCCCAGTCTCCCGCTGGTACTGGGATTTTGTCAGAACCAAGCTACTGCATGCAGTGACAGCTTTCTGGCACCACTTCACACGACATTTGGTTTCCAACTGGGTTGGACTAGCAGCTCCTGAGGAATGAGAGGGTTCCCTATTTCTCTCCAACTCTGGAGTGGTGCTGAGAGGCCACCAGTTCAGCTCCCCAGCCACTGCCCAGGGCTGTTTCTCCTGGCACCAAGGATGGAGGGCCAGGCGAGGGGTTGTGGGGGTAGCTTAGCTTGCCTATCTGTTCATGGCCAGACCATTCTTGGAACCTTAGCTCACACCACCCTTTAATCCCTACTCTACCCAGGTAAAAAGCTTCCCAGGGAGAAAGCTTCCATGTGACCGCTCTGAAGGCTAGGGATGACCCTGAGGCACAGAGGGCAAAAGAAACTTGCTCATATAGTCGGTAAGGGGAAGGACTAGGGCCTGAACCCCAGCCCAGTGATCCCATGGCTTATGTGTTCTCTTGTGTTCCCCCACTGCCTTAGTAGGGGAGGGCCCACTGCCAACTGGGGTGTACTTACCCCGTCTGGGCCCCTTTGGTGGCCCGAGGAGCTGCCTCTTGGTGGGGCAGCAGTGCAGGTGGAGATGGGCTGGTCCGCTCCACCTTCCGATCAGTACCTTCATCCTCCTGGAGAAAGAACTGCAACAGGAGCCCAAGTGAGCAGCTGAGGCCAGCCCAGGGCTCACATGTGGGCCCCAGGAGCCTGGGTCCTCCCTCACCTGTACCGAAGAAGGCAAGATGATTGATGGCTCAGCAGGTGCCCTGGCCCCCTCAGCCTCATTGGCCTCGTCCTCATCTTCCTCCCCCTCTTCAATGGTGGGGGTTTCCCCGGTTGGGGAGGCTCCTGGGCGCCTTCGAGGCTTCCGTCCCGGGCCCTGGGGAGTCTTGCGGCGGCGAGTGTCCGGGGGCAGGTGGGTGGACAGTGGGTGGTGGATGTGGTGGGAGGACTGACGATGGTCTGCAGGGAGGAAGGGGCTTGGCTGCCGGCAGGTACAGCATCCCTCCCTGGCCATCCTGGCCCCCAACCCCAGCCTCTCCTGTTAGTACCCCAGTCCTTTTTCTAACGGACAGTCAAGCTTGGTCCCTCACATTCAAAGTCTTCCTCCCCATAGCTGCGGCCTGGTTCCTCCCCTCCACGAGATCCGGCCTCCTGCAGGATTTCCTCGAAGCGCTCCACGCCCAGGGTGCGGTGAAGTTCATCTTCTTCCTGCTCTGGGAACCCAGGTGTCCCAGGGCCCAAGCTCTCTGGCTCTGGCTGCGAAGAAAACAGGGTGAGAGAACACACAGGGGCTCATGGGAAACTATATCAAAATTCTACCCTGCCCAGTGCTGGAGATCTAGCACCCTCACAGCAGGTCCTTAACACCAGGGATCCAGTACACACATACACACCACCACCCTCCTCCCAGCAGCCTTCCAATGCACTCCCTGAAAACTGTCCTCTCCAGCCTGGGATCTGGGACCACCTCTGCTATAGCCTGTCCCCTGCAGTGCCAGGAGGTCAGCCATCCCACCCTCCTGGTTCCTGTCAGTACAGTCAGTATCAGCTGTAGGGCAGGTGAGGCCACCCTGGAGGCTTGGCAGAAATCCTGTGTGTCCAGCCCTTCTGCACCCTGGAGGGAGGCTGTGGGAACTGAGCAGATCCCAAGACACAGATTGAAGGAGTCTACTTTTGGCTACAGAAAACCTACTGAGCCCCCAAAATAACTTCTAGGGGCGTCCAGGCTTAACTGGTCCCCAATAAGTGGGAGTCACAGAAACCCAGACATTTGGGATAGGAATCTACATCCTTCACCTCCCCAGGACAGCCCCCACACCGCACCCCCTCACAGCAGCAAGCATCCGCCCCCCCCCCCAGCCTGGCTCCACCAGCCCCTCAGGCAGCTGGCCCCGCCTCCCACTCCACCCCCACTCCCCCCACCTGAGTCATCCTGCAGAGTGCCCGCAGCAGACAGCCTGGGCAGAGCCAGCCGGGCAGGGACTGCGGTGTTCAGCGCTCACTGGGGAGAGCTGAGCCGAGCTAAGCAGGGTCCGCCGCTGCCACGGGGCTGGGCAACTGTGATCCAGCCCCCACCCCGCCCACCCTGGGGCCGCTCTCAGCTCTGGGCGCCTCCAAATATTTGCTCAAGAGCTTCTGCACTTGAAGGGCATCAGGACCTCCAAGGGCGTGGGGTAGGCACCCCCTCCATGGCACTATCAGCCGCTAGAGCTAAGAGGGTGAAGGGCGGGTCCTGGGGAGACACTGGAGGAGCTGGAGCCCACAGGGACATCAGATAGGAGAGGGCGATAGGGCCAGGAGGTGGCCTTCTTCCCGCCCAGACATCTCCACAGCCTGCGCCTGGCTCCATGAGCTCGGGCCCCACTCCCACAACAAGCAGCGCGGCAGAAGGCAGGCAGGAGAAAGGACACAGGGAGCCAGCTTGGGGTCAGGGGAGGAGGGGGGGCGGACCCCTCGCACCTGAGGCCGCAGGAGGAAGTCCATGGCCGGCAGGAGCGAACTCGGGAAAGAGGGGAGGACACAGGCCCGGGTCCCTTTCCAGTCACGTGCTCTTCTGGGCCGAAGTGACCAATTACAGGGCTCATTGCGGCAATTGGGGTTAATCATCAAACTCCTTAGGGAAATCGGGAAGGGGAGCAGGGTAGGGCGGTGGCCACGTGGGGGGCTGGGCGGGGCCGGAGGGGCGGGGCCTGCCTTGGTCTGCAAGTCCCGACCAGAGCCGCTCCTGCGCGCCATAATAAAGCCGGGTCACAGCAGGTCGCCGGGTTTGAGTCCCCGGGTTACCAAAGCATTCCACTGAGGCTAAACTACCACCTCAAGAAACTGTTTTCACCGACTCCGCAAGGATTCAATTTTGGTGCCTCAAGTCGCCAGGTCAGGAGAGGGATGGCAGAGGGTCTCCGGAAGGCAGCACAGGTTCCTTTCCCAGGCTTTTACACACACACACACACACTCCATCCCCCCCATTTGGCAGCGACCCTCCGCCAGAACACCTGTGTCTGCCAGGGAGGGCGGCACTGAGGCTAAAGTCTGGGCTCCGCCGACCCGCAGGCAGTACTCACCGTGCGGAAAGACTCTGCGCCCGAGGCGGGGCGCCGGGGGGCGCTGCTCATGGCCAAATCTTAGCCCTTCTCGCTGTCGCTGCGGCTTTCAGAGCAACAAGGTGGAGGCATAACCTGGGTGGGGAGCAGGAGCGACCACCATCGGCAAGCGGCCCAGCGGCGCGCCCCTCCCCCGCGCCCCGGAGCCAAGGAGCCTGGCGCGGCACACGCGCAGGGGTCTCCTGCTCTCGCTGCTCAGGCTCCTCCTAGACTTTGAAGAGGCCTCGGAGTGGCCCTCAGAGGCGGCAAGAGCAAAGAGGAGAGTTATTTATAGGAATAAAAAAGAACAAAGCGAGATGGGAATAGGAGTGAGAAGGAGGGGGGCCGCTAGAGGCCGAAAGACTTGAGCAGAGAGCAAGAAGACGGGAGGAAGTCCGCCAAGAAAACGGGGGAGGAAAGAGTCAAGGCCCTCTCCTGGAGGGAAAGCAACGCGGATCAGGGAGGGAGCGAGAAAGAGAAAGAACAGGAGTGAAACAGGAACCAGGAAGGTGGGCCCGGGGAACAGCCAGAGGGGTGTGGTGGGCAGAGCAGACACCCGTGGAGCAGGAGCCGCTGCTGGGAGGAGGGGGAGGAGGAGGAGGAGGAGGGCCAGGCTGTAGAGGAGCGAGGAGCAGAGGCAGAAAGAATTTTGGAGGCAGCCCAAGAGGCAAGCAGGGTCTGGGAGGGGTGCCCCCTGCTCAAGGCGGCTAAGGGGTGAGGTGCCCCTGCTTCAGTGTCTGTGCCCGTAGACAGGCAGCAGAGAAGGAGGCTCTCCCAGGGTGAAGGGCAAGCTCTCCACTCCTCCACTGAGTGGGAGGGAAGGAAGGGATAGAGGAGGTGGGCACAGGCTGGGTAGAGCTTTATAATGGGGAGGGAGTGGGGTGGGCACAGAAATCCAGAGAAGCAGTCAGGATCCCGCCCCTTCCCACCCCAGCTCAAGGCAGGAAAATCTGAGTGGTTGGGCTGCTACCCTCCTGACAGTGACTGGTGGGAGCGTGCAGATGACACTGGTGGGGGAGAGCAGAGGGGTGCCCCTTCTTACCCAGCTCCCCACAGTGCTTGCTACTGGGGAGCTTAGGTTGCCTAAGTTAAGGTCCCTCGGGTGGATCAGGGGAGGGTCAAATGGTATAGGGGTAGCGGGTAGACTAGCCCAGGATGGAGGGACACACTGCTGGCAAGCACTCCAGCTCAGCTGCAGGTTCCCTTCGCCTCCGCCTCCTGGCAGGCCTTCAGCCTAGGCCAGCAGCGGGCAGAGCTGTACCCGAGGCCCACGATCTAGGAAGGCTGTCCTAAGCACCTGCGGGTGTTCCCTCCCACCTCCAGGCTGTGCCCTCAATGTGTGCTCCTCCTCCCTTCACCCACGCTCCCCTACTCCTCCCCGCTGTCCTGGAACACAAAGCAGTTTCTGTCCACGGCATCGTGTCCATAATCCGTGTGGGGGCACATTCCGGGGACCAGCCCCGACCGGCCCGGAGGATTAACATCGCTCCCCCCCTTGGCCTGAAGGATTAGCACCCTGGACCCCCACTTGGGCATTAACTACAGTCTCAGTGAATTCCTACATTCCACAGCTGTGGGATGTGTGTCCACCCTGGGAGAGGAGGGGGGATAGAGTGGACCCGGGCTTCCAAACATTGCCGCCCCCCCATGACAGGCACAGAGCTTCTCACACAGATAAATGACCGCCCCTCTCAAGCCGGGTCGCCCCTCTCACGCCGAGTTCGTCTTTCTGATCCCCACCCAACTGCCCCCTCTCTTGAGTGACCCCTCTTCCTGACCTGACCCGCAACGCCCCCCCCCTTGGCTTGGCTCCGCCTCTGAGCCCGGAGATCGGAGCCCAAGGCCGCGGCTACCCCAAGGCGGAGAGTCCTGGACAAGACTGAGGGACACTTTCGCAGGGAGGGGTCTTCTGGAGCCCACCCAGTGGAGCTGTGAGAGTAGCCAGCGCCTCCCAGAGGCTACCCCCTCTTGGTGGCAGGGGGCGCGGCACCTCGGCGTTAGAGAACTTTAAGAAGCGGACCCCAGAATTCCCCACTTCCGACCGGGACTCCGTTCGCCTCCCCATCTTTCACGTCAGGACCTCAGTTCCCCGCGCCCCAGTCTCCGCCCTTTCCTCCACTTCCACTCCTCCCTGCTCGAGTCCCGAGTTCCCCCGCCCCCCCTTCTTCCCCTCTCCCTTCCTCCCTCCGCGGCCGTGGCCTTCCCTGCCCCCTCCCCCGCCACCACCTTTCCGCTTACCCTCTCGCTCTGGACTTCGTGCCCCGGGGGCCTCGGGGTCTCTCCCGGTCCTCCGGCGCCCTGGCGCGCTCCCGACGACTTCCCCGTGCCCACCCCGGGGCGCGCCCCAGCCGCTCCCAACTTCTCCCAACTCAACTTTCCCCCGCGCCTCGGGCAGGCCAGCCCCCAGCGTGCGCGCCCCCCGGCGCACCGTGCGCGGCCCCGCCGCGGCGAGTGGGAAGGCGGAGAGCGGGGGCCGAGAGTAGGGGCGTGGGGGCGCGCCTCCAGGCACAAGCCGGCACGGGGAGTCCGGCGCTGGGAAGCCGCTGCCGCTGCCGCCCGGGGACGCCGTCTTTAACTCCCTCACGGCATTTGTGGTGCGGAAGGGAGCTCGCCTCACGCAGAGGCTCCCGGGCAGGAAAACGTAGGTACCAGACTAGCCAGGAAACTCAGGCTTTTGAGATAATAATGGCATTGGAGTCAGGATTCTTTTGCGCCTCAGCCCTCTCCACATTACCCCCTCAGCGCCTCCAAGGAAGCCTCTCTGTCTGGCCCGGACACGGCGTGGCTGACGAGGGTGATGGCGACCGGAGGTTGGCTGCCTCGTACCCAGATTTGACCTAGGACAAGGAAGCTTGTTTGAGGACTCCCCACTTTGAGGGACAGAGTCTCCTCCCTGCCGCGGCCTCCTCCTCCTCCGCACTGAGTCCTACTCACAGCCACCACCCGTCTTTTTGAAAAACTTTTGTATGGCATCCTGTTTTCTTAGTTACATCACAACTTATTTGAGATAAGGCATCTGTCAGCTTGTCTTTTTAGCCTGCCACGTGGGGTGAAGCGCCGGCAGTTGCGTATGCAAAAGTACTCACATATCAATGAATTAACAAATTGTTAAGCACCGGTTTCTGGTTCCTGAAGTGAAGAAGAGTGCTTATTAGAGGCTGTTTTCGCCCCGTTCACGGCTCGGAAGAGTGCAATCATGAGACAATTAGAGAGAAGCACTGAAAGGTCTCTCATCAGCTGCTTTAAGAGATGAGGTCAAGGCTGCTGCGAGCGTGGCCTCTTGTCTGTGGTCTTGTCTGTAGAGGGGATACCAACCTGTCAGCCCTCTTGGGGCCACACCCTGCCTGGCTCCAGTGGGCTCTGCTCGCAAGGCTGGGATCTGGGAAGGGAGACCTGCCTCGACACGTCGCAGGGGAGTGGCGGGGGTAGAGTTGGGTGGGCTCTGAGACGTCAAATGGGGTCGCCGCTCAAATCCAGCCTGACACAGGACAGCCCTGCCTCCCGACCCAGCCCTGCCTTGTGGTCAGCTGGTCCCCGTGAGGCCGACGGCAGCAAACCAGGGTTCAGAACCAGTCCCCCAATGAACCCTGGGGTCTGGATAAGTGGTGGAGATCCGCGCTGAGATCGTCAGGAGGTCGCCCGGTGCTCAATTAGCATCGACTGGGGCCGAGATGGGCCCACTTGGGTTCGGGATCTGGGCCTCCAAACCTCAAAACCAAAGGCTCCCTACCCACCACCCCGCTGCATTCTGGAACGCGTAGTCCGGAGCGAACCCCTTTTCGAGAAGGCACGCAGAAAAGGAATAACAAGAGCGGGGCACACTGGGACCCGCGGCGTCAAGGTGGGGACGCCGGAGGAGCGGACACGTGATGCTTCCTGGGACTTGAAGTCCGAGGTTGGCCTCCACGCTCGAACGGGAGTCCCGGGAGTCGAGTGCTGCAGAGAACCTCTTCGCAGCCCATTGGGGGTTGTAGTTCTCTTATACGCATTTCCGAACAGTGCTGGGGAACCTGGCCGTCCTAAGACTACAAGCCCCAGAAGCCCTTGCGCAGACAGGAGGTGGGGCGGGGCCGGAGGCTGGGGTGCCGCCTCCTCTGCAACGCCGGGGCCGGGAGTCTTAGAACCCAGGGCCCGCAGGGGTCCCCACGGCCGCCGTGATGCAGAAATACGAGAAACTGGAGAAGATTGGGGAAGGTAATGGAACCACGGGGCGTTCCTGCAAGATCTTCTTCTGCAGACCCTTCAGAATTCCTGGCAGCCCTGGCTCTCCCACGGTCTGCAATACCTACAGGCTCCGACCTCAGCCCTGGTTTGCAGCCCTGTCCCCCGCCCCCCAGGCTCAACACTCGATGCAGACAGCAGTCCTTTCCGTGTTAGCATTTCCCATAGACTCCCCCTCCCAACCTTATAGCGCTCCCTGTAGACCCGACCTCCCCACCGCGGCACTTCCTGCGTTTCCCACGCCTAAGCGTCAACACCACTTGGCACATCCTCACTCTGACCTCCCCCACCCCAACCTCAGCCCTTGTTGCAGATCTCCAGCCTTAAAGTTTCTGCAGGTCCCCCATTCTCTCCCAGAGCCCTGCTGTCTCCAGACTCCCTGGGGAGTGCCGCCTTTATTAGGGACATCCTAACCCTGCGCAGAGCAGACTCTTCCTGCAGCTCAGACCGTTGAGCCTCAACAGGCACCTCCTCGCCCTTTCCTCGCTATCACATCCTCCCTTACAAAGCTCGTCCCAGCCTGGCCTTCACCTGGAAGCCCTTACCCTCTTGCACCTCCACGAATTCCTGAGGTGTGGAGGGTGCCTCATTCTTCCCCTCAACCATGACCTGCTCCCCCCAGGTACCTATGGAACCGTGTTCAAGGCCAAAAACCGAGAGACTCATGAAATTGTGGCTCTGAAACGTGTGAGATTGGATGACGATGATGAGGTAGGTCTGGACCACCGGGGCAGCGGAGAGGCAGCTGAGGGGTGCCATGGATGGGTGGGGTCCGACTGCTGCTCCCTCACCATGCAGGGTGTGCCGAGTTCAGCCCTGCGGGAGATCTGTCTGCTCAAGGAGCTGAAGCACAAGAACATTGTCAGGTGTGTGGGCAGCAAGGCCTCAGGTGGTGGAGGAGGGGGCTTTGGCCCGGGTCGGGGTGCTGCTGGGATGCCTGGCTGAGCCCCTTCTCTGTTCCACCCCCCCCCATCCCCAGGCTTCACGATGTCCTGCATAGTGACAAGAAACTGACTCTGGTGTTTGAGTTCTGTGACCAGGTGAAAGGGAAGAACCTTGCGGAGTGGGGGCGGGGTGCAGGGGCGCATACTGAGATCCAGCTCTCTCCTGTTCTCCTTGCCCCATCACCATCTAGGACCTGAAAAAGTATTTTGACAGTTGCAATGGTGACCTCGACCCTGAGATTGTGAAGGTGAGAGGAGGAGTGTTCTGGGTACCACTCAAGGATGGGGTGCCAATCTATGTCCAGGGTCAGCTCTCCTGTTTAGGCACCAAACAGGGTCTTTCTGGGGGTACGGGGGGGGGCGTTTAGTAAACCCTGCTTCTGCCATCTAGGGGCCTCTAGACTTAGCTGGTGTTTTTTCCTGGTCTTCTTGCACCTGTGCAGTGACATGCTGATGTTAGGGGTATATATGCCCAAGGAGCTGCCTTCTTTCATTCAACAAATATTTACTGAATGTACTAAGCTCCAGACCAAGTGCCTCAGCTCAGGTTCCAGGGGAGTCAGGTCCTGGCAACACTAGAGCACAATGTTAACGTTGTGGCTGGATAGGCTGTTCACTTAGATATGGCCAGGTAGGGGAGAGCGACATGGGCTGGGAAGGCAGGAGGCCATCAAGGCTGTAAGGTCTAGAAATGTGGGGAGCAGAACCAGCTTGTGCACTCCTGATCAACTGCCAACCACGCTACAAAGCGCACCCTTGATGGAGAAGACCTGATGCTCTCCTGAGCTCAGTGCTGGAAACTGGGGGAAGTAGGGCACTCCCCCGCTGCTGGGTCTCGCCTTGTGTCCAGGATGTCTGACTGTCCTCTCTGTCCCCACTCCAGTCATTCCTCTTCCAGTTGCTGAAAGGCCTGGGGTTCTGTCACAGTCGTAACGTACTGCACAGGGACCTGAAGCCGCAGAATCTGCTCATCAACAGGGTACTGCTCAGGCGAGAAGGCAGAGGGTTTGGGGCTGGAGCCCGCTCTAAGCCCACTGAAAAGCCCTACTCCATATATCTTCTTCCTGTTTGCCCTCAGAATGGGGAGCTGAAGTTGGCTGATTTTGGCTTGGCTCGCGCCTTTGGGATCCCTGTCCGCTGTTACTCAGCCGAGGTGAGCTGGGGGGTTGGGATGCAGTGAGCTAAGGGGGCAATCCCCTATGGATTCTTCTCAGTTCATACTCCAGGTCCAGCTGGAAATCCTCACTCCTTCCCTCTGAATGTCCTCTCCAACCTTCTGCCCAGGCCTCTAACTGGGTACCCTGCTGGGCGGGGGGGATCTTCTCTAGGTGGTCACGCTGTGGTACCGCCCACCGGATGTCCTCTTTGGGGCCAAGCTGTACTCCACATCTATCGACATGTGGTCAGCCGGCTGCATCTTCGCAGGTGACTGCCAGGGCTCTGTAGAGGCACAGGCTCCCCTATCTGGGTGCTCCCATAGGGCCCTGGCGGGAGAAGGGAGTAAGGCCCTTGGGTCCGGGAATGGCAGGTACAGGGGCTGCCTCTGAACAAGAAGTGCTCAGTGTTTCATGACTCTTCCCCTCTCCCAGAGCTGGCAAATGCCGGGAGGCCTCTTTTCCCCGGCAACGATGTAGACGACCAGCTGAAGAGGATCTTCCGATATCCTTTTAACGCCCCTGAGTCCACCCAAGGGGGTGAGTGTGTGAGTCTATAGCACAGGTGTGAGGGCAGCAATGGCTTAGCAGAGACATCGGGGCCTGTGGACTTGCTTCTGAGGGTGAGAGGTGGGAGGCAGGTGCACATGTGCAGAGGTATGGCCTGTGGATGGGAAGGCATGCTGGGGCAGCAGACACGATGGTATGCTTCCAGGTGAGAGGAGGATTCTTGGGCCAAAGGAGACAAAAGGAGCAGGGGTTTTGTGGAGGAAGGGGATGAACAGCTGGCTTCTTTGGGATCACAGGCATCAGCACTTGGGTTAGTGTCGGCCACATGTGTGACTCGTCTTGACACTGTGCTGTTGGCACTGCATGTGCAAGTTACCTGCTCAGGACTCTCTTCTGTTCTGAGCCAGGAGGACAGAGTAATGAGGGGCTGTGGAGTCTGGTATAGGGAGATCTAGCCTGGAGGGGGCCTCTTCCCCTGCCCCTGAAGATGAGTGACCCTTGACCCCATGGACACATTGCTGGGGACACCAACTGAAGAACAGTGGCCTGCGATGACCAAGCTGCCAGATTATAAGGTGGGACTGGGAATGGGAGAGATGAGTTGTGATTCCTTGGGGTCCTTCTCAATTCCCAGCTTTGCAGCTGTCCTGTCCCATACTGCTGATCTGACTCCCTCTGTCCCTCCACAGCCCTACCCCATGTACCCAGCCACAACATCCCTGGTGAACGTCGTGCCCAAGCTCAATGCCACAGGGAGGGACCTGCTACAGGTAGAGGGAGGGACCGGGCGGGACATTTGTCCAGAGGGATTTGGGGAGGGTGATACCTCTGGACAACTGACCTGGCCTGACCTGACTCTGCTGCTGCCTTCCTTCCCTGTCTCTAGAACCTTCTGAAGTGTAACCCTGTCCAGCGCATCTCAGCAGAAGAAGCTCTGCAGCACCCTTACTTCTCAGACTTTTGTCCCCCCTAGACCCTGGGCTTCCTGCCTGCCAGGCTGGGGCCTGGCTTATTTAAGCCCCACTCCCAGGAGGGGAGGAACTGTGGGAGGTGCCCTGAGTGCTGCACCCCAGCTGTGCTGGGTCCGGCTGGGGTGGAGGTGCCCTGGCCTGTGGTCTTTACTCCCTCCATGGACTTTATTTAATTTCATAAACTGGCTCCTTTCCCACAGTCTGCTGATGTGGTAGTAGGGTGGCTCTGAAGGGGGTACGTTATGTGCTGGGGGCCCTGCCCTGCCTACCACCCTCTGCAAACTGGCTTCCCCACATGACCCAGCCCAGCTCTAAGCAGCCAAGCCCCAGGGCTGACCCCATTGATGCTAAGAGCAGCCCTGTGCTCTACCCCTTCCTTCCTCTGCCAGGACACAGTCCCAGAGGGTTAGGCAGCCCTCGTGTCCATCTGCAATGGGGAGGAGAGGGTTGGCCCTTTCCTTGTGCTCCTTAGCCCCTGCAGCCCGTCTTGTCCCTTCTTTCTTCACAACCTACCCAGGCATGCAGGCTGCAGCAAGTGAGCACCCCTTCCTGCATTCCCTTACTTGTCAGTTTCCCAGCACACAAGGGAGGCTGGGTTTCTGGCTGGGGCCAGAAGGAAGAGGCCGTACCTTCTACTCCTCCATCCCAACCAACTGCAGCTGGGAGGAAGCTAGGGAAGCAAGAGCTGTTCTCAGGGGGACAGTTGTGAATCAGTCCCCAACGAGGGAAATGGACTCAAGACCTCAGGCAGGACAGCAGTAGAATGGCCCCTTTCTCTTTTCCCTCTTCACCATCTTCAAGTCCTTCCCTACCAGTGCAGGGAGGCCCTGCTGAGTGGGACTCCTGTATGCCCTCACACAGAACCCAGATCTTGGGGGAGACCTGTTCCTCCCCTCTCTCTGGGATGTCAGCCAATAAACTCTGTCACACTGAGGTGCAAACGGTTCCTGTCCTCTTCTTACTGAGCGATATCGGCTACCCTGGACCCAACTTTACATTTCAGAGGCCAATGTCAGCTGGCTAGCAGCCAGAGAGAACCCCTGGTGCCTGAACAGGGTCAGCCTTGGTCTGGCTAGGCCCTGCCCTGGAAAAGGAATGCCCAAGGCAGTTGCATTAGCACTTTATTTGGGGTGAAGATAACTAAGACACACATATGCTGGCTCCGTCCAGAACGTTGAGTTGTGGCCACAGGGACCTGGATGAAAGGGCTAGAGCCGAGTGACGAGGTAGCAGGTGCGGTGGGAGGCAGAGAGAGTCTTGGTGATGGCACAGGGAGGGGTGGGAGCCCTAGGAGGACAGACTACAGAGTTGCCCAGGAGCCCTTCACATCCACAGCCTGCCCCTGCCCCGCAGCCCCAGAATAGATTTAGGCCATTGGAGTGGACCTGCCCCTTCTCTAACCTTGGAGGGTACATTTCATATTACCTGGGGCCAAGACCAACATGAGGAACTTGAGTTCGTTGGCTGCCCAGTCCTTCCTGAAGCTGTGGGTAAAGGGAAAGGGTCAGGGGTGGGGGGAGAGGCGCCCAGGGACCCCCTGTCTGACAGGGATGATGTTCGCCTGGCATGCCCACCCAACTTCCCAACCCCTCACCATCCAGGGTGGGGGGTGGCAGAGGAAGCAGCGGGGAGGGGGATGGGGCCTTACCAGATTGGTGCTGGAGTGCTGCTGGGAGCGCCTTCGGTTCCAGAAATACCCCAGAACTCTGTCTTGGAACACCTGGGACAGACAGTAGGGGGAAGTGGCCAGTGCACACCTTCCCTGGGGTTCCCTGGGGATCGCTGGGACTGAGTCCTCCCCCTCCCCTAGCTGGGCCCTGGCCTACCTCACACAGGTAGTCTAGGATCTCAAGGATGGTGAGCAGGCTGGCCCCAATGAACAGCCCCATCTGGCCCCCAATGTCACCTGTGGAGACAGTCACCTGACATTCTCAGCCACCTGCCCTTGCCCACACCTCCCAGCCCCTGGGGTTGGGCGAGGAGTTTCTGTACACGCACACACACCTAGCAGTTCCGACACTTCGTAGGCCGCCTTCTGCTCCACCGTCTCGTAGTTGAGGGCCTCGAAGAAGATGTCTAAGACAAGCACATTCTCCCTAAAGGAAAGAAAGGCCTCGAATGTTCACAGGACCGACCCGTCTACCAGCTGCTGCCAGGAAGCAGGTTTTTCCCTGCTACCCTGAAGAACCCTGAGAAAGAGCATGCATCCCCGTCAGGGGCAGCGAGGCCAAGCAGTTTCCAAGTCGCGCGTCTGTGATGACATGGAGTAAGGCGAGCAGCCTGGCTGTGCGCTCGGCGCTCCTGACCAAGCCTCCCGCCGGCACCCCCTTAACCCGGAGGGGGCAGCCTGGCGGCCCACCCGCTCTAGCCTGCCGGGCTCCGCTCACGTGATGTAGGCCTCGCTGCGGTTGTATTTTCGAGCCAGGTAGCGGGCGGCGGCACGGCTCGGGATCCGGACCATGGAGAGCTCCTTGGCGTAGCGTGTGATGGCACATGGGTTGGGACAGACGCACGCGTCCTTCCGCAGCATGGCGTCTGCGGGTTACAGAGGCCGCAGTTAGAGCCCTCTGCGGCAGGGTGGAGGTCAAGGGCGGAATGAGGATGGGGAGTTGGGCTGCAGGTTTGCTTTTTACCCAGGGCTGGGTTGGCACAATCCTTGTACTGTTGGGGGCTGCATACGGGTGCGCCTCCTGGGGTGCGGAGAGGAGACAGCCTTAGGTGTCCCCAACCCTAGTCCTCCCTCAGGTCCCCGCCCCCACCCCTAGGATTCCGACACCCCTAGCCCCTTACCGGGCATGTGCATCATTCGACAGCCACACTTGCGAGCCACATAGCGGGCCTCACAGGCCAAGCGACACCCCATTAGGCTGTAGGGAGGGCTGGGGTTGGGGCTGGGCTCAGGGAAACCCAAGGTATCAGAGGGTTCTGACTCAAAGTCAGGGTCCAGAGACACAGAACTGCAGTCTCCCCAAGGTGGAGGTAGGAAGCTTAGCTGTGAGGGGCATAGAGGAGAATGTAAGACATGTGGAGTCCCTGGGACAAGTCTGGGGTGGAGGGGCAGGCTGAGAGGGGTTTAGATGTGGGTGTACCTGCTGCTGCTGGCAGGATACAAAGGTCTGGTAGCCAGGAGCAGCTCCGAAGCCCAGCTGGTCGATGACTGGCGGCTCCTCCTGGCTGTGGACCTGCACTCGAATCCCCACTTCAAACGGAGTCTCCTCTGTGGGGAGAAGCCCCTGGGGCTTGAGACCCAACGTTTGGTCCTGCTGGTCAGTCCAGATGGGACCTCCCTCTGCAGCATCCCCCCCCCCCCCGCAACTGCCCCCAAGGCAGGGACAAGCCATCCTGGCCTCTTCTCACAAGGCCCTCTCTGCAGCACCCCACCTCCTCTGCTCTGTAGCCCTTCTTGTGCCAGCCACCACAGGCTCCCACTGGTGCTGCATACCCATGTCTCTCCACACAGGCAGGTACTCCTCCTGCTGCACATCCAGCATGAGCTCCAGCCCATTGCCAGCACCACCCTTGGGAGTGGTGAGCAGCTGTGCCCCGTTGGCACCTGAGTTGAATGTATAGCACTGTCCCATCCTGGTCAAGATCTGGGGAAGGACAGAGGAGGTACAGTAATAGTCTCCCTACCCCATGGCAGGTTAAAGGCAGGGACCTCTTGTTTCCTTACGCTCGGAGTCAGTGCTGAAACCCACGACCTCATGCACCAGCCCTGCTCTGCTTACTGGCACACATAATTGAATGTTTGTGGATACCTGCTCGTCACTCCCACTCTCCCACTCCCGTCAAAGTCCGGAGCACTGCCTTCAATGGTGAGGTTCTCTTTGGGGGTTTGGGCTAAAGGGACATGGGCTGCAGTGACCCTCCTCTGCAGCTGGCAGAATTTGAAGAGGTGGTGGGAAAGCAAGCCTCCTGCACCTGGCAGAAAGCAGTGCCACTAGGAAGTCCCTTGTTCCAGGAGCAGTGTTGCCACAGGCCAGCCATAGGCTCTGGGGTCAACCTGGATTTCTGCGTTTGCTAAAAGGCATGGTCTTACACACTGCTGTCTAGCTCAGAGACAGGGAGGGGCGCCCCAGGAGAGGCACTTGTGCAGTGGGGAGTATGTGTCCTGTGGGCAAAAAGGCGGATATCCGCAGGCAGGGATCATCAGGGAGCCCTGACTCTGGGGGAGCCTGGGACAGAAAGGCCAGGGAATGTGACGGGCATGGGGGAGACATCTCACCACAGTGAAGTTCTCAGGCCCACACGGTTGGCCACGGTAGCGGCAGTCCAGCAGCATGTCCTCCAAGGAGTGGCCGGCACGAGCATAGAGCTGTGCCATGTCGAATGTGGGACTGGGCATGAAGCCGGGTGGTGCAGGGGGCCGACCCAGGGCACGCAGGAAGGCCGCGTGTTCAGCAGGGTCCAGGCCCAGCAGTGCAGGTCCAGCCCAGTGCAGGTCATTGGGTGTGAGGCGTGAGCGGCGTAGTGCATTGATGTTGCAGAGGGTGACGGCTGGAAAGGTGAGCTGGTGGCTCTCGCGTTCATCCAGGGCTGTCTCATGGTGGAACTCTCCATAGTAACGCACCCTTTCAGCCACCTGGTAGAGAAAGGCAGCCAGAGACAGGAGCACAGCTGCAGCCCACAACCCCCGGCGCAGGGTCAGGCCCCCAGGGCCGAAGACATGCCCCAACCCATGCAGTGTACAGCTGCTGGCGAACACGCGGATGTCAGAGGCCGACCGTCGGGCTGCCTTCTGTTCTGATGGGGGCTTCATGGTCGCAGCCCTCAGTGGGGGATGTACCTAGGACCTGTTGGCAGGATAGGTTAGCTGGGGGGCTGTGCCAGCAGAGGGTTAGATAGGATGCAGGTATCCAAGAAGAGGCCACAGCAGGTGAGGCAAGGGGAGGAGAGGAGAGAAAAGAGGAGAGGAGGGAAGGGAGAAGGAGCAGGGACTAAGGCGTGGGGAGATGCTGGCCTGGCCGGACAGGACGAAGTGGCCTGGTCAGTCTGTCTGCAGGAAGAGGCAGCGGTTCCTTGGGGCTTGGTGCTGGGCTGGGGTCTGTGCAGCACAGCCCAGGTAGGGCGCAGGCAGTGGCGGCAGCGGGGGCTGAGGAGCGGTGCTGAAGCGGTGCTGAGCCAGAGCTGCCGCAGAGGATTGGGTTTCAGCAGTGAGGGGGGCCAGGGGGCCAGCAGCGCACTCAGGGAGGGGGGAAGTTCCTGGGGCTCCAGGCTGAGCCATTAGTGCAGTAGCTGGGGGTGGGGGTGTGTCTTGGCTGTCAGGAATCAGAGATGCTGCCAGGGGAAACCACAGCAAGTCTGGATAGGACTTGAGAGGATCCCAAGGGTGGGGCTGGGAGTGCCTTCAGGAACCTCGAGGTTCCTTGGTGCTACCTTGTGTGTTGGGCCTGGGTGGGCGGTGTCAGCTGGTGACCCTCAGTCCACTTCTTCCTCTTCTGGTCTTTCTGGCATCCCCACTAACCTCATCCAGGATCATTTGTTCTTTTACAAGGAGTGGACTTGGCTCTTGACCAGGTTGGAAAGCTTGGCACTGACAGATCCTTTTTCTTTGCCCCAGCATCCCTTCTTCCCTGGGATGAACAGAAACCCCCTCAACCAGGGTGGTTTTTCTGGAGTGCTCCCCTTTCCCTAAGGAGCCAGATCCCATATCTCCACACTCATGCCTAGGAGGCTGATTGCTGCCACCCTGTGGGCTTACCTGCCACTCCCCAAGTACAGGGTGGTGCCCCATCACCTCCCAGGTAACATGACTGTTTTACCTGACACTCCCCAGAGAACATGGGTGACCCACTACCAGCTTCCCAGCTACCATAGGTACCCTGTGATTTTATATCTTACTCATCTCACTTAAAATGTTCTGGAGACTGTGCAATACCTGGAAACATCCTTTTTAAAGCAAAGTTTTATTTATTTGAGTTGCAGTGACACCATCCCTCCCCCCCCCCGCCCCCCCCCCCCCCCCGCCCAAGACAATTCTTCCAACCATAGTTCACTTCCTAAATATCTACAACAGCTGGGGCTGGGCCAGGCCAGAGCCTGGAGCCTGGACTCCCACTGTCTCCTATGTGGGTAGTAGGGATGGGACCCCCAAGCAGTGGCTCACTGCCGCTTACTGTGCACACTGCCCTTGCCCAAGTGGCTGTACACCTCCATTCTGTAGAGGCACTACCGTTGATGTCAGCATTCCCTGCACTGAGGGGTCAGGGGGTTTCCAACCCATCACAGATAGTACTAGTATCAATACTGTCACAGCCAGGTCAACTCCTGGAAGCAGAACTGCTGGGTCAAGAGTTGGAAATCTGATAGTTGGCTCCAAATTCCCCCACAGCTGTGCCATTTGCACTTTCACCAGCAAGGCGGAAGTGGGCCAGTCCTACCCAGGGCTGGAGTCACTGTGCCCTTGAGCCAGATAGGGATGCCCAGGGCACTGCACAAACCAGAGAAAGCTGACCTTGAGAGATTTCAGATTAACTGAGAGAAAAAGCTGCCGATGCTCCAAGGAAGACGGGATGGGGCAGGATCCAGAAAACATCAGTGCTGCCAGCTGGGTAGGCACTAGCAGGTGTGAGCATCCTGAGGGGCATGTCACAGCTGCAGGCCACAGGAGTCAGCCCCAGGGTTGCGCCTGTGCAGACTGCAGGGCCCCGTCCTCATCAAGCTCAGTTCTACCCCTGTGCATTTGGGAAATGGGCAACACCTCCCCGTCAACCCCAGAGAGAGCAGGCTCACTCTCATCGATTTATTACTGAAATTTATTTCTAGTCCATCTCTGTCCGGAAAGTGTTTGAAGCTACTAGGTTCATCTGGCTTTTGTTGTAAGGGGCAGGAACTGAGTGCCACAGCCCCCATGGGCTCACTCCTGTCCCAGCAGCCTGGCTTTCTGCCTGGACTGTGAGCTTCATAGGGAGAGGGATCCTTCTGGAGGCAGGTGGCAAGTGCCTAAGAACTCTGTTGGAAGAGGTGACACCTTTGGGTGGCACGGATGTGAGGCTGCCGCACTGTGACCCGTTAAGTCTTTTCTTGTAGATTATCTTATTTAAACTTCCAGAGCTAGCTTTCATGGTCAGCAGCAGCCAGGCTGCTGATCTCTGGGCAACAGGGGAGCCAAGGTCGAGGTAAGGTTTCAGTGAGTGGATACAGACAGCTCAGCTGGACAAGCTTGACTGGCCCTGGGGTTTTGCTACTTCCCCAGTAGTGGGTGGGAGAAGGGGCAGGGCTGCATTCAGAGAAGCCAGCCTGAAGCTGTAAGGAGAGACCAAGCATCTGGTATCAGAAGGCCTCCTGGGCAGCTTGAGTCTTGGCTGGCTGCCCCAGGGCAGAGAGCTGGGATGGTGGAGACTTGCCAGGAAGTGGAGGCCCTGCACTGTGCTGCACTTGGGGAGGGTTTAGTGGTCAAAGCTAACCCCCAAGTCCCACTCCTTGGGCTGCTGCTGCCCAAATATGCAACCTCAGGGAGGGGGGGACCTTGGAGATTTTTGGTAGTTTGTTGCAAAAGCAGCATCTGGCCCTAAGCCATGCCCACAACAGGCTGTGAGTCCCTCCCTGGTTCAGTGCTACTTCTTCCAGGCTGGTCTCCCACTGGCAGTCACATGCACTGCCACTACCACCCCTTGAAACACGGTATGGCCTCTGTCACAGGCTAGGTTCAAAATGCATGGCTGGCTGGGGAGTGGGCTCTGTGGACATGGCAGGGCAAGGTTCCCAAGGGCAAGTGACCAGATAACCGGGAGTGGGTGGTCCCTGGCCCTGGGTGTAGGGGGGGTGCTCCCCAATCCTGGGTGCCAGTTCAGTCAAAGGGCCCTTCCTGGGTGCCTCTCTGGGCTTCCTGGAGTCAAGCTGTCCCTCATTCACAGCTTAGGGGCCACAGGCCCATGGCTTGTAGGCAGCCCTGGTGAGGCCATGTCCTGCATTCTCCTTGCGCCTCCCTGCTCTTGATCAGGTTCAGTTCATACTGTACTGTGCACTAGCTGCTCCCTATCAGTTTCTTCTTGCGGGCTATGGGGCTGCCCCAGCTGAGGAGGAGGCTGGTGTGTGCCTCTGGAGTCAAGGACTTGGGGTACACAGAGCAGAGCCAACAGGAGGCAGGTGACAGGATAGCTGCTTCTTGTGGGGATGGATCCCCATTCACCTTGCTGCCCTGATGGAACAGCCAAGCCCTATCAGGCCTCTCATGGGAAGAGGGACAAGGGGACACACTGAGAACTCAGGACTATAGGAAGAGAGCAAGGAGAGGGAGGAGAGGCTGCCTGGAGGGTGGGTCAAGGGGAAAATGCCTTACGCCAGGTTCCAGAACAGCAGTGGGGATACAGGAGTGGGGGGTCAGGGACAGTCTAGGGAAGTGAAGTCCTAGCAGGGGTTGGCTAGAGCCTTGATGTACACATACAGGCCTGTTACCAAGTGGGACATTTTACAACTGCCCTGAACTGGGGGGCTGGACAACTACTGGCTATAGGAGTGAGGCTTAGGGAGGGTCTGGACCAAGGGAGAGAAATGGACATAAGGCGTCCGGGGAGATCTGCCTTGGTCCATCCACAGTCCAAAGGCAGTGGCAGGCTTGATGGTCTGGTGGGAGCCAGGCAGCCTGGCGGCAGTCAGGGGAGGGTGAGAGCAAGCCCAGCCACTGGGCCCAGGCTTTGTTGTGAGCGTAGGAGCAGCATCAGCCATACTCAGCATCCTGAAGCTCAGTCCCTGAGAAAGTCCCCCAGGGAGCCATACTCAGGACTGGCGCTGGTGACCCCGAGGGGCTTTGGGCCTCTCGCCCAGAGGTGAGGCTGACGTCAGTGGGGCATCTAAGGCCTGTCTCCGGATGAGCTCTGCGTACAGCCCACCTTTCTTCAGAAGTTCTTCATGGGTCCCAGCCTGGAAGATAGGATGGAGGGGCACAGTCACTTGATATCATTGAACTCAGGGCCAGAGGATGCCTCCACCTCATTAGCCATGGGGCTCTAGATCCTTCCTGAGGATGCTCTATCACCAAAGCCCAAACTGCAAAGAAGTGCCTTGGGCACAGCTGTAGCAGTGTCACCATTTTCTGCAGAATGCCTTTCTACCCTGCCAAACTCAGCCCCCCCTGGCACTGGGGGCTGGCAGTCAGGCTCTGTCTTTTAGGTACTACCCCTGCCTGGCCCCTTGTCAGGGTCCTGGTGCTGTGGTAGCTGTACCCTGGCCCCTGGGCAGCACAGCCCCACCCCTTCTCCTCCAGGTCCTCTTCTCTTGGATCTAGGGAACTGAGGGTGCAGCTTTACGATCCTAGAGGGCAGAAGAAGGTATCAAGGGCCCTAGGAACCCAGGGCTTGTCTAAGGGGAGAAACCCCTGAAGCGCTACAGACACATCTTCTAGAACATGGCCCTGGCTCCCTAAGACCAGACTGGCTACTCATAGAGCTCAGCTGAGCTACCTGTTTCACTGCTCATGGCCCAAACCATCCAGGAACAGGCCCCGACTAACCTCGCAGACTTGGCCATTGGCCATGACGACAATGCGGTGGGCTGCGCGGACAGTGCTGAGCCGGTGGGCGATGACCAGCACAGTGCGGCCTGCGCTGGCCCGGTCCAAGGCCTCCTGCACCACACGCTCAGACTCTGCGTCGAGTGCACTGGTGGCCTCATCCAGGATTAGTACCGTGGGCTTCTTGATGAGAGCCCGGGCGATGGCCAGGCGCTGCTTCTGACCACCAGACAGGGTGGCACCCCGCTCACCTGAGGAAAGGACAGGCTGGGCTCTGAAGGGTTCACCAGTGCTGTCTTTGGGGGCGGCCTGCCAAGTGGTACATGTCTTTCCTGAATGCCCGCAGCTCCCTCCATTCCCTGAAACTGTGCGGGCTCGTGGAGTGGGGTGCTGCCTGTCAAGGGCCACATCCCTGTGCGAGTCCTGTGCCCAACTCACACAACACAGTGAGTGTGTGGGCAGCACGGCTCTCTGCACATGGCGTGTCCTGGCCATGGCCAGATCTCAGAGCCAGCATGGCTGCTCCCTGCCCTGAGCCTGCAGCCCCAGCCACCTTCCTGGCCTCCCAGGTCTACTCCCAGAAACAGCAGGAGTGACGTGGTGGCTGCAGTGGGTGTCAGTAGTTACCAACAGAGTTCCCCACATCTGTTTGGGCTTGGGGAGCAGTGGCCCATCAGACCCCACAAGGATTCCAGACACCACCAAGTGCTCTTCTCTTGCTGCTGGGTCTGTCCTTTGCTTCCTCTTAGCTCTTCCTGTCTCCTGTGGCCTGCTTGTGTGCCAAACCTGAGCCACACAGGCTGGGATTCCTGGCCCTATAGAGCCATCTCTGTCTCTCTTGGCCAGGGGCGTGGTCTGCCCTAGGAGCGTAGGAGGGTCTTACTCCCCAGCTGTTCCTGTTGCCCTCAGCCCTGCAGAGCTCCTCCCTCTGTGTGTGACACCCTCTTCCCATGTCTCCTACCTGAAGGGCTTGCAGACCTGAGCAGGTTCTGTCCCTGGCACTCACCCACAATGGTGTGGTAGCCCTCAGGAAAGCTGCAAATGAACTCATGGGCGTTGGCTTCCCGAGCAGCTGCATACACCTCTTCGTCGGACGCATCCAGTTTTCCAAAACGGATGTTCTCCATGATAGTTGTTCCAAACAGAACCGGCTCCTGGAGAGAGGGGGTGGGGGATACAGAGATGGAGCTGGCAGGAATGTTCCAGTTCTGCCCCAGATCGCCTGAGGACTGCCCTATGGGGAGGGACTGAGACATTCACAGGGAGAAGGTGGCAACGGCAAGACAAGGAATGAGCCAAGAAGGGGGACGAGAGATGACCCCTCACCAAGGGCCAAGAGCCTCTCAGTAGGTGCACAAGTGAGAAGGCAGCTGGCCTGGCACAGCCATGGGAGAGCAGGCTTTGGATCATGGCTGTCCCCTCACAGGCTGGTAAGCATGCCCTCTCTACTCCAGGGCCCACAGGAGGCAGAGTAGCCCTATGCTGGGCAGTGCCACCCCAAGCAGAGGGAAAGTGGCTGTGCCTCTGTGGTTGGTGCATGCTGGGCCCCAGTCCTTGCTTAGTGGGTAGACAGCGGCAACCAGCAGTTCCAGCACCAAGGCTGTGGGCTTCTCCAGACTTTCTGGATGCCTCATGCTTCAAAGAGAAACCCAGGGATCCTTAACACCAAGGCTGCTGTATTGCAGCATCCTGAGACGGGACCTCCCATGCTGGTGACAGCCAGGTGCAGTGAGGAAGGCCCAGAGGTGTTGGGGTAGCAAGGAAAGAAAAGGCCCCTGAGGACTGAGCAGAGCAGGGCCCAGGTGAAGGGGGTGGCTGATGGGAGCCTTGCCTTGTGTATCGTGGCCCCTGCCCTGCCCCACCGCCATGTACCTGGCTGATGAAGCCGACAACCTGGCCCCGCAGCCAGGAGGGATCCAGTGTGCGCAGGTCCCTTCCGTCCAGAGTCACAGTGCCAGCCGTGGGGTCGTAGAAGCGCTCCAGCAGGGAAGCCACAGTGGTCTTTCCTGGAGGGTTGTGTAGGGCAGCTTGGTCTCACACTGGCCCAGGTGGGAAAGGGCACCTCCCTGGCCCCAGCTCAGGGAAGGGCAAAGGCGGTCACATGGCCCCAGCTCCAGCCTTGATCCAAGTGGCTCCCAGAGGACAGAGTCAGAGGGGGAGGGGTCCTCCTTACCTCCGCCGGACTGGCCTACGAGGGCCACGATCTTGCCAGGGGGAAGTGTCAGGGTGAAATCTTGGAGCACTTGGAAGCCAGGGCGGCAGGGGTAACTGGAGGAGCCAGAGAGCCCCCCAATCAACAAGGGAGGCTTCTGATATCCCCCCTAAGGTCTCACTGTGCCCCTCCGAGGTGACTCACTCATGGAATGGTAGGGGAGAAGGAGACCTCTTTCCCCACCCAGCTCCCTTCAAAGGGCCTGGTACCGGCCCACTCAAGGATGCCAACCTGAAGCAGACATTCTCAAATGTGACAGAGCCATGCAGGTGCTCCTTGGGGATGTAGCAGCCACCAGTCAACGGGATGCAGGGGTGAAGGGCCATGTACTCAAAGACACGGGTGCCTGCACTGAGCCCTCGTACCACCTGGGCGAACAAAGTCGGCAGTGAGGAGGAAGTGCTGGGAGTCTCCCAAGGGGCCAGGCTGGGGCCCTGCTTCTCTCTTTCAAGTCACAGGCAGTAACCGCAGCACGTGTGCGCACGCACACACACACACACACACACACACACACACACACACTCATTCCCTCCCCGCTGATGGTGGTGACAGCTGTCTCTCCAGCCCAGAGGCGAGTGTCCTCCCCCTCACATCAACCCTTGCTTACCTGACCAAACAGGATAGAGAGGTTGGCCATGGACCTGTGAGGATGAGGTGGTGACAAGAGGTAATTAGGAGTAATAGGGCCTGGTGGCGGAGGGAGCAGCATCCAGGAGCTATGGGATCCTGGGATTCAGCAATGGCAATGACTGAACCCCAGGAGGAAGATTACCTGTCCATCAGTCTACCCTAACCCTGAGAGGAAAAGGATGAGGCTGCAAGACCGGGGCCTCAGCAGGCACCGTGGCCTACAGTCAGTGTGCAGGGATGACGTCAGTCCACAGCGAACCCTGTGACTTCCTCCCCCAGCCCTGGTGATGCAGATGCTGCTAACAGAGATCAGGGTTGGGAGGCACCCATGGGAGATGAGTGTTAACACTGGATGCTTACAGAAGCAGTGACAGACAGATACACCTGGAATGGAAAACACTGATGCTACACCTTTTCAAAGAAAAACAAGACGCTCAGTCACTAGGAGCTCAGCTCTGGAGGATCCCTAAGCAAAGCTGTCTGCATGCTCATGCACCCTGGGCCTGCCCTGCAGGTGCGTGTGGGTGCACGAGATGGGGTGTGGGTGCTTATCTGTCTAGACAGTGGGTCACCTCCTGGTCAGAGCAGGGCCAGCCACCATGGGGCTGGGGAGGAAGATGAGTCAACACCTCTTAGTCAGCAGGCCCTCAGTGGCCTGGCCAACTCGGGACAGTGTCTGCCTGCCACTGGCACACCGGATTCTGTCTTTGAGATGAGGAAAGAGCTATAGCGTTCACTTCTGCCGCACTGATCTAGGGCTGGGAAGAGCCTGGCAGCCTGCAGGGAAGCAGCTGGGTGGCACAGAGTCATCAGTGCCAAGGAGGCAGCAGGTGGAGGCGAGCTGAACCAGCGAGGAGTGAGGTGTCCTCCAAGAGGCCCTGGAGGCCACTGAGGGACTGCAGAGGGGCAAGGCAGTGATCGAGCTCCAACATGCATGGGACAATCGTGCCCAGAGCCCATGGGATGCCAGATGGGGGACCAGCTAGAGACCTGGCCCTGAATTTAGACGGGAGCTAGGCAAGCACTGCCCCATCTCTGGTTAAGGATTCTTAGGATGGGGTCCAAAGGGGGTGGCTGCCTGAGGTGGGGCATATCTTTCCCACATCCTGCTTCAGCTGGCTGGCTCTCGGCACCAACCATACCCGCTGGGCTGGGCAGGGCTGGGGGACGTAGTGAGGGAACACAGCAGGTGCTCTTACACACTGAGACCTGTCTCCTGGGGGTGGGTGGAGGCCCAGCACAAGAGTTGGGTGCTCGGGAGCCAGTGTGTGCTACTTCTCTGGGTATTCCTGCAGTGACAGTAAGACAGTGGCTAAGCTGGGAGCTGTGGAGGTGAGCAGTCTCTGTCCTCAGGCCACAGAGCAAAGGCAAGGCCTAAGGGAGCAGGGCCCCAGGCTGCAGGGCCAACAGTTTGTTTTTTTCTGATTTTCTTTTCAGAGACTGGATTTATTACAGGTCTTCAGTACCACAAAGATCATCCTGCTCGGCCAGCACCAGGGCAGGGAGGAGGAGGACCTTAGAGGGCAAACTCAAACCCCTCTTCTCCCCAGATCTGAGCAGCTGGATCCCAGCGCCAGCAGGAAATAGCTCCTGGGCCCGCAGACAGTCCCTATGTGTCTTCATCAAGGAGTATCAGGCAGGGCTAGGGTGGGACTGGTGCTTCTGTAGATGCAGAAGGGAGAGCAACCCAGTCTTTGGGGAATGCTGGCTCTGGGCTGTTCAAGGGCATTTCTCTGCATTGGTGATCAAAGGCTTCTGTTCTATCTGCCCTCTTTGGGCCAGGCTCATGTTACATGTCCAGTAAGCCCAACATGGAAGAACTCCATAAGAAATAACTGCCATTCACTGGCAATAATGCAGGAGTCAGGGCGCAAGTATCACTTCTGGAGGGAGGGACCACAGGGGGATGGGGACAGGCATGAAGCAACGCTGTTTTCTCAACATGGCTGCTGGTAACACATGTCTTCACTCTAATTATCTATTATAGCATATTGACTCTTTAATTATTTATCCTAACATGTACTTATGTTTTAGTGTTTTTATACACTTGGAGTGTTGGGGGAGGGAGAGCAAAACCGACAAACAGCATAGGAACTGCTTGTGTTGACTCTGGAATAGGAAGGGATAGGTAGGCGCCTGCTCTGTCTCATGGCAAAAGCAGCATGAGTGGTTCTGTTAGTTCTAGAGTCGAAACGGGCCCTGGGGTCTGTTCCAGTGGCCAATCCTCCCCGTTCAAGTGCCAGGATCCCATATGGGCAATGGTTCATGTTCCGGTTGCTCTACTTCCCATCCAGCTCCCTGCCTGTGGCCTGGGAAGCAGAAGATGGGAAGCAGAAGATGGCCCAGTGCCTTGGGACTCTGCACCTATGTCGGAGACTGGAAGAAGCTTCTGACTTCGGATTGGCTCAGCTCTGGCTGTTGTGGCCACTTGGGGAGTGAACAAGTGGATGGAGGAGCTTTCTTTCTCTCCTTAAATCTGCCTTTTCCAGAAGGAGAGACAGAAAGAAAGATCCTCTGTCCACTGATTCACTCCCCAAGTGGTCTCAACATTTGGAGCTGAGCTGATCCGAAGCCAGGAACCAGGAGCTTCTTCTCCATCTCCCACATGGGTGCAGGATCCCAAGGCTTTGGGCTACCCTTGACTGTTTTCCCAGGCCACAAGCAAGGAGCTGGATGGGAAGTGGAATAGCAGGCACATAAACCAACACCCATATGGGATCCCAGGGCATGCAAAGTGAGGATTTAGCTATTGAGCCATCATGCCAGGTCCCCAAACAGGTAAATCGTAAAAGAAGAAACCCAGGGCCTCACAGAGCAGTAGGGAGCACCAGTAAGCTACAAAGGTGGGATTTTCAGGGTCCATGTTTCATTTCTGGAAATGGTCAAGCAGCAAGTGAGGGGCCACCAGTTCTCAAAAAGCTTGACAAGCAGGCCAGCTGTCTGGCACTGAGGTACAGCAGGTCAATCTACTGCCCGTGATGTAGAAGTCCCATGTTAGAACCCCAGCTGCTCCACCTTAATCCAGATCCCTGCTAATGCACTTGGGAAAGCAGAAGAGGATGCCCAAGCGCTTGGGCTGTCACTCATGTGGGAGACCTGGGTGGAATTTGAGTTTCCCAGCTTCATCCTGGCCCAGCTTCAGCCACTGCGGTCATCTGGAGGAATCAATCAGCAGATAGAGGATCTCTCTGTCTGTTTCTCCTTTTCTCTGCCTTTCAACTAAATAAATAAATGCTTTGTAAAAGGAAAATGGTAGTTTTGGAATGAAAGATTTGACAAAGGCATTCCACACATCCATAGAATACCGTTCCGCCTCACAGGAAGGACCGTCTGACAAAGTGGGATATGAGGTGGAGGAACTTGGGGAACAGCGTGGCCAAGTGCCCAGTGGTCCCAAGGACTTGTGCTCCCTGGAGTGGTCACATTCAGAGACCGAAAGTGCAAGGGTGGTCGCCAGGGGCTAGGGGAGGAGAAGGGGTGGAGCTAGTGTTCCCCAGGCACTGCTGCACTTTGAAGATGCAAAGAGTCCTGGGGGAGGAGTGGTGGTGATGGTGTCCTTAACGCCACTCAACTCGGCCCGAAGAAAGGTCAAGACGGTCACTCTGGTGACACGTGTATTTTGCCACAGTTTAACAACAACAAAAAGCTCATCAAGGAAACTCGTGGGCTGTGTGGAAGGCTGGAGAAGATGACTGCATTCCCGCGTGTGTGGCTCAGTGACTCAGCCTGGGTGCCGGCAGCAGCTCTGAAACACTCTCCCTTGGGCCTTCATTTCCCAAGGGTGGTGGGACAGGCCTGGGGCCGGGCAGCATTCCCCCAGAGCAGGTAGACACTTGTCCCCTAACTCAGCAGGGGTCTCCATAAGACAGGAACCCCTTCCCACTTACCTCTGCACTGTCTGAGAGGCCACCAGGAAGGACATGAGGTCTCCTCCTGTCAGCTGCTGTCCAGCCACCAGGGATCCCCCAATAAATAGGGTGCCCAGGACCATACCTGCAACAGAACGGGGAGGCAGGGGTGAGGAGGGAAGCAGTGACAGCCCGAGGACAGAGCCCTGGATTCTGTGGACCCTCAGGCCCAGCCTTGCTCTGTCACCAGCCTGCTAGGGAGTAATGGCAAGTCCCTGAATGGCCTCAGCCGGAGCTTCTCCCAAGCAGCCCTTGCCATTCTGCAGGCAGCTCGGTGCGGCCTTCTTACGACCGGCAGGCATTATCAGTCAGGATGTCTGAGGAGCTCCGGTGGATGGAGCCCTGCCCCTCACCCAACTCCTCCCCAGCTCATAAACCTGGGGCTTCCCAGGCAAGGACTCGTCTACTCACAGTTGAAGGCTATGTTGGAAAGCCCCTGGAACAAGGCAATGCCCCTGCCCAGCGTTTCTGCCTTGTGGCGGCAGGCATCCAGCTCCGCTCCGTAGCGTCTGGGGATGAGAGGCCAGCCCTGTGCTCAGCACACCCTGTGTTGGGGGGCCCATGTCCGCACTCTGTGCTCTGCCCCTCCCAGGACTCACTCTTCCTCCCGCTGCTCCATGGCGAAGGCCCGCACGGTCCGCACATTGCCCAGGGCCTCATCTGCTACACCTGTCGCTCTGGCAATCTGTAAGATGGCCAGGAAACAGGGGGAAGGAAACCCCAGGGGTGATGAGGAGGGCAGGGCAGGGGGTATTGGGAGGCAGAGAGGACAGCCCAGGATTGTAGTACCTGCTCCTGACACTGGCGAGACAATTTTCGCAACCTGGACCCCATCAGGGTGCCCACTCCCATGAGGGCAGGTGTGGCCACTGCGAGCAACAGCGTGAGGCGTGGGGACAGCATGGACAGGGACACCAGGCAGCCGGCCACCTGCGTGCAGCTGCGCAGGCCCTGGGCAGGGGGAAGAAGGTAGCAGGTAAGTTGGCATCAGCATGGCGACCTGGGGGACTTCACTGAGGGCTAGCTGGCTACAACTCTGTGCTCACAGGCACAGGCTATGGGTCTGACTCCTGGAGGTGAAGATAAAGTCCTTGATCACAAAATGACCTTTTCTTGGCCAGCAGGCATAATGTGGCTGAAATTGTGGACCTTAGCATCCTTCCCCAGTCAGTTCTAAGCCTGCTTCTCTGTGGCTTCTAGAACCAAGCATGGGGTGCCATGCATGGAATGTACTCTGGGCCAGCATCTAGCACATCTGGTGGCTGCAGCAGTGGAGCGAGCGGATAAGTGAAGACACCAGCTTATGGAGCCAGGGCACATGCTTACCGCTCATCAACAGTGCAGACATTGGCGCTAGCGGAGTCTGCTCTTGCCGGGAAAAGCTGGTCTGAGGGCTTGGGAAGGGTGCAGGAGGAGGCAGGATTCAGAATAGTGAAGCAACTCACCTTGGACCTGGGTGCTGCCACGGCACTTGTTTCTCACGGATTTCTGTCTCCTTACCTACACTCTCCCAGGGTGGGCCTCGGTTCTGGGCCCAGCATCAGAGGTGGGGAGGGGCAGGGTTGCCTGGCAGAGTGTGTACACACGCATGGGAGAGACTGGGGGCCAACTGACCTGAGAGATGACGAGCTTGAAGGATGACTTAAACTCCTGCACATCAGTTGTCAGCCGGCTCACCAGCTGCCCTGTCTTTTTAGCATCGAAGAAAGCAATGTCTTGTCTGGTGGTGGGATACGGGATGGGGGCAACCTTCAGAATGAGGTCCAACCAGAGATTCTCCCTGGGACCCTTTGGGGCCCATCTGTCACCCTTGCCCTTCCCCCTGCGGCTGGCAGTACCGGAGCAGAGAGCCGAAGAGAGCCCTCCTCATGTCCACAGCCATCCGCTCCCCAATGTGGGACAGCAGCACCAGGTATCCGAAAGTCAGCAGTCCCTGCGAGAGAGGTAGGTGCTCTCGGGGCCACTCCAGGCAGCTCCTCCCATCATGAGCCCGCGGGCCCTGCCACTCTGCTGTACCTGGATGCCATAGAGGATGAGCAGCTGGGTGCCAAGACTCCGAGACTCCGTCATAAAGCTCCCCACATGCTCCCTTGTGTACTTGGCCACAATCTCCACCAGCTGGCCCAAGAGCAGGGGGATCTGAACGTTCACCAATGCTGCACCCAGTGCCAACTGGAATGGGGGGTTGGGCAGAGAAAGCAGAAGTTTCAAGAGGACAGCCTTCTTTCTTTCCCCAGTCCTGACCCTGGCCCTTCCACTTCCACTGTTGAGCAGTTTCTTGTCCATGCTGTGGTGGCCTGTGTGGACCGCCACACCCCACAGAGCCAGCTGGTCTAGGCAGACTCGTCTAGCATCCCTCAGACCTCAGTCCTGACACCTGCTCTTGGAAGCACAGCGAAACAGCGATGCTACCCTCCCCTGTTTCCAACACAGAGGGGTGGAGGAAATCTCACCACGATGGCCACCCCAAGGACCAGCAGGTGTGGGCGCAGAAAATGCCAGAAGAGCTTCCAGTTGAAGTGGGACTCCCCAACAGGGGGTGCGCAGCAGGCAAGGGGGGCCTCTTCTGCCTCACACAGGGCCACGAGGCAGAGGTGGGGACGCTTACTCAGCACCACAGACCCCAGCACGGTTCCCCCAAACCAGCACAAGGTAAGGGGGCTCCGGCTAGGCGCTGATGGGGTTCGAGGGAGGTAGCCCCGGAGCTGGAACCGCAGCCGGGCCAGAGTCCTGAGAAGGGAGGAGCTGTGGCAGCCATCTGAGCACCTGTAGGGAGAGAACAGTAGTGACGGCTGGAGTCCCTGTCATTTTCAACCCGCCCCGACACCACCCCAGCTTGGGCTGAGCTTTCTAGGCAGTGGCATTTCCTGCTCTTACTCTTTTCAGGGTTTATACATTTGAAAGGCAGAGAAAGGGAGAGAGGCTGGAAGCTCTTCCCCCAGCAGTTACAGCAGCTGAGTCTGGGCCAGGCTGAAGCTGGAAGACCAGAATTCCATCCTGCTCTCCCACAGTGGGTTTGACCGTCTTCCACTGCTTTCCCAGGAGCTTTTTTAGCAGGGAGCTCGATCTGAAGCAGAGCAGTCAGACTCGTCTAGCACTAGCACTCTAATATAGGATGCCACAGTGGCAAGTGGTGGCTGAACTTACCACACCACAAGCCCCCAGCCCTGGAAATTCCTCATCTTTGCAGCCTCTACCCTGGCTTTCTCAGGCTGCTTTCCAGAAACTTCAGTGTCCTGCACAAATGTAGGTGTGCAAGGCTGCTAAAGAATGAGCATGGGTGGCCACTCCACCTCCCTTCCAGCTCCCTGCTTGTGGCCTAGGAAAGCAGTGGAGGTTGGCCCAACGCCTTGGGACCCTGCATCCATGTGGGAGACCCAGAAGAAGCTCCTGGCTTCAGGCTGGCTCAGCTCTAGCCGTTGCAGCCACTTTGGGGGTTAGTGAACTGGAAGATGGAGATTCTTTGAATCTCTCCTTCTCTCTGTAAATTTGCCTTTCCAATAAAAATCTTAAAAAAAAAAAAGAATGAGCATGGGGCCAAGTCTGAAATGTGTGCTCTCCATGCCGAGTGGGCAGAGGCACTGAGCCCTCGTCTGCGCTCCTTCCGTAATCACAGCATGCTTGGGCTGGGTGGCGTGCTGGGACAGAAGGAGGTCCGTGGTGCTTCTTTGAGAGGAAGGCAGAGCGCTCAGAGAGGTAGTGATGGGGGGCCAACTCCATCCCTGGCCTGCAGCCGGGCTTGCTCACAGTGGTGAACAAGGCTGACGGTGTCTACTGCACTTGACCCTCATCTCCCTGGAAGGAAGAAGCTGCTGTATTCTACCAGCTGCCCCCAAAACCTAGAGGGACCTGAGGGAGCTGAAAGAGTTGAAATCATCTGTCCTCATGCAGCAGAACTGGGCAGAATGGGGAACTCAGCTGTCTCATGCAGGAAGCAGGGAGGCGACCAGGATAGTCAAAGCGAACCCCTCATGGTGCTCATGCTTGGTGGTGTGGAACACACGTTTAGGGGGAATGCAGGCTTCCCTTAGTGTGTCCAAAGAAGCCAGGAAAGGCAGCCAGTTTGGCAGGTGCAGCTGGAGAACAGAGGTGGGGAGGGAAGCATGTTTGATAGTGGCAGTAAGAAAGGATGGCAGGAAACTGCCACCCAAGAGGGTGGAGACATGAAGCATGGGTGAGGGACCTGAGTCTATATAAAGCACCTGGGCTGCAAGTGCAAGGGAGAGCATTTGTGCTTTTTAGGCTGGGATGTGATTTCAAGACCGCAGTGGAGGGCAGCAGGTAGAGGTGTGTGTGTGTGTGTGTGTGTGTGTGTGTGTGTGTGTGTGTGCACATGCATATGTCGAGGGTGGGCGGCGTGCAAGGGACGTGCAGCACTGACTACAGGAAGGCCTACCAGGAGCAGAAGTTCGATCAAGCTAGGAGGGCATGGTTGGTGGAACGTTCAAGGTTTCGAGTGAGATTAATGAAAAAGAAAAAGCTTAAAGGAGCCGGGTAGGTGGCATGCTGCAGTGGGTCAGGCCATCACTTGGGATGCCCACACCCAGGTTCAGAGCCCTTGAGTTCAGTCCCCCTGACCAACAGCAGTGATGACTCAGGGACCAGGGTCCAAGTCTCTGGTTCTAGGTGCCAACCTGCTCAGGCCCTGCCTGCTGCAGGTCTTTGGGGGAGTGATCCAGCAGATATAAAGTTTGTTTCTCTCTGCTACCTTGCTTTTCAAATCAATAAACACAAACAAATAATTTTTTTTAAAGGACTTGAGTGGGAGGCTTTTCTTCAAGACTTCATTCCCAGATCCTTCTAACTGCAGATCCCTTAGCCCTCCCTTCTTTCACCTCTCCTCCTCCCCACCTCTCCAGGAAGCCAAGCTCAGCCCTCACCTTCTTCCTGGCTTTTCAGTCTCACATTCCCTGTTGTCTTCCTTTTTTTTCCATTTATTTGTTTATTTTTTTTTAAGAGTAGTTACAGAGAGAGCGGAGAGACAAAGTTCTCCCATCTGCTGGTTCATTCCCAAAGTGACCCCAACAGCTGGGGCTGGGCTGGTCCAGTCTACCACATGAGAAAAGGGGCCCAAAGACTGGCTATTTTCTGTTGCTTTCCCAGGCCATTCACAGGGAGCTGGATGAGAAGCAGAGCAGCAGGGACATAAACAGGCACCCTACATGGATGCCAGGCACTGCAGACAGAGCTTTAGTTTGCTTTGGGATGGTGCCAGCCCCTCCTTTGGACTAAGTAAGCTTTCAACAGAAGCTCGCTGTCTCCTGAATAATTATGCAACTTTCCCACTGGTCTCCAGGAAGCTGGATCTTCAATCCCTAGCTCTTAGCAGAGCCAGGAAGAGTAGATGTTTAGCAAATGGTTATGTTTGTTGAGTGATTGCATGCTCTCCTTAGAAATATAGAACTGTCTGATTTTGCTGTTGCAATGTCTGCAATGTTTTGCAAATACTCAGATTTACTGTAGCCAACAGCAAGGAATTCATTTTTACATTGCAGCCAATGCAATGAACTAACTCATCACACAAAACTCAAAAGCTTCATACAATAATACTTTCTGGGATTGGCGGTGTGGCATAGTAGGTTAGGCTAACATCCCATATAGGCTCTGGTTATGCCCTGGCTGCTCCACTTCCCATCCAGCTCCCTGCTCACGGGCCTGCAGAAGCAGTGGAAGATGGTCCAAGTCCTTGAGCTCCTGCACTCTTGGGCCCCTCTTGTCTGGCTTCAGACTGGCCCAACTGCATCCATTGTGGCCATTTGGGGAGTGAACCAGTGGATGGAAAGATCTCTCTCTCTCTCTGTAAATCTTTCAAATTAAAAAAAAAAAAATCTTTTCTTAAAAAAACCCAGCAAAAACACTTTCTCTATTTTTTCCTATTATTTATTTGCAAATGTTCCTGAAGCATTAAATTCATTTCATGGTCTACTGAAAAATGCTAAGGAATGCACACATACTTGAATGTTACCTGGTTTAAGTAATAACAGCCTTCCTCTTTCCTAAGAGTTGTTTTCAAGCCTTTTAATAATTTACCATGGGCAACTTTCAGCTTCTCTCCGTCCCCTCCAAATGAAGTCTCTTGGAAGGGATTCATTACTGCCAAGAACTGACAGCTCTTCCCAGCAGTGGCTCTTGCTCTCTGTGGGATGGGTTTTCCTAATACAAAAACCTCCACATACGCCTGCCCTGGAGACTCTTCAACCTGGCTGGATTACAAAGGAAAGGGCCCCTTCTCACAAAGCATTTACGCTCAGGTAGCAGGTGCAAGGTCGCCATTCCCCACCAGCCCTGTCTCCCTAGCCCCAAAGTGATGGGCAATGATCACACGTACAAGTTAGAGGGGCTCTGTATCCCTGAGGGATGTTTCCAGCTCTAGGAATCATTTTCTGTTCAGTTCCCTTCTCCCCTATTTTTTTTTTTTTTCCTTATCAAGGGAGCACCACTAAGATTTAAACGTCTGTGCGCTAATTTTTGTCCAAACCGCCAATTCAACCCCAAGAGGCAGAAGGACAGCGGGTGGGGGCGGCGCCCCCTCGCGGGCAGTGCGGCCAGAGAGCGGTCACCAACCGACGAAAGTCCCTTCTTTTCGCCGACCCAACCGTACACGGGCCCCAAGCATTGCAATCAATAATTGAGCCCGACTCCCTAGGGGGTGGACGTTCCACCTGCAGGAGGGGTAGCCTACAATTCCCGGCAGCTCTCGCGCCTGTCCGCGGACTCCATCTCCCAGCAGACCCCATGCCCTGCCGGCCGGTCAGTGGTCCGCGCTGAGTAGCTTAATTTATTTACCTGGCGACCGAGAATGCCTGGAAGCGGAAGGGTAGTAGCGGTCTGCCTTGGAAAGGGCCGCTCCGAATCCCGACCCGAAATAAGTGCACCAACATGTTGGGTCAGGGAAACAGGAGCCGCCGGCAACGGCAGTTTCACCCTCGCCCCACTAACAGCTCCATGTTGGTGCCGGTCCCCCTCCCGACAACCCCTTCGCACGTCGGAGATGATTGGTGGAAAGAGGCAGCTCGCTCCTTGCCAGCCCTGATTGGACAACACGTGGGCGGCCTTTCTCTGATTAGACTGCCTCGCTGCCCTCCCGCCCCCGGTTCTGGGCGATGTCCGGAGGGAAGGAACCTGACCTGGTACCGGGTTCCCTGGTCGGTTCGGGTGACGTTTTAAGGACGTGCGGGTCCGTCTGCCTCCCACCCTCGGGGTTTCTATAGGAACTCGTCCGCTTCTGACCTCGGCCATGTTTCTACGGGAACCCCGGGACAGGCTCTGGTTGTTCTGAATTCCTAAGGAATGCAAAGCTCTGGGGCTGCGAAGGAATGAAAGACTGACTGAGGGGATTCTCCTCTCCCCCACCCCAAATCTTGTTACACATGCTTTATTACCCACCCCACTTTCCCAGACAATTCAGAAGTCCTAGCATGGGACAGAGGATGGCCCAAAGCTTTGGGACCCTGTACCTGAGTTGGGGACCCTGAAGAAGCTCCTGTCTCCTGACTTCAAATGTGTTCAGTTCCGCTAAGGGGACAATCTAGCTGGATGGACGTTCCCACCAAGGGGCGCATGGGCTGGAATAGGGGCTGCGTTCTGATCAGGATATAGTTGTAGTCTCCCTTGGCACAAGTGTGGACGGGGACTGGGTGCACCAGGCCGGGCCAGACCCCAACACTGTCTGGTGTCCTGGAGGACCAGGGTAGATGTGGGACGGACTAAGCCTAGGTCTCAACCCTTACTGAGCCATGTGTGAGCCTATGTGGGTATGGACAAACCATGGCTGGGCTGAAACATCCAACAGCAAGAACCAGGTTAGGTTGAAGGCCAGTCAGGAAAAGCCACTGTTCCTGCTAGGACAGGAGGTGAACTGAGTAGGTCTGGCTTATGGAACCCCTGGTATGCGCAAAATCTGGCATTGGGAGGGGTTCCAATGGAGGAGCCTGGGCAACTCCTCTGGCAGGACACGGACCCTGCAGGTAAGCGCAAAAAGCATGGTGGGAAACAACCCAGAATAGGCCACTGGCATACATTTGGCATGGGTCAGTGGTAGACCAGGCTGAATCAGTTCATGTCATCCACTGGCAAATCCGAGCACCAGAACAGTGTGGGTCGAGCCAGGTTCGGTCGCAACAAAAACTAGTGCACAATACAGAATGCCAAGGTGAGGTTGCCTGTATCAGATGTGACCGCAGCACCCAACCAGCACGCATGAGAACCAGGAATGGAGGCGGCAGAGCTGGCAGGGGGAATAAGGGAGGGTCCCTTTGCTGGACAGCTACTCCCACTGGAGAGCATGAGCAGGGATGGGGGCAGACCAGACTAAACAGGGCTACAACACCTATGTGCCTCAAGTGGACTAGATCAGGGAAAAGCCAGGCTGAGCTGATATTCTTACTGGTGCAAGCATAGATTAGAGTGGGTGAGGGTTGTTTGGGCTTAGCCACAGCATCAGCTGGCAGAAGCTGGCACTGGGGGCTAGTTCTGTCAAGTCAAATCACAGAATCACCTGAAGAGTGCATAAACCGGGAGTGAGAGACCTGGGAGGGAAATAGTGGGCTCCTCCCTCTTGGGTTACCACTCCCACGAGAGGGCACGAAAACTAGGACGGGGCTGGGGTGGCTAGACAGAGAGGCACTCAACAACATCCATGAGGGCTGCATAGTGGAACTGGTTAGATGGAACTAAGATTCAATGCCCATTGACACGTACGAGAGCCAAATGGGATGTGGGACAGACTGGACTAGTCTGCTACACATGCTGGCAAACCAGGGTAGGGGGCGGGCCTGGTGGGGGTTATTGCAGGTCGCTCTGACTAGGCTGCAGCTCCCACTGGTTTATGTGAGGGCCGAGTACATGCTGGGCAGAACCAGGCTGGACTGCAACACCCATTGGTCCCAGTGGAAGTTGGGTCTGAAAACTGAACCAACCCAGTAATTGCAACCACCAACTGATCAGGGCGATGGACTGTGCCGGGCCCTGTGCTTGCTGGAGCGAACAAGAATCTGGTCTGGGAATACCTCAAAGTTTCTTTGGGGATCTCTCCAATTGAAATGCCAGACTCAGAACGCTAACCAAGAAAAGACAGAAGACAGAACAAGTCAATCAACCACCTCAGCTATATGTTGGCAGCGAAGTACTGGGCAAATGGAGACTCTACGAGGGACTGTGTCAATCAATGGATTCTTCAACGATCTCATCGTGCTTGGAGTGGCGAGATTGGCAGCGATTTATAACTGGTGAACTATTAAAAGCACTTGAGCAAGTATCTCAGAGCATGCCCCACATCCGGGACCTAGGGTGGGTGAGAAACTGGGTGGGGCTTTTCCCTCAATATCCCCCTTTACCTCAGATACATGAAGGAAACAATATGGTAATAATAGTCTTACCCACTTCCCTATAGCCCTTGAACCTTTTTACCCTAATTAACTATGTAAAGATTGTCAAAAATATAATAAAAAATTTTTTTTAAAAATTGGTTCAGCTCCGGCCGTTGCAGCCACTTGAGGAGTGAACCAGTAGATGGAAGATATTTCTCTCTGTCTCTCCTTCTCTCTGTAAATCTGCCTTTCCAATGAAACTAAATCAATCAATTTTTTTTTTAACGTCCTAGGATGGCAACTGGGTGTATTTTTTGGGCAAAGAGCCCTGGTGGGTGATTATTTTTTAAAGATTTATTTTTATTATTAAGATTTTATTTTTATTATTTTTTGATTGGAAAGGCGGATATACAGAGAGCACTTCCACTTCCCATCCAGCTCCCTGCTTGTGGCCTGGGAAAACAGTAGAGGACGGCTGAAGGCTTTGGGATTCTGCACCCATGTGGGAGACCTGGAGGAAGCTCCTGGCTTCGGATCGGCATAGCATCAGCCGTTGCGCTCACTTGGGGAGTGAATGATGGGACGGAAGATCTTCCTCTCTGTCTCTCCTCCTCTCTGTATATCTGACTTTGTAATAAAAAAATAAAAAAATCTTAAAAAAAAAAGATTTACTTATTACTAATAGAGACAGAAAGAATGATCTTCCACCTTCTGGCTCAACAGCTGGAGCTGAGCTGATCCGAAGCCACAACCAGGAATCTCCTCTGGGTCTCCCACGCAGGTGCAGGGTCCAAAGACAAGGGGCCAGAAGTAGAGAAAAAAGGCTTGCCTGGGCTCAAGTTTTGCAGGCAATTCCAATTCCATGAATTCCTGCACTTTGGTCTGGTAGGTGCTCTGGAAGGCTTGCTGCTCCTCTCTCCACCTGGTACCTACACCCCTGCTCTGGTGTCTGCCCTCGGGCCTCAGTACCCAATGCTCTGACACCTGGCGGCTGAGTCGGTATTTCAGGAATTGGCCTCAGTAGGAAGCCTGGTGATTCAGGGCCTCAAGAATGGCGTTGGGCAAGCCACCAGACCAGCTGCCTGGGCCACCGCCTCTTTGCTGAGGCAATAAGCACTTCAGTTGGCTCATCGCTGGGTACTCATGTTGTCCTGCCATCCCCAGGACCTCCAGCAGCTCTCCTATGCCAGTTCAGCCCCAGTGATGCCCAAGAGCTTCAGAACTTGAAACAGGACTTGGAGGAAATGGTGTTAGGCTTGGAAAAGAAAAGAGGGCCAACATAAGGGAACCTCTGAAGAACTCTTCTACTTTTAGCTTTTAAAACACTTCTCAGGGCCCACTGTGGTAGCCTAGTGGCTAAATCCTAACCTTGCATGCGCTGGGATCTCATATGGGCACTAGTTCATGTCCCAGTTACTCTACTTCCCTGCCAGCTCCCTGCTTGTGTCCTGGGAAAGCAAGCAAAGACTGCCTAAAGCCTTGTGAACTTGCACCTGTGGGGGAGACCCAGAAGAAGCTCCTGGCTCCTGGCTTCAGATCAGCTCAGTTCTGGCCATTGCAGCCACTTGGGGTGTGAGCCAGCACATGAAAGATCTTTCTCTCTGTAAAATTGCCTTTCCAATAAAAAGAAATAAATCTTAAAAAAAAAAAATCACTTATCAGATCCAAGATGGCTGCTGCCTTTCCTTTCTTCATGTATTTCCTCGGCTGTTTTCTTTAAACTGGCTTCAAACTTACACGGACTCTGTCTTGCATAGCCTCCTCACCAGCAACACCTAGACTCACTCTTGTCCCTTGTTGAACACCATATGTAAGCACAGAGAGAAGCTAGCTAACACTGTAAGATCTGAAGGATTTACCATGTGTCCCCCCCTTGTCCCCCAAGACCCTACAAGGCTTGAGGAGGAGATTCAGCTTTCCTTTCAGCTGCTGTGCTCTTCTTGAATGAGCTCCAGGTCTGAAGACGGAAGGTGTATGTGCTCAGCTCCTGCCTCTTCCACCGATGCCCCTCCCAGGCTCAGAGGCTGGGCCTCCTGAGCTTTGGCCCTAGGCTGCCCTGGAAGGGGCGTGAGTGATGACACAGGTGACTGAGAGCTGGGACGCCTGAGGCCTGCCCACGCTGAGTCACCTGGTGTTGTTGTTGTCCTCGTCCCTGTCGAAGGCCCTGCTCAGCGTCACAGACCTCGGTGGCAACAGCAACAGCTTGCATCCTTCTGACCTGCGGGGAGAAGCTGCGGCCTGGATGGTGAGCCGAATGGGCTGGGGGGGGAGCAGGGGGCGGCTGGGGCGGTGGGGAGATCTGGGGCCCGGGTCAGTGCCTCTCCTCCCTATGCCACTGCTGCCTCCTCCTCCTCCTTCTTCATGTCGGGGTCCCCAGGGAGGAAGGATGTCCATCTTCTCTCTGTCCCATGCCCCTCATACAAGAAGCTCCCCCTCGTCCTTTTGCCCATCTGCGCCAGGGCCCCCCTGTGCAGTACTGCAGGGCACGGGGGCTTCTCAGCCTCGCCATAGTGCCCTCCCCACCCCAGCCACACCCCCAGCACAGGCACAGCCTGCAATGACACCCACCCCTGCTACCCCCTCCTGGGGCTCGCACTCCACTCCATCCCTGGCCTTGGGCACTGCCCCGCCCTCGCGCCGGTGCCCCCAGGACCACCCTGGGCTGCGGATAGGCCCCCTGATTCCAGAGCAGGATTATGAGCGGCTGGAAGATTGTGATCCTGAGGGGCCCCAGGACTCCCCCCTGCATGGGGAGGAGCAGCAACCCCTGCTTCATGTGTCTGAAGGGCTCTGTGGTAAGTGTGTGCGCACATGTATGTGTGTTTGTATGTATGTGTCTGTAGGAGCATGTGTCTGTGTGTACATATATGTATGTAGGAGTGTATGTGTTTGTGTGTATAAGTGCACATCTGTATATGTGTGTGTGTCTGTCAGTGTATGTGTGTGGCTGGAGGGGCAGTGAGAAGGGGGGATCTGGAATTCCTAGGATTCGTCTGGGCTGGGCCTCTGGCAGTAGCACCTTTTGTCACTCAGGTGATGGTGCCACACCTGACGTTGTCCCCTTTGTGTCCAGGCTCCTGGCATCACATCCAGAACCTGGACAGCTTCTTTACCAAGATATCCTTTCTGCTGACTTGCCAGAGGGGGCACGGGAGGGCACCAATCCTGGCAGGGGGAGTGCGTGAAGGTGCCTTGGCTTGAGGCTAAGGTGTGCAGAGACGCTCTCAGGGTGGTCCATTCTGTCCCAAGCTTATTCCTTGACTGCCAGCCACATCTACAGCTACCACCAGCGGAATGGCTTCATCTGTATCCTGCTGGAGGATGTCTTCCAGCTGGGGTGAGATGCTGCTCCCCAGCCTTAAGCTCTCTGCCTGTCACCCACAGGCTGCTGGTCCTATCTGATGTTATCCAGTGCCTTCCTAAGCAGCCCATGGGCTCAGCAGGGTGGGAGAGGCTGCAATAGGAGCCTGAGACTCTGAGGGTTCCCGGGTCTCATCAGTGTCCCCCATCTTTGCACTCCTCGTCCCGCCCCCACCTCCAGACAATTCATTTTCATTGTCACCTTCACAACCTTCCTTCTTCGCTGCGTGGATTACAATATTCTCTTCGCCAACCAGCCAAGTAACCATACCAGAACTCATAGCAAAGTGACTTTGTCTGATGCCATCCTGCCCTCGGCTCAGTGTGCTGAGAGGTGAGTGACAGCATGGGGGGGCCTCAGAGTGAAGCACCCATGGAGGGGACAGAGGGACACATTGGATGTCCCTTGATTTTTTTTTTTCGAAGATTTAGAAAAAGGGTATTTGAAAGTCAGAGCTATATATATATAGAGAGAGGGAGAGATAGATGAGAAAGAAAAAAAGAAAAAATCCTGTTGGTCCACTCCCAAAGTGGCCACAGTCAAAGCCAGAAATCCAGGACTTCATCAGGTCTCCCACATGAGTACAGGGCCAAGCACCTGGGCCATCTTCCACTGCTTTCTCATGTGTAGTAGCAGGGAGCTGTGGGGCAGCCGGGACAGAAACAGGTGCTCATATGAGATGTGGGGAATCAGAACTGACTAAATGCTGACCTCTGTCCCATGGTCCTGATAAGCTCTTCTCGGAGTTTTGCTCTCAGTACCAAAAATTCACTGAATACGCTCTAAGTTGCATTTAGGTTACAACTAGAATGAAGTTGTGTTTAGTTTAAATTATACTAAGTGTATTGAAGACACTTAAAATTGAACACCCAGAGAAGTTTTCTTTAGGAGAGCCATACCTTTTTATTTAGAAATTAAAGCTCAAATTAGAACTAAAATTAAAGAAAAAAGAAATTAAAGCTTAGGTGCTCAGTGGTAAACACAGGTAAGGGTGTGGCCTGTAATCCCGCGTAGGTGCTGGTTCCTGTCCCATGTGGCAGACTCGGATAAAGCTGTTGGCTTTGGCCTGGCTCACCAAAGTGGCCATGTGCAACAATGGATTCCATGGGTTGTCACTATGAGGTGACCTCTTTACATGTCTGGTAGCCTCAGGAGAATGTGACACACTCATGAGAGCAAGCAACTAAAGCTGGCGGAGAGTGATGACTTCTTAGAACGCATCGGGGGCCCTGGCGGAACCCCTGGCAGATGCCCCTATCTGGAGCTTGCTGGTGGTCCAGCTGGAGAGCTGGCTGTCTGGCTCCAAGCCCAGCCTGCCTCTCCCCTCACCATGACTTGTCCAACCCTGTACAGGATCCACTCCAGCCCCCTGCTGCTCTTCCTCTTGGTCCTAGCTGCTGGCTTCTGGCTGTTCCAGCTGCTGCGTTCAGTCTGCAACCTCTTCAGCTACTGGGACATCCAAGTGTTTTACAGGGAGGCCCTGCACATCCCCCCGGTGAGCTGGGCAGTGCCCTGTGTGTGTGCTTATGACAGGTGACAGAGGAAAGGTGAAGAAGCATATGGGGGACAAAGTGTGGCCTCCCTGATGCCAGCCCTGGGTCCACAGTCAGCTTAGGAGGCAGGGGCGTTGTCACTACGCAATTGTGATTCTTGCCCTGGTGGACTCAGTTTATTTAGATGGGTCATAGATGATGACTTACAGTCACCTGCTTGTGGTGTAAACAATGAGGAGTTAGAGGTAGAGCTGTCATCATCTGATACTCTCAGAGCAGGAAGAATTAGGGTTGGTCCTGGATGCACAGGAGGGAAGCCCCAAGGCAGGAAGTTGTTAGGAAGCAGTAGGCACCTGTCTGGGGGTCCTGGTGAGGAGATGGGACTAAAACAGCTTTATAGGTCCCCTGTGGGATGACCTTTCCCGTCATACTGGCCTTGTCATCCTCATCCTGACCCACCCTGTCTTTCCTCTTCATCTTGTGCCTGCTTCTTTTTAAAGATTTATTTTTATTGGAAAGTCAGATATACAGAGAGGAGGAGAGACAGAGAGGAAGTTCTTCCATCTGATGATTCACTCCCCAAGCAGTTGCAACGGCTGGAGCTGAGCCAATCCAAAGCTAGGTGCTTTTTCCAGGTCTCCCACACGAGTGCAGGATCCCAAAGCTTTGGGCCATCCTAGACTGCTTTCCCAGGCCACAAGCAGGGAGCTGGATGGGAAGCAGGGCTGCTGCTTTTTAAAAAGAAGGTTTTATTTATTTATTTTTTAAAGCCAAGCATTTTTTAACCAAATAGGGAAATATTTAATTTTTTAATAAAGATTTGTTTTAATTGGAAAGGTAGATTTGGTTCAGTGCCCAAATGGCTGTAATGGCTGGAGCTGAGCTGATCTGAATCCAGGAGCTTCTTCCAGGTGTCCCATGCAGGTGCAGGGTCCTAAGGCTTTGGGCCGTCCTCTACTGCTTTCCTGGGGCACAAGCAGGGAGCTGGATGGCAAGTGGAATAGTTGGGACATGAACCAATACTCATATGGGATGCTAGCTTAAAGGCAGAGGGTTAGCCAGTTGAGTCAACATGCCGGCTCCCTGCTTCTTGCTGTTTTTAAGTCCTTTCTTTAAAGTGCAGCTGTGTAGTACACATTCTTATTCCCCTCTGCTCCCTAAGTCCAGCACTTTCCACTCTGTAAGAGAAGAGGTTCTAGAAGGTGCAAGAGAATAGAGGACTGCTGGGCACAGCAGGGAGGAGTCAGAAGGAGCAAGTGAGGCTGGGAGAGCAGGAGCTTCTGGCCTCCAGGAGGCTACTCATCTTTCTCTTCCTCACCCTTCTTTCTCCTGTCCAGCCCCTTTCCTGAGAGACATTTGGGTAAGCCCAAGGTGGGGAAGAGGCGGCAGATCCCCAGGACCTTGACTGACTGGGCCTGGGGACTCTGGTCTAAAGTGGACTTTAGATAGGTCTGCACCCCACCAGATGGTTTGGCCGAAGCACCTACCCCCAGGTGCCGAAACAGCCAGGGTCTTGGCAAGGCTCATTTGGTAAGAGAGGGTAAGAAGATTGCCTGGAACAGGCTGGGTCTGGGAGTGGCACAGCATGGTGGTGAAGATGGGAGTGTAAGTGTACTAAACAGATTGGAAAACAGGAGCCATTCCCCCAGTGAACTGTCAGCCATTCAGTTATGTGCATGGCTTGGTGGTGGGAGGCCACTCCCAATACCCTGCCTTCAAGGAGCTGTAAAACCAGGGGAACACCCAAACACCCTCGGAGAGCTTGCTAAAGAGGTGTCACCAAGAAACACATGACTAATGGGAACAGCAATTTGGAAGAGCAGGAAGCGCCAGCGGCAGGGTTAGAGAGAGGGCAGAAGGCAAAAGCCTAGGAGAGGTGACCACAGGGTTTATGGTGAGTTTATGGCAGTTGGTAGGTAGCCCATGTCGGGATGCAGAGCTGTGGAATCACTGGGGTAGTGTAGCAGGGTCGCTGGTGTATAACTGACCCCTTCTCCTTAGGAGGAGCTCAGCTCGGTGCCCTGGGCCGAGGTGCAGTCCCGCCTGCTGGCACTACAGAGAAGCGGAGGGCTGTGCGTGCAGCCGCGTCCGCTGACGGAGTTGGATGTCCATCACCGCATTCTGCGCTACACCAACTACCAGGTGGCGCTGGCCAACAAGGGCTTGCTGCCCGCCCGTTGCCCGCTGCCCTGGGGTGGCAGCGCGGCTTTCCTCAGCCGTGGCTTGGCACTCAACGTCGACCTGCTCCTCTTCCGAGGGCCCTTCTCGCTCTTCCGTGGGGGCTGGGAGCTACCGGACGCCTACAAACGCAGTGACCAGAGGAGCGCCCTGGCCGCGCGCTGGGGGCGCACAGTGCTGCTGCTGGCCGCGGTGAATCTGGCGCTGAGCCCGCTGGTGCTGGCCTGGCAGGTGCTGCACGCCTTCTACAGCCACGTGGAGCTATTGAGGCGAGAGCCTGGTGCTTTCGGGGCGCGTCGCTGGTCCCGCTTGGCTCGCCTACAGCTGCGCCACTTTAACGAGCTGCCTCACGAACTGCGCGCGCGCCTGGCCCGCGCCTACCGCCCGGCCGCCGCCTTCCTGCGCGCCGCCGCGGCCCCAGCCCCTCTGCGCGCCCTGCTGGCCCGCCAGCTCGTCTTCTTCGCCGGCGCGCTCTTCGCCGCGTTGCTGGTGCTCACGGTCTACGACGAGGATGTGCTCGCTGTGGAGCATGTGCTCACCGCCATGACCGCGCTCGGGGTCACGGCGACCGTGGCTAGGTGCGACGGCAGGTGCCCGGGCTGATGGTGGTGCTGGTGGGTGGAGCCTAAATCTGCAAATCTTTACTTTTCCCACCTCCCATGCAAGTCCTAAATCCCGCCTGTGCATCCTCCCCGCCCTGGCTCCCGCCTTCCAGGTCTTTTATTCCCGAAGAGCAGTGCCAGGGGCGTTCCCCGCAGCTCCTGTTGCAGGCGGCTCTGGCCCACATGCATTACCTTCCCGAGGAGCCCGGCGCTGGCGGCAAAGCCAGTGCGTACCGGCAGATGGCGCAGCTCCTGCAGTACCGAGCGGTGAGGGTCGGTCGGGGCACAAGGAGGCAGTGCCGCCCAGGGGAATCTGTCAAGGAGAGGGTACAGGGCCAACGGGCGTGGCATTGGCTCTCGGGAACCCAGGGGGTGACTGCCCTCGCCTGTAGCTCGCTGGGAGCCTCTTGATCCTGATCACTAGTGGGACGACTCAGCAGCCGCACCTGTGCTTCTCCAGGTCTCTCTTCTGGAGGAGCTCTTGTCCCCTCTGCTCACCCCGCTGTTTCTGCTCTTCTGGTTCCGCCCTCGTGCCTTGGAGATTATTGACTTTTTCCACCACTTCACTGTGGATGTGGCCGGCGTCGGGGATATCTGTTCCTTTGCCCTCATGGATGTGAAGCGTCATGGCCATCCTCAGGTTAGAGTCCTTCCCTGGCTGTTCTGGGCTGGGCCTGCCTCATCAGAGCAGACCCAGGCCAAAACCCAGCTCATCGTTCCACCACGTGTGACACTGGGCAGGTCATTTCACTTTTCCTGCACTCAGAGTGTATGAGGACACTGGTGGGAAGCTTGCTGTGAGGATGGCTCCACTGGACTTACCAGCACACAGGAATGGCAATCAATGCCAGCACAGAGAATTCCAGAGAGGGGAGAAAGGGGGCAGGCCAGTGGGTGTGGTTGAGTCTGGATGCCATGGGGGCCCTGTCTGCACAGGGGCGGGTGGAACTCGGAGGCCGGAGGGTCACCCCCTTGAGCTGGATCTCCCTCCAGGTGCTGCTCTGCAGCCTTCGCTTCCTTCCTGTGGAAAGCAGGGCCGTATTTCAGTGCTGCCTCCCCTCCCCTCCCTTTGTGGGGCTCAGCGTCCTCAGCACCCTACTGTTGTTGCGTGCAGTGGCTCTCGGAGGGACAGACAGAGGCCTCGCTGTCTCAGCGTGCAGAGGATGGCAAGACTGAGCTCTCACTGATGCGGTTTTCCCTGGCACACCCGCAATGGCGCCCACCAGGGCACAGCTCTAAGTTCCTGGGGCACCTTCGAGGCCGGGTGCAGCAAGATGCAGCTGCCTGGGGCACCAGCTCAGCTCGGAGCCCCCCCACCCCGGGAGGGCTCAGCAGCTGCACCTCACCACTGGTGAGTCCCACACCTGGAGTGCCCACTTGTCCTTTCCAGCGCTGGACCTTTCCCCACGGCTCTCTTCCTAGCGAGCCTCCCCTTTTCCTGTTAACTGGCTGCTGGCCCACTCGCTGGCTCTACAGTCTTGCCAGGACCTTCTCTCCCTCTCTGCCTTCTTTCCTGATCCGTCTCTCCTTTTTGCTTGCTCCCAGCCTGAGGCTTTCCTGGCCAACCTCTTAGTGCACCCCCTCCTGCCCCCGAGGGACTTGAGCCCCACAACCCCCTGCCCGGCTGCAGCCACAGCCAGCCTCCTGGCCTCCATTTCCCGTATCGCCCAGGACCCCAGGTGAGAGGAAGAGCTCCAGAGGCCAGGGAGCCAGGTCAGGGGCCAACTGTCCGGAATGAGGGGGATTTGGGAGGGGGTGCAGCTACTCCTCTCCCTCTGGCACATGATAGGCATACATGTCTTTTGACCTCTCACACACCCCTGCCTTCCAGCTGTGTGTCTCCAGGGGGCACAGGGGGCCAGAAGGTGGCCCAGCTCCCGGAGCTGGCTTCTGCTGAAATGAGTCTCCATGCCATCTACCTGCACCAGGTGAGAATGCCAGACAGGGACACGTGGGGGAAAAGCAGATGAATAAGATGGAGGCCGAAGAGGGGCCTGGGGTGTAAGGAGTCGCAAGAAGAGGTCTAAGAGCCCTCTCCAGCAGCAGGCCGGGCCCCTCACGCCTTCCCCTCCCATCCAGCTTCATCAGCAGCTACAGCAGGAGCTGTGGGGAGAGGCTGAAGGCTCCTCCCCGTCCAGGCCCTGGTCCAGCCCCTCCCAGCCAGCCTCGCCAGATGAGGAGAAGCCATCCTGGTCCAGTGATGGTGAGAAGCAGGGCGGGGGCAGGGCAGAGGGCAGACCCTGGCTGCGCCCTGGGCACCGTGGCACTGGCTGGCTGACGGCTTCTGTCGCCAGGCTCCAGTCCTGCGTCCAGCCCCAGACAGCAGTGGGGAGCCCAGAGGGCCAGGAGGCTGTTCCCTGAAGGGTTTCACGAGACCATGGATACCCCGAAGGAGCCTGGTCAGAGCCCTGGTAGCGAATGAGAGGACTTCTCAGGTCAGTATGGCCTAGTCTGGGAGGAGGGAAAAGGGATGAACAGGGAATGGGTTAGGAACCGGACCTGGAGGTGCGGAAATGGTGATGGAATTGAGGGTGGTAGGGGAGGCTATGCTGGGACGCAGAGCCCTGGACGCTGACCAAGAGCCTTCTCCCCCAGGTTCCCTGGTTTCTCCAGCCACAAGAGACTGAGATCGCATGGAGTGGCACAGAGGGACACCTCACGCCATCGTGAAGAGGGCAGAAGGACACATCTAGCTGTCTTTGGGGACTCCCCATCTCATGCTTATAGGGGCCCAGGATGCTTTCTCTGGGAAGGAACTGGGGGTCAGTGAGGAACTTGCTGCAGAGATCAGAGAAAGGACAGGAGTGAGGAAGCCCATGGTGGCCTGAAGCTCCAGAGACAGTTCCTGTACAGAGGTGCCCTGCCCGTTCCACTCTGGGGACTGGCGGTCCTGGAATGGGACCAGGAAGAAGTCCCTGGGTCTCCTCCGTGGGGAGGGGGACAGAGGCCAAAGTCGCTGGAAGAGAAACAGGTATGGGATCTAGAAGGCGCTGGGCCTTGGCTGCTGCTGCTCCCTGAGGGTCCCCAGGGGCAAGGGGCGGGGTACTGGGACTTGGGAGTACAAAGCTGCTGTTTCTGGACTCCAGCACTGGTGTGAGGTCTGAGGAAGTGGGTGCGGCTCCTCTTCCCACATGGAAGATGACTCGCATCTGTGTTGCACATCTGTGCGCCCTGCCGTCCCCCTGGCGGCGCTGGAAGGCCACTCCAGTTTTCCCAGTCAAGAGCCAGGGAACAACACTGGCAGCTGCCGTGTTTTCCAGAGCACTGGGTCACACGGAGGACGAGGTGCTCTTCCTCAGGGAATCACCACGCCCGCATCGGATCAAGTGAAAACACAAAACGGGTCATTTTACCACCGTCATTCACGGGGGGGGGGGGGGAGCACAGTCTCTTAGGGTAAATCTTCACTAATAAATATTCGAATGACTTAGAGGTTAAGCTTTAAAGGTAAGATACTCCGGAGAAACGGCTAAGGGGAATCTAAAATTCACTTAAAAGCTCACAAAGAGGACAGGAATTGGTCCAGCTGATAGGGCAGAGAGGGAGGGGGGAGAGAGAGCGCCTTTTGCTCATTCTTGGGGGGGGGGTGGTAATAAAGCTGTCCTTGTTGAAGTGGGAAGGCACCCCAAAGAGGGGAGGTTGGAGGATGGCCCCGGGCTCCTCTCGCCAACTGGAGGGCCCAGCCCGAGGGCCCTCAGGAGCCGGGCGTGTCTGAGCCCGGCAGGTCGAACGCCCAGGGCACGGCGCCCCGCAGCTGCCGCTCCTGCAAAGAGAAGCTCTGGGTGCGGATGCGGCTGGTCACCTCCTGGGTGCGCAGCGTGAGGCCGAAAATGTCCTCGTGGTAGCGTTGCTGATCCTGCCGCGGAAGGGGAAGAAGAAACCAGAACCCGAGTCAGAAGCAAAAGCCGCCATCAGGAGCTCCACGGCCCTCTCCCCTACGAGCCCCGTCCCCTCCGCACCCGCAGCACGCCGATGACGTCACCGGCCTCGTCCAGCTCCATGTCGCCCTCGGACGCCAGGATTCGCTGCACAGTCTGCAGGACGCTGGTTGCCATGGTGACATCGCCGCAGACGAACATGTGGCCACGTTCGAGGCACAGCACGCGGTGCACCTCAGACGCCAGCTCGGTCCTCAGGATGTCCTGCACGTAGGTCTGAGGGGAGGCCGAGAGGGGTGGCGTTGGATGTGCAGGGGGGACCTGTGGGACCCACCTCCTGTGGAGTAGGGGTCTAGAAAGGAGGAGCCCAGGAGGGGGACGCGGCTGGGGGTGCGGTAGGGGCATGCAGACTGGTTGCTGAGAGACAATGCAGGGGACCAGGCTGCGGTTGGGACCATCCCCACGGTCCCTTCCCTCTTTCCCTTTCCTCAGGCCGCTCACCTTGGGGCTGTCGTGTTCCCGGGAGAAGGCTGTGAGGACGCGGCCAAACACCCCGCGCTGCTGGGCGTCCTGCACCTCGTCGCGGTAGAGATGGTCTAGCTGGGAGCAGCGGCAGCCGAACACCAAAGTCATAGGGGCAGGCTGCAGGCCTGCAGGTGACAAGGAGGGCTTGGAAGGGCCCCTTCGGCCCCAGCGGTGACTCTTGCTGGCTGACTACCCCTTCTGGAGGGAGCAGCCACCATTTGGGGCTGTTGGGTCTTCCTTCCTTACGGTGTCCCTGGGGTGATGTGTCTGTGGGACTTCTGCTGAGTGGTCCCCTGCCTCTCGCTGTGTGTGAGGCGCCCAGCCTCCTTCCAGGCTCCAGCCCCAGGTTCTCCTACACCTTCAGCTTTCTGTCCCCAGCTTGACAAATTATCCTGGCACATCATGGCTGGCCTAAACACTGTAGCTGCCCTAGGCCTTGAGCACATCTAGGTGAGTTGTGGCATAGTCTGGAGTCCACCAGGAGTGTTTCCTCTGCATTCCCAACCTGGTCCCTTCCGAGGTCCATCTCCCCTTGTCTTAATCTACTTCAGCACTCACTGGGTGCCAGGAGGCCAGAGAAACAAGGCCTAGCCCACGTGCCCAGGCGCCCCTGGGCTTTTGGGCTAGCAGGCTTCTTTGATAGCCAGTTTCAAGTTTTCTCTTTCCTAGCTGCTTCCTGGCTCTGTCCTTTTGTCTGGAGATGCGTGACTCCCTCCTGCCTTCCCATCAGGCCCTCAGGCCCCAGCCTCACCTTTGCTTTCAATGTCATGCAGACGCTCCTGCCAGAAACCCCGGAATGGGGCAATGCCGGTACCCGGGCCCACCAGGATGCAGGGCAAGCTGGGATCAGGTGGCAGCCGGAAGGAGGGGGCCCTAGAGAAGAGATGTTCCATTAAGTCCTCTCTCCTTCTCTCCTCCCCTTTTTTACCAACCTCAGGCAGGCAGGGTGGAGAAAGAACTCGGGTTCCAGTACTTGGGAAAGTTCTTAAAACAGGTTCTGGCTTGGGTTAGCATGGTTGTGTTTGTCACAAGAACTGCCAGCAGGCAGAAAGCCCCTGTGTCTTTGATTTTTAGAGATTGGGCCAAAGGAAACAGTTCAATTCGGCTTTGAAGAATGAGGATTTAGGAAATACGGGGGTGAAGGGAAAGGACAGCCTCTCGGTTTACAATGAGCTCACTGACTGTTTATTTTCAACAATGGCCTTCATGTTGGTGTTTGGCTGGGACAGGTTGAGCCCTCTGGCTGAGTTTGGGTGAGCAGACCTCGCTGACGCCAGCTGGGGCCTGCTGTCAGGCCCCCCAAGACTTCTGGCTGCTGGACTCCAGGTTGTGATGTGGGTGCGACACGAAGGACTGGGTTGCTGAGTCAGCATCGCTGTGACCAAGCGTGGTCTTTACCCTGGCCCATTCTCTCTAGATTAAGTGGGGGAGTCAGGGACTGCACAGTTCCCAGGGACCACAGTTCCAGATGCAGACACAGGAACTACACTTTCAGAAAGCAGGAGGGCTACTGAGGGAGGCACAGCTACCTCTGGAGAGGTAGTCTTAGAATAGGTCCCCAGACCCAATCTGTGAAGGTCAGAGCTTCGCCACAGTCCCGATGTGACCTTGCCACACTCCATCCTTGCTGTGTTATAGGGGGTCCTCTATGCCTCCAGTAACATCTCTCTCTGTAAGCACCCTGGCCCTGGACAGCCCCCACTAAGTCCTCCTCTCTCCCCCACAGTGCATGAAACACCATCCTTTCTGCCTAGATGGGGAGACAGCGGCTGTCTTGACATTCCTTCCCCTCGCACAGGGCTCACTTACCCCCTGATGAAGCAGGGCACAGGGTCTCCAGCCTTGAGTTGGCTCAGCCACGTGGAGCAGACACCATAGTGCAGGGGGCCCAGCCCATCTGGGGGGTTGGAGGGAAGGCTGCTGAGGGCTGTCCCACTTCTGCTGAGGCCAGATCCCCACCCCTGTTCCTAGCCTCACCCTGCGTCCTGTAGGCCAGCACAGCAACAGTGAGATGGATCTCCCCTGGGTAGATGCTGGGTGCTGAGCTGACTGAGTAGTACCGGGGCTGCAGCAGGGGCAGCTGTGTGAGGAGCAGGGGTGCAGGCAGCGCCACAGATGGGAACTGTTCCAGCACCTCCAGTAGTGTCGGACAGCGGAACCATTTCCATTCCTCATAGCGCCGGGGATCCTGGCAGGGCAGGGGAGACGGTGGGCTGGGAACCCCACAGCCTTCCCTGCTGTCCTCCCTTCTCCACACAGCCCCACTAAGGCTTTCTCCCTCTTCCGTGTAGCCTAAAGGGATTTCTTTAAGGGCTTGAGGCTCCAGGAAAGAATCAGTGTTCTGCAGAACTACAGTGTATGTTACCCAGGAGAGGAAATTCTGGGGAGGAGCTTGCACAGGGAGTTTCCTGCTCCTGGGCCCCCTCCCCCAGCTCGTCTGCTCTGTGTCTGGTGCCCATTCTGCAGTCGATGGGCAGTCCCCACCTGGCTGAGGGCTTCCAGCTCCTGCTGTTCACTGGGCTCTTCGGCCAGAGTGCTGAGCAGTTGTAGGAGCCGAGGGCTGGGTGGGGAAGTGATGTCCAGGAAGAAGGTGAGAGCCTGGCGCAACGTGCACGGGGGCAGCCGGGGGTCCCGCACCCAGCCCGGCGGAGGGCCACCTGGGAAAGGGGAACACAGGGAGCTCTGAGCAGGAGGCCGGCTGCAGGGTGTGGGCTGCAGTGTGTGATCACACCATATTTCATTAGAGAACTTGCCCATCTGGGCAGGCTCGGAGTTTGAGGGACCCCTGGCTGGAGTTGGCTGGCTCCAGCTCCTCTGTTGCAGTCCCTGCATCCCTGCCCCATCTTAACCTTAGGTGTCACGTGGCAGAGGCTACACCCAGTATCCTACAAAGCAAGGTCAACTACCAGGGAAGCTTTTGGAAGGATCCCAGAGCAAGGGAACTGCCTCTTAGTGGTGTGGGAGGTGGGTTGCTGGGAGCATCCATTGACAAGGCCAGCCTGGCAAGGTGGCCCAGCTGGCTCTGTGCCAGTAATGGGCAGCTGGGGATGGAGGTGCTTCCCTGCTGAGGGCTGAGGCCATCCTGCATATAGGGGGATGTGCAAGCCCTCACTGTTGTGCCCCAGCCCCTCACCAGGGCTGCCCTTCTCCAGCTGCTCCACTGCCACAGGCTCGGTGGGTGGTGGCGGGTCCTCCACGCGACTCAGCAGTGCCTCCACAAGGCCAGGCCGGTTGGGTGGGCAGACTCCTATGTGGTCCCCTGGCTGGTACTGTAGCCCTTCCTGGCCTCTAGTGTCCAGACGCACCAGGATTGTGGCCCGGCTGTGGGGGCAAATGGAGGTCATAGAGGGGAGAAGAAGAAAGGGAGGAGAGAGGGTGCCAGTGTCTGGGCACAGATGGGCAGGATGTGGGAAGGGGTGCTGGGGTCTGGGTACAGAGGGGCCAGGATGGTGGGGAGGTGGGAGAAGCAGTTTCCCTCACGTGGATTTGCTGCTTTGTAAGTTTTCCACTGAGAGGATGGTGGCCTGGAACATCTTCCGCCTGTGTACATGGATCAGACCTGGCGGGGAGGGGCAGAGCAGTCCAAGCCTGAACCAGGAAGAAGGGCCTGGCCCATTGAATGGGTCAGTTCTGGGGCCCTGGGGTCCCCCCCAGACCTGGTGGATGAAACCCGTACCTGGCAGCAGCTGTAGACCCTCTGTTTGGGTACTCAGGCGGTACCTCTGACGCTTCCAGCTCCGTTTGGGGCTAAATATGTCCCGGGCAGCGGCCTTGGCATCTTCTCCCACACAGAAAGTCTCACAGGAGGCCTGAGGGTTAGAGAGGCAGGGCTGAGGACTGTCCTACCGAGGAGCCCCAGTGTGTGAGGGAGGGTGACAAGGGGCTGGAGCAGGACCTTTTGGATCCTTGGTCACCTCGGTCTGTTCCTGCATAGCCTCAGCAGCTGGATCAGCCTGGCTGAGTGGTTTTTGTAAGGTCGGCAACCCCAGGGGCAGGAGGGGAAAGGAGGTTGGAACGGAGGCTGAGATGAGCACTAATCTTGTCCTGCAGTCCATTTTGTGGCTTGGTGGTTAGGCTCAGGGGCACTGCCTGCTACTCTTCTACACATCATTGAGTTCACAGCCAATAGTTGCTCATTAGTCCCCTGTCCCAGAGAGCACCGTGCTTGGTGTTTGATAGCTCAGTGTAGGAAGGTGTCCTGTGCGTCTAGCCCTGAATTCACGTTCTGACTCCTGAACTTGCAGCCTTGCTTTCTCCATCTTTATTTCTCACTGGGTTCTGGTGATGAAGGACTCAATGAAACACTTGAGGTAAAGCCCTCAGCACAGTGTGCCTAGCTCACGAGGGCCCCGAGAGAGGGACACAGGATTCTGGTGGTGTCCTACCTCATGGGGTCTCATCTGCTCTGGTCAGGCACATGTCCAGCAACTGGCCAGGCGCAGGCTTGCTACCCAGCAGGGCTCATCTCTGATTGGCTGAGCCCTATATCACCAGCTCCTGTTAATCTTTTGTGATGTGTGCACAGTCTTATATCTCTTCCTTCCTTCCTCAGCCCCCTCCCTTCCTTCCTTCCCGCACTGCTACCACCCCATTTGGCTCATTCTTCCTGCTTCTACTTTTGCTGTGTTGTCATCGGTCCTGTACCTCCGAAACCACATTCCTACAACAGAAGTCTTGGCTCACTCCAAAGCTTCTAGGCACTCCTTTATGTCCAAATTCCACTCTGGGCCTTTTGTTTCAATTTGACTTCCCCTCTACCAGGCAGCCGTTCCCATCCGCTTGCCTCCTGAGCTGTTCTCTGTCAGTCCTAACCAGCTGGGCCTGAGCCATGGGCTCTGGGGTGGGAGAGCAGGCACAGCACTGGTGAGAAGTCTGTGTTTGATGCCAGCTGGACAGGCAGCTGCCTGCAGCGGAAGTCCAGGCTTAAAGCATCCCAGGCCTTGGCACCCTCCTCTGGCCAAGACCACCTTCCCAGTTCAGGTACTCCCCCTGCCGGCCTGGCTTCAGACTTTCTGGAGCTTCTGTATTGGTCTTGGCTCCAGCCCTCATGCTGTCTGACCTCTCCATCCTTCCAGGACCTGCCTGCTTTCTTCAGCTGTGCTTCTGCTGGGGCCAGGCTGGCTAGTAGGGCCAAACGATCCACTGCTGCAGACAGAGGACTGGCTTTGTAGGCATTATTTGAGGGCAGAGCCAGGAAGGAACAGCAACTGATGCCAGAAGTAGAATCAGGGCAGCGTGAGCCCCTCGGTCCTCTATCGTGCAGCTGTTAGAAGTGAAGGCACTCTGGGAAAGCTGCCACCTGCAGCTCCAGCGTCATGTATGGGCACTGGTTAGAGTTCTGGCTCCTCCAGTTCCAATCCAGCTCCCTGCTAATGTGCCAGGGAAAGCATGAAAATCTGATACAAATACTTGTACCCAAGTGGGAGACCTGGATGGAGTACTAGGTTCCTGGCTTCAGCTTGGCCTGGGACTGGCTGTTGTGACAATTTTGGGAGTGACCCAACAGATAGGAAATCTCTCTCTCTCTCTTGCTGTAATTCTGCCTTTCAAATAAATAAAATAAATTATTTAAATCTAAAAAAAAGAATTCACAAAGCAGAGGGGGTTGCCTGTTGGCGTGACTTGTGAGTGGGGACTGTCAAGCTAGAAGGGGGCTAGATGTTGGGCATAGGCAAAGGGGCTTACCTGGAAGGCAGCCTGGGCCCAGCCACGGAAGGCCTCCTCCTGGCCGCAGAGCTCATCCCCCTGGCCCAGCTGTAGGAGCCTTTCCCCGCCCAGCTCTTCCAGCCGCGTGTCCACCGCACGAGCAAAGGCACAGAAGTGGGGGTATGCCCGGGAGCCGAGCCCAAACACACAGAACCTGGGGAGCAGGGAGTTGTCACTAGAGCCCCTGACCTGGTCCTCATCTGCCCAGCCAACTTCCTCAGTTGTGCCCGCCCCCCTTGGCAAGGAGCCCTGACTCTCATGAGGGTGCCCGGACCTGAGGGTGCCCAGAGCCCCCGCACTGTCTGTGTTACTGGACTCCTTCCTCTTCCGTCGCCAAGAGGACACCAGCGGGTCTGAGCAGGAGACGCTGTTGAAGCGGATTTTGTAACTCCTGACAAGAGAGGACAGAGGCGGGGTGTCACAGGGAGCAGGAGCCACGTCTGAGGTCCAGGCGAGTGAGCTTCCAGCTGTCTGCTCCTGGGCTGTGACACATCCTGCTCCTCTTGGGAAAGGCAGAGGCCAGCCTATCCCCAGGAGGCAGGGCTCCCTGGGGCTGTGCTGGGGGCTCCATCCTTCGCCTTCTGGCTTGTGGCACAGAGGAAATGCTCTCTCAACTCCCATCTTGTTGGCCTCCCATTGGCTTTGTGCATCCACCCCCACCCATTGGCTCTGCGCTCCCACCTGCCTGAAGCGCCCACCCCCACCCATTGGCTCTGCACTCCCACCTGCCTGAAGCTCCTGCCCACCGCCACCCATTGGCTCTGCGCTCCCACCTGCCTGAGGCTCCTGCCCACCGCCACCCATTGGCTCTGCGCTCCCACCTGCCTGAGGCTCCTGCCCACCCCCACCCATTGGCTCTGCGCTCCCACCTGCCTGAAGCTCCTGCCCACACTCACTTGTGCTGCTCAGGCCGAGGAGAGCTGTTGTAGGGGCCGGACATCTCCATCAGGGCTGCAGCAAAACTCTGTATGGGGAGGGGTGTGCATTTGCGCTTAATTCTGTTGCATTTCAGTCAACAGGAGCTTAAAATCGCACAGGGCTGCTATTTATTGTTACCTATTTGTAACTTTTAATTTCTACTCATTTTGAACACTTCAAAAGAGGCCTATCTTCTTTTTAAACAATTGCACTACAGTAGTAAAAGAGACAAGCTATCCCATTTTCTTGCCTGTCTCACCCTCCAAGGTTATGCACTGTTGACAGAAGGTAATTTTCCTTTTGGTTGCACTCATGTATTTATAGTCTTTTTAAAACAGTGAAAATGAGCCCATGCTAAATTTACCCAGTATCTATCAATAACCTCTCATGGAACTCTTTCCAGTTCAGTGCATCAAGATGGACTTCATCCTTTTTAACTGCTACATCATATTCCACCGTTGTGTCCTTCCCTCGGACTGACGGGCACCTGCATGATCTGTGAACAGTGCTCAAACACTGTTATACACTGCCTTGCATCCTCTTTTGCATCTTTGTTTTGGGGAGTCTGCAGCTCTGGAGTTACCGAGTCAAAGGATTTAAAAACCTTGGTGAGTTAGTCAGATGTTGCTTACAGTAGCAGAGGAAGGGCTGGCTCTTTCTTATCCATATCAAAACTGGTTATGAGGGGTTGGTGGTGTGTCATACTTGGTAAAGCTGCCTGTGATACTGGTATCCCATATGGGCAGTGGTTTGAGTCTCAGCTGCTCCTCTTCCAATCCAGCTCCCTGCCAAAGCAGTTGGGATGGCCAGATGCTTGGGCCCTGGTACCCATATGGGGAACCCCAATGAAACTCCTGGATCCTGGCTTTTCCTGTTTTAAAGTATTTATTTTTATTGGAAAAGCAGAGTTACAGAGAGAGGAGGAAAGATGAAGAGAGATATTCCATTCACTGGTTCACTCCTCAGATGGCTGATTTAAAGCCAAGAACCAAGAGATTCTTCCTGGTCTCCCATTTGGGTGCAAGGGCCCAAGGACTTGGGCCAGTTTCTGCTGCTTTCCCAGGACATTAGCAGGGAGCCGGATCAGAAGTGGAGCAGGGCCTGGCGCGATAGCATAGTGGTTAAAGTCCTTGCCTTGCACGTGCTGGGATCCCATATGGTTGCTGGTTCTAATCCCGGCAGCTCCACTTCCCATACAGCTCTCTGCTTGTGGCCTGGAAAAGCAGTCGAGGACGGCTTAAAGCCTTGGGACCCTGCACCCGCGTGGGAGACCTGGAAGAGCTCCTGGCTCCTGGTTTCGGATTGGTGCAGCACTGGCTGTTGCGCTCACTTGGGGAGTGAAGCTGTGGACAGAAGAGCTTCCTCTCTGTCTCTCTCTCCTACTTGTATATCTACCTTTCCAATAAAAATAAATAAAAATACATTTTTTAAAAAAGTGAAGCAGCTGGTACTTGAACCAGCATTCATATGGGATGCCAGCCCCACAGGCAAAGACAGCCACCACGTTGCCCGTCCCCCACTCCCCCCACAGTCTCCTGGCTTTAGCCTAACCCAGGTCTGGCTATGGCTGCCATTTGGGGAATGAACCAGAGAGTGGAAGCTCTCTCTGCAAAGCCTCCCAAAGTAAGAGGCTTATTTAGAAAATAAAATTGGCTATGACCAGCCTTGTATTTCTTGGGTGGACATGGCCCTCAGTTCCCTTTATAGAGCCTGTTCCCAAGAGGACATCATTAGGCAGCCTTTCTGAGAAGGCTGCAGCACGCTGCGAGATGCTGTGCAAACATCTCAGTTATGTGAGAGAAACCTTCCAGTAGAACAAAAGTTAGGAGGCTATACCATCTGAATGCTAACCACGGGCATAATTGAGTAGCGATTCTGGATCCCATCATTGGGATATATGACTTGAATTTCAATTTTTGAATGGTCTATTAAGATGTAACATAAATACAGAAAAGCACACAGATATTTGCAAATCTAGCACACCCTTTGCAAGCAGCCTTTCCTCAAGAAACATTACCAGCACCCCAGTGTTTCCTTCTGTGTCCCCTCCTAGGCACCGTGCTCCCCTTCTTCAGGGTGAGCAGCTGGTCTCCTGCTTGATAATATCATGGATTAATTTCATCTATTCCTGAGCTTTGTAAAAAGCAAATCCTACAGTGTAAGGCCACTTCAAAAGCTCAGTGGGAAATGGAATGAATAGAAGATGATGTACCTTTTCCATAACTTTCTAAAGAGTCCTCATGTCCTCCTGTACTCTTTACACGTGTTGAGGTTCATCGTGTTGTGTGTGTGTAGCTGTAATTTATTCACACTTATTGCTGTATTGGATTTGAGCATACCACAGTTTATTAAGCTTATTATTGGTAGTTATTTGGGCTATTTCCAGTACAGGGTATTATGAGCTATATAATACTGCTACAAGTTTTCTTTTATCTTTAGTGAATATACCATTTTCTATGGGATGTATTCGTAGATTTTCTCATTAAAAAAAAAACTGGGAGTAAAACAGACATTGAAATGCATAGATCTCAAAGGGTACATTTCAGTCTGCTTGGCTGTTTAGTAAGCTTTGTTTAAAAGAAGAAACGTAGACACATATCTTGCCTATGACCCAGAAATTCCTCACCTCGGTGTTTGGTTAAGAGAAATGAAAACATAAGGCTACAAAAGCCTGGTACAAGAATGTTCATAACAGCTTTATTCATAATGTCCTCCAACTGGAAACAGCCCAAGCGTCTATCGGCAGGAGAATGGATAAACAGACGGGGTGGGCATTCGTGCAATGAGCACTATTCAGCAGTGGAAAGGATTGGAAGAGTGACTCATGCAACCACATGGGTGACTGCTGAAAACAGAAGCCGTTATCCTGTGTGTGTCTATCTCCGTGAGTCGATAGAGCAGGTGGGACTGGTAACAACAGCCACTGCTAGTGCAGACAGAATTAGTGAGAGAAAATTCTAGAAGCAAGGAAGTAGTTCTGTATATCGTTTCCAGGAGTTCTGTATGGGTTTCCAGGAGCATATTCATGCTTTCAAAGAGCTCATTGATGATACCGCCATGCTTTGAGTGTGTAACCTCAGAATAAATGTTTTGGGAATTGTAATCCCTACAGTTAGTGGCATTTGGAAGTCAGACCTTCTTGCGGGACAGGGGAGTGACTGGGTTATGGGGGCTGTCCCCGTGTGAATGGATTAATCCGTGGGCTTATTGGGGCATGGCTTTATCATTAGCGTGGGCTCTCTGCTGGCCCTTCCTCTGTCTCACTGTGTAACACCCTCTGTCATGTTCTGATGTAGCAAAAGTTCCCTCCCAGATGCTGGACAGAGGTTGTGAGAGGTGCTTGCCTTCTCTAAAAAGCGGATCAGAAGGAGGGCTGGAAGGAACAGTAGGGCAGAAGAGAAGGCTCCTTCAGATCTCAGCTTTGCTTTGGGTTCTGACTTAAGGCTACGTGAGGAGGTATTTACTGCTAATAAGGCATGAGTGGAAACAGTTAGGAGTGACAACAGGTTAAGAGGGCCAGAAACGAACACAGCTTGGGGCAGCTGAGAGAGGCTTAGCCTGCAAGATAATGGCTAACTCCAGGTTTTTTTTTTTTTTGTTGTTGTTGTTGAACAAGTGAAGTTGTTGAACCTGTGCTATTTGCTTTTGTTCATAGGAGAGAGGAGAGAGCTGTGATTTGAGTTCCCAGCTCCTGGCTTGACCTGGCTATTAGGTACTGTGGGGAGTGAGAAGACAAGTGGGAATTCTCTCCCTCTTCTGTCTGTCCCTCTTTCTGTTTCTCTGCTCAGTTAAATTTAAAAGAGAGAGAGAGAGAATAAAGGAATGAAAAGGCTGAAAATTCATCTTAAGTGGAGCCTCCCTGTTTTTCTCTTGTGTAACTTTTAGAGGAGCATAATTTCATTGACCAGCCAAGAATTGCCTTACTCATATTAGAAACTTGCACTGGACCCGGCCCGATAGCCTAGTGGCTAATCCTTGCCTTGCATGTGCTAGGATCCTCTGTGGGTGCCGGTTCAAATCCTGGCTGTTCTACTTCCCTTCCAGCTCCCTGCCTGTGGCCCAGGAAAGCAGTGGAGAACGACCCAAAGCTTTGGGACCCTGCACCCGTGTGGGAGACCTGGAAGAAAATCTTGGCTCCTGGCTTTGCATCAAATCACCTCTGGCCATTGCGACTACTTGGAGAGTGAACCTGTGGATGGAAGATCTTTGTCTCTCTTTCTCTCTGCATATCTGCCTTCCCAATAAAAATAAATACATCTTTAAAACAAACAAACTTGTACTGATGATGAAAATGACTGAGGTGGAGCTTAGGCAGAGGCATGTGTCTCTGTGGGCCTGGGGTGTGGCTTATGTAGGCTGATGGCCCAGTAGCAGGTCCACTTCTGTTCTGGAGGCTCTCAGTATCCTTTCCATTTTAGTATGTGTATTGGTTCTGTCCAGCCACCCTAGTTTTGAGTCTTCCTTCATGGGGGCCCCATTCTCAAAGGTCTTACCTCTCCATTTTCTGGTGGATCCCCATTCCCAAATGTGCTGGTCACCACCAACACCAGTGTCTCGTGTTCAAGGGATACGACGTCGTATTCATCCATGCACAGAACCTGTGGGCAATGAGAAGACACGTGTCCTGGGGCTCTTGGCACCTGCTGCCTGGGCCCCCAGATCAGATTCGATCTCTGAAATGCCTGTGGATTCCAGTGTTCCTTATGGAGTCCCTTGTAACCCTCCCCCATTCTCCAGGGCATCTATGAAGGTGCCAATAGACTCCCGCCCCTTTCCATTTCCCTGCCCCTCTGGGCTCAGTCTTACCCGGGGATCAAAGGCCTTCCGGAAGAGCCTCCCAAGCTGCTGTGCATAGCTCTGGGCCCGGCCAGTCTCAGAACCATACAGGATCGTGGCCTTCACTCTCTTGGCCATCACTGTGCCCATGAGTGAAGCAGAAATCTTCACGGCACTGCAGGTGAGGGTTGAGTGAGGGCATTCCAGGGGCACAGGGGTGGGACCTCCCTAGTGTACCCACCAGGTTAGGACTTCCAAGGGCAGGGGTTCATACAGATCACAGCAAGGTTTTGGAGTGCTGGGCCTAGCCCACTGCAGGGTCGGGTCCCCCCAGGGTGTGCTTTGGGGAAGGGTGGTGCTCCCAAGGTACCCACTTGGCCACTTCCTTAAAGGTCTTCTTCCTGGTGATGCCAGTGCCCTTGGCTCCACTCCCCTTCCAGGGGTCTGGCTGCAGGAAGTGATGGGTGGGGGGCAAGGGAGGATGAATGAAGAAAGTAAAAGGTTAGAGGTTCCTGGAACTGTTTGGCTAGGGTTGGGTCCAGATGGGTCTAAAAAGGGCAGGAGCCAGCTGGGGTGGGCACCTGGTAGCGGAAGGCAGGGGACAGGAAGTAGTTGACCATCTCCTGATGGAAGACAGGAGTGAGGCTTCCTGAGATGGGGGGCACGATCCAGGCCCAGTCGGCAGGGCAGCCTCCTCTGGCCTTCTGCTCATTCTCAAGGTGCTTCATGAAGGAGGCTGTGGCAGCATGGTGGTCCACAATGGTCACTTTGGCCAGCTGGGAATGGGGGAAAGAAGGTCAGCTTAGATGGGACCCACAGCCTCCATCCATTCTTCTTCTCTCACCCTAGAGCACACTGCAACCTAGATCACCCCAACATAACGTGTTCCCTCAAACTATGATGTCACCCCCCATAGCACAGGTTGCATGGTCATGCTTCAAGTTCAATGAGCCATAGTGGTTCTAATCTCTGGAATCTATGTGCCTTACCACCCAAACTAGAATATCCCAAACTCCTGAGAACCCATAGAGCTTCCTCAGTAGCCACTAGTGTCCTTAAACTATAGCTTGCAGCATGTAGCATTCCCTCAACCCTGAGATTCAAATTGCCAGAACCCAGTGAGTGCCACAGTGTGCCCTGGGAACCTGAGCTACTGAGAAGGCATCAATGAAATCCCTGGAACACAGCAGGCCCAGTCTTACTGCACCTGCAATAGCACATGCTGACCCAGAACTGCAGGCCCAGTGTTGCCTTTGGCACTTGGGGGCACCCCTCCAAGACTTGTTGCAGCTTCTAAGTGCCCTCCCTTTGTGCTGCCCGCCCTCCCAGCCAGTCTGGCCTTTGCACCTGGTAACTGTGCAGTACAGCCAGGTTGATTTCCACGGCTGCCTTGTCTTTCCACAGGGATGATGTTGTCCGGGTATCCAAGTCCATGCAGACGGCCACATCCTGGGGAAATGGTGCTCATGGTGTTGGTCGGGAGTGCAAGGGGAGTATATCTACCTTGAACTCGTGGGAAGAAGGAGCGAGGTTGGCAGGGGGGTGTGGGGAGGCCTGACCACCTAGCGTGAGTGGGCTTTGGACAGGGCACCTGCACAGACCACAGAGGCACCTTGGGCTTCCTTATTCTTTATCTTTGAGAATTTGCTAACGGTTATAGAGCTATAGATCTTGTCCTCGGAGACACACACATACACACACCCTTGGGTCTCAGCCTCTGTGGTTCCAGAGCCCCGTCCTCAAGTCTGTGAGAGGAGGCAGCCCTGAAGCCCACAGAGCTCAGAGAGCTCCACTCCTGGCTGACTGGCCTTATGCAGATCCCTGCTGGAGTCAGGCTCCAGCCCCGGGTGCAACCTGAAGCTTCTCTGTACCTCCAGGATGTTGTAGCGGTGGGGGTCGCACAAGTTGCGCATGCCGATCTCTGTGCTCATGTACCAGCCGCTGAACGGGGCTGCGGGGAACTCCAGGCCCCCAATTTCCAGCAGCATGTTGGACACGGCCGGGAGGGCGTACCAGCGCAGGCCCAGAGCTGCGAACCACTCCAGCCTGGGGGTGTTGGGCATCACATCAGCATCCATAGGAGTCTGCACCTTGTCCCTCCTCCAGGGGCTCAGGCATGGCCACCTCCACCCCACCCAGTTCCTTTTGTGCTCACGTTGGGTGCTCCAGGGGCACCTCCAGGACCAGCTCTGGGGGCAGAGTGAAGAGTTCTGGGGGCTCATCTGGTGCCTGAAGCAGCAGGGGCAGCACATCGAAGCGGCCGTTTCCTGGGGTCCAGCCATGCTGGATGCAGAGCTATGAGGAGGGAGGGGGCAGAGGTGGCTGCTAATGGCCCTCGGTTAGACATCTCCTATCACCCTCACTCACTGGCCTGTTTCAATGCTCGCCCTGAAAACCCCTTTTTGGACACTTCCATTCTTCCTCTCAGCCAGGGATCCCCTCTTTCCGTCCGTAGAATCCCCTTGACTGGCTTCCCCACCTCGGTGATCTCTACGTTGGCTGGGTCTCCCCGCACGGAGCCGTCCTGCTGTCGGTAGCCTGCATAGCGCACCAGCTGGCTGTTCCAGATCCGGAAGTCTCCGCGGCCCGGGGAGCGCTGGGGGAACACTGTGATGGCCGAGCTGAGGCCGGGAGGACAGTGGTCAGAGCCCCTACCCTGCACGGTGGGGGGCGGGGGAGAAGGGCAGGACCTTGCCCAAGGGAGGGCACTCACCGTAGGTTGCCCCGGTTGGTGGCGTACTTGACGTGATTGCAGACGTAGGTGAACATTTCTTGTGCGGACCTGCAGTCCCGGGCATCGAACACCTGAGTCCGCCGAGGCAGCGGAGTGGGTCGGAGAGAGGATGTGGTTTTCAGTGTCAGCTAGAGGGATCTTTGTGTGCAGCTTACTGGGGAAGAGCCTGGCGCTGGGGGCACCACTCGCTGGGAGCCGTGGCTCTTCCTTCTTGGAGGCATCTTGCTGATCCCTGCGCACCCACGAAGACCCCTTCCTGCCCCGCGACCCTGAACACTCCACACAGCCTGGTCCTGCTTCCTTTGTGGGGCACATGCCTACTTGTTCCTATAACAGCTGACTTGCTATTTGGTACAAAGAGGGGCCAGTCACTTCTGATGCTTGCAGAAGGGCCTCAGTGGTCAGGGAGGCCAGCCAGAAGAGTGAATGCCAAGTTATCCATCACCTGTGTGCTTAAGCACAGGCAGGTGACTATGGCTGGCCTATGGATATCCTGAGCTCACTGATGCTGGGCTGGGCGGTGTGTGTGTGTGTGTGTGTGTGTGTGTGTGTGTGTGTGTGTGACTGCATTGGGCAGCCTCCAGGGACCCTGCTGACTTCTATTAAGCTAGGAGGGGTCATCTTGAACGAGTGAGATGCCCCTGAGGAAAGGTTGGGAGGGTCCATTCCTGCCCCAGGGTGGGTCTCTGGTGGAGGAAGAAACAATGACAGGGTTGTGGTGGCTGACCTGTGGCCAAGCGAGGGACATGGCAGCAAGGGAGGGTTCAAGGCTGAGCTGGAGCATTGAACAACTTAAAGGATTGATCATCGACAGCCAAGATGGGTCTTTCATGGAGACTCCTGTGGGTTTGGCTGGGAACATGGCCTTAGTCCTAAGGCTCTGGAGGCTGGTTACAGTTAAGAGACCCAAGGCCATGAGTCCAGTTCCTCTGTGGGTCACTCACCTCACGTGTGCCACACCTATAGGTTGCTCCAGTGAGCTGGGTAAGCACAGAGTTTGTGGGCTGGCTGTGAACGATGGTATGGGGCTGAGGCCATAGGGAACTGGGAAGGAACAGGGAGAGTATGGTCTGGAGACCAGACTGGGTTAGGTAAGGCACAAGTGGAAGCAGACACCCAGAGGGCCTTTTCAGAAACTACCCCCATGGTGGAACAGATGGTAAAAGGCAGCCTCTGTGGTACTGATATTCTGCATGGGCACTGAGTCCTGGCTGTTCTACTTTGCTCTAACTTCTTGCTGATGTGCTTGCCCCCAAAACCAAATAGGAGATGCAGAAGAAGCTGATGGCTCCTGGCTTCCAACTGGCCCGGCTTGGCTGTTGTGGTCCTTTGGGGAGTGAACCAACAGATGGAAGATTTCTGTCTCTCCTCTCTCTGTAACCCTGACTTGAAGGTCAATAAATTAAAAAGAGAGAGAGAGAGAAAAGAAACTGCCCCAGGAGTCCCTACCTGTCTGCCTTCCTCCATTGCCTGGGTCTGGATTTGTCTCTTGTTCTGTCCCAACTCACAGTGTTAGCTCCTGGGTGGATTGACCCCCAGGCTCATAGCGGTGGGAACTGCTCCACTTAGCTTTCCAATCTCTAGGAGAGCAGGCAGGGATTGTCCCTGCCCTTTGGACCATCCCTTCTTCTCCCTCTAGGAAGCTTCAGGAACTCCCGACCCCCTCCCCTTTCTGTTCCCATGTCCTGTCCTTGACAGGTGTCAGTTGACCACACCTGCAGCTTCCCCCACTGGATCCGGCCCACGCAGCGGGGAGCGTTGCGCCAGGCCTGCTTGGCTCCAAACACCAGTTCGCTTTCCCGAAGTTGGTAGGTGCCTGTGGCTGCCACCTCGGCCTCAACCTCCTGAAGCCGCTGCTCATGGGCCTGGGAGCCGCTCCTGGGGAGGACAAGATAAGAGAGGGCCACAGAGTCCTTGTGAAAGCTAGGAGAGGGCTGGTGTGGGTACCGAAGAGGGTCCACTGGGGTAGAAGGGAGGTATGGGGAGGAGGCAGGAAAGTCGCAAGGTTTCTAGGATTTCAGTGGGACAAGGAAGACTGTGGGTGTCAGGGGAGGCCTCACCTCTTGATGGAGCTGTAGTACTGGTTGATGAAGTCCCGGGCCTGACCCAGCAGTTGTTCAGCGGGTGGAGCACCCTGGCAGGGCCGGCTTTGCAGTTTCCGGGGAAATACAAGGGAACCCAGGCAGCGTCTTTGGGTGCAAGGTCCATCCTAGTCCAGGGAGTAGGAAGTACAAAGGTCAGGGTCAGCCCAGGGTTGGCTCAGGGTGCAGAGGCAGGAGTTGGGCTTAGAGGGAGAAGGGGGCTCCAGGGAGGTTCAGACTTAGGGCCAACACAGAGCCTTGGACATGGGTGTGAGGTTGAGCTGGCTTAGGGCAGAACTTGGGCTAGGACTTGGGGTGAAAGCTCCGAGTTACCAAGTCCCTTGCATGCGTGGCAGCTGTTCAGGACTCTTCCCAGGGGCCCATTCCAAGCAAGGCGCTGCTTCCTTGCTTGGCTCCCATCTAAACCCAGACTCCAGCCGTCCTCCCCCACCTCGTCTCCCAGGACAGGGATGGGGCCCAGCCTCACCTGCTGTGCCTGGGCACTGAGGGTGTCGTAGGTGATGCTGCCCACCTCCCAGTTCTTCACTCGGGGGAACTTGGGCCCCTCCGGGGGCCGGGTGAGTGGAGGGCTGTTGGAGCTAGGAGTGGGACTGCATGAAAGAGGTTCATTTCTTTTTGACCTGCTCAGAGAGAGCTCAGGGTCCCCAGAGATAGCCTAGGGCCTTGTCCTACAGTGTAGTGGTTCCACTGGTTTATCATTTGTCTGCCCTCTGCTTCCTTGCCTTTCCTTAATCAATCTTCCCAACCATTTTAGGAGGTAGACAATTCCCCAGGACAGATGAAGTCTAGTCTTCTGCCTGCAGAGGGTCACAGCTGGGGTCTGCTGGCTTGAGCTTTGTGTTTAGCCTCTGGCTGCTTGACCAGGCAGGCCTGGGGCTACCTATGCTGAGGCTGGGAAGGACACTGGGGGCTCAGGGCCCACCTGCCAACTCCTGGCCTGGAGACGGAGTGTTTGTTGCTCAGGTTTGAATGTTCTCCCAGATTTCTTGTGTTAGAAGGTGGCTCAGAAGAGCAGCAGCATTGAGAGGTGGGGTCTCTGAGAGGTGGTGGGGTCCTGAAGCCTCTGCCCTCGGGGATGGATTAACTGTGCGTGGGTTAAGGAGTTCTTGTAGGCGTGGCCGTCTCTGGCCAGCTTGCTCGGGTCACCGTGTGATAATGTGGCCAGAGTGCCGTTTGCAGACATATTCCCAGCCTCCAGAAGCTTCAGCCAAACTAAGCCTCCACTCTACAAAGGCCCCAGTCTGCAGCGCTTTGTGATGACAACAGAAAGCAGCCTCAAGTCAGCACAAGTCCCTGCACCTGCTTCAAGGAAGATGAAGCCCAGAGTCCCAGTGCCCACGGAGGGAGGCCCGGGTAGGCTCCCTCGGCCCTGATTTCCCTCCAACTCATATCCCTCCGGACAGTAGCCGTCTGTGAAGGGAAGGCTCCGAGGCCTTATCATTTCCTCCCAGAGCCGCCGGCCAGTGGTAGAGAGGAAGGGAGGGCCTCAGGCCTGGTGGGCTGCTTCTGAACTGCAGGGCCGACAGCCCTCGGCCTTTCACTGGAGCCCAGCTGCTTGGCCTGGTCCCCCACCAGGCCGGCCTCTCTCCAGGGACCTTTGCCCCAGCGAGAACCTTCTACTCTCTGAGCTGGGGTGTGTGTTGGCGGGGAGGGCAGTGGCCACCAGGATGGCGGGGCCTGGAACAGGGGAACAGGGCCCAGCAGCTCTGCCTTGCCAGTCCCTCATCCTGAGGTCCTCAGTTTCCTGGCCTCTCTCTCCCTCCCCTGTCACCCTGCTTTCCAACTCTCCTGGAGCTAGCCCCCAGTTCCTTGCTTCTGCTGTGAAACCATCAGCAAGGCTGCTTGTTGAGGGCTTGTCCTGAGCCAGAAACTCACAGCCCAGTGGGTCAGTACTGCCAAGTTCTCGATAGCCTGAGGCTCAGACAGGTGAAGCTGCTGGCTTGGAGCTTAACAGCCTCTGCAGGCAGAGCAGCATTCAAACCCTGGCCTGACTCTAGCCGATGTCCGCATTCCCTCAGCCACCTGTCTCCTGCCAGTCCTGATCCCAGCCGTGGGTCTGAGCCACCCTGGCTGTTCTGTCTGTGCTGAAGACCCCAGCCCTCCCAGCTAGGCTTCAGGCTCAAGCTGCCCCTGCCCTGGATCTCAGGCTTGCCTTGGCACTGCCCTCCTGTCTACGGTTAAGCATAGTTCTCACCTGTGATCTGGTGCCGGTGGGGTCGGTGGGGGCGATGCTGGTGCCCGACTGGGCTCCGACGTGGATGTCGGAGAGGCTGGACCCTGCTTACCACACAGCCCGAGGCCCAGTCCCAGCCCCAGGCCACAGGGCGGCCCGGGGTCCTGGCCTACACTCTTCAAGTTGCCCATGTCGGCTCGCTGTACGTCAACTCTGTGGCTCCCTTCAGTAGAGCCCGGGCCTTTTTCCTTAGGAAGCAGGGGGGAGGGGGCCCCTCTGAGCGGAGGGGGCAGTGGGAGGGGGGCTCTCTGGAGCTGGCCCTCGCTCCGCCCCTGTCCCATACACAATGGGACAGGAACAAGGCTGGCGGGAGGCTCTAAGGCCTCGGCTCCACGCCCGCTGGCCCAGAGGGTGGGGGGCCGGACGCCTGGGTTCCGCCACAAGGGCTAGGGCTGATAAGTGGGAACCCAGGTGTCTGGCAGGGTCCTGGAGCCAGTGTGCGGGAGCTGTGGCATGGCAGGAAGAGCAGAGTGGAGCAGCCAGAGGTGAGCAAGACTCCTGTGAAGTGAGACCAGGTGGAGGACTCTCCCATTTCGGCCTGTCCTTGAAGGACACACTGAAAGGAGCAGGTGCTGGAATCCCACACCACCCTTCATGACCACAAGGGGCCTCTGGTGTCACCCCTGGGTCTCTCTTTCACCGCTCTCCTGCTTGTGAGTTCTTGGGGACAAGGGCCCAGCAAGAATATGCTGACCTTTTGTCCCTGTGTGTGGCATTAGGGGATCCCTTCCCCTCCCAGCTTTAATTTCCTGGAACCCCTGCCTGCCCCGTGACTCAAGTGGGGTACACAAAAGAGCAGGAAGCTGCCTCCACCCCCACTCTGTCATCTAATGACGCATGCTTCCCTGGGGCAATCGCCCGTTGAGGAGAAAGTGTGGCGGCTCTCTGGGCCAGCTACATAGGAGGTGGGGGGAAACTACAATTCCCAGAATGCAGGTGGGAGCACACCAGTACTCTTCAGGAACCTTGTGTGGCAGGTGTCGCTGGGGTTTGTAGTTCTGTGCCATCTGAGGGCTAAAGAGAGGGTGAACTGAGCGTTTTGGGGGGCTCACAGCGGGTGGGGCCTCAGAGACTGAGAGAAACTACTGTGTGAGAAGTGGAAGCTGAGAGACAGGGTGAGGTAGAGACTGGGAGAGGCAGACAGGCAGACAAATAAACATGTGGATTTGTGTTGGCCGGATTCCTTTGGAAAATAGTGGAGGATAAGGTTGGGGTGGGCCCGGGTTTGGAGGGGGTGCCAGGCAGATTGGACGGAAGGAACGGGCTGTACTGAGGACTCTGGGATCACACCGAAAAGGGGTGGGGGTTGCCAGCTTTGGAGGCAAGGGGGAGGGGACGTAAAAGAGAAACCTGCCCCTGGATGAAAAGAGACAGGAGGCCACCCAGGGCCCCGGGGGATGCGAGGTGCGATCCAGGCCTGTCATTGACACTCATTTCAGCTCTGCTGTCTGAGGCACGTGGACCCCAAGTCCAGCTCCCGTATTCAGACACTGCTGAAAAATGTGCATGGCCAGGAGTGACTCCCGGCTCCCAAGTTGCAACAGATGGAGTGCTACCATTGTGCAACGCTAGTGTCCTCTGGACTCGTTGTCTTCCCCCCAGCCCTGTCTCTCCACTGGCCGCAGTCTGTTCCTGTGGTCTTCTACTCCATCTGACCTCCACACAGCCACCAGATGCCTCTCAGGAGCAGGGCTTGCCTCACACTTGGCGCTTCTGGAAACCTTCAGCCCAGGCCAAAGCCACTTGCATGCACTGGCCTGGCCCTCAGCTTTCCCAGTGTGCTGCCTGTGCTGCACACATGGGTGTGCGTGCTCAAGGGTTCCCGAGTTGTTCTGGTGCTGTCTGACTCTGGTCTTTGGCTTATCCCGTCACTCCCATGTTTTTTGTTTCCCTCTGATTAAGCAAAAAAAAAAAAAAAAAAAAATTTTTTTTCTTCCTCCAACCTTGGCAGCTCTGGGAGGATCCTGCCCAGGTCACGCTGTCAGAGAACAAGTGTCTGTTGCTGGCAGTGCTGGCAGTGCTGGCAGTGCTGGCAGCTGACTCCTGCCTGCTTCCATTCCTGTGCTCACAGCAACCTCACAGTCACTGGATCCTGGGGGAGGTAGGTAGGCCCCACTTTCCTGCCCCATTGGGACCCTTCCATGGAGACTCTGCTGGGCTGGTTGACATCCAGAGCTCCCTGCTCCAATCATGTTCTCTTACCTTCTTTGCCTCCACAGGGGTCAGACCTGCAATATGTTACACACCGGAATGGGGAAGGTCTGGGCAACAGGTTGCATAAGGCAATCCCCCTCGCCCCCCGCCCCGACACACAATCACTGGTCTGGCCCTGCCAAGGCAACTGCAGGTAGGAGTTGAAGTTCAAGGAATCTATAGTAGGTTCATTTAAAAAATAATTATTTTATTTATTAGAGAGAGAGAGAGAGAGATGTTGGTCTTCCATTCACTTGGTTCACTCTACAAGTGGCCATAAAAGCCAGGGCTGGGCCAGGCCAGGAGCTTCTTCCAGGTCTCCCACACAGGTGTGGGGGCCCACGTGCTTGGCCATCCTCCGCCATTCCCAGGACCATAAGCAGGAAGCTGGAACAAAGTGGAGTTGTCAGGACATTAACTGGTGCCCATATGGGATGCCAAAAGTACAGACAGCGGCTTAAGTTGCTGTGGCACAGTGCCAACCCCATATTTGGACAATCTTAGAAATGGATCTTATTTGCTTTCTTTTTTTTTTAAGATTTATTTATTTTTATTGGAAAGTCAGACATACAGATAGGAAGAAAGGCAGAGAGGAAGATCTTCCGCCCGATCATTCACTCCCCAAGTGACTGTAACGGCTGGTGCTGCGCAAATCTGAAGCCAGGAGCCAGAGCCTCTTCCAGGTCTCCCACATGGGTACAGGGTCCCAAGGCTTTGGGCCATCCTCGACTGCTTTCCCAGGCCACAAGCAGGAAGTTAGATGGGAAGCAGGGCTGCCGAGATTAGAACCGGTACCCACATGGCATCCCGGTGTGTTCAAGGCAAGGAGTTTAGCCTCTAGGTCACTGCGCCGGGCCCTCTTATTTGCTTTTTAAAAAATGTTCATTTGAGAGAAAGAATGAGAGCAAGATAGCTATCACTCATTCACTGACTTACAACTCAAATGCCTGCAACAGCCAAGGCTGGGCCAAGTCGGAAGCCAAGGAGCTGGACGCTCAATCTGCGTCCCCGCATGGCTGCCTGGAGCCTAAGTACGTCATCCGTCATGTACTGCCGGTCAGGGTGTGCAATAGCTGGGAGCCTGGCTTGGTTTGCAGCTGATCTCATGTACTCTGAAGTGAGAGGCAGGGTCCCATCCCAAACAGCATCAACTCTCGCCCCAGACACCCACTTTCTGATTGGGCTTGATGTGGGACAGAGAAGTTAAGGTGTTATTGTGGCTGACTGCTTGGACTGCCAACTGTGTTTTATTGTAATTCCTGAAAAACCAATTTTCAGGCTTTTAAGGTTGTAGCTTAACTAAAAGGAAATGAGTTACATTTTGTTTACTTTTATTTTTTAAGATTTATTCATTTGGGGCCCAGCGCGATAGCATAGTGGTTAAAGTCCTTGCCTTGCACGCGCCGGGATCCCGTATGGGTGCTGGTTCTAATCCCGGAGGCCCCGCTTCCCATCCAGCTCCCTGCTTGTGACCTGGGAAAGCAGTGGAGGACGGCCCAGAGCTTTGGGACCCTGCACCCGCGTGGGAGACCCAGAAGAACTGCTGGCTCCTGGCTTCAGATTGGCTGGGCTCTAGCTGTTGCAGCCACTTGGGGACTGAATCATCGGATGGAAGAACTTCCTTCCTGTCTCTCCTCTCTGTATATCTGCCTTTCCAATAAAAACAAATGAATCTTTAAAAAAAAAAGATTTATTCATTTGCAAGGCAGAGTTACAGAGAGGAATACACATACAGAGCGAGAAAGGGAAGGAGAGCTTTGATTGATTGATTTTTCCATCTGCTGCTGGTTCATACCCGAAATGGTTGCAGTGTTTGGACATGGGGCCAGGCCAAAGCCAGGAGCCAGGAGTTTCCTTCAGGTCTCCCACATGGTTGCAGGGGCCCCAGCACATGGGCCGTCTTCCACTGCTTTCCCCGGGCACATAAGCAGGGAGCTGGGTGGGAAGTGGAGCAGCAGGGCGCGAACTGGCGCCCACATGGGAGGCAGGTGCTGCAGGCGGAGGCTGCTTCTGCTTTGCACCCACCCCAAGAAATTCAACTTTTTTTTTAAACATGTGTGATTTAAAATTTTTTTAAAATATTTATTTTATTTTTATTGGAAAGTCAGATATACAGAGAGGAGAGACAGAGAGGAAGATCTTCTATCCGATGATTCACTCCCCAAGTGACGACAATGGCTGGTGCTGCGCCGACCGAACCCAGGAGCCAGGAACTTCCTCCAGGTCTCCCACATGGGTGCAGGTCCCAAGGTTTTTGGGCCGTCGTTGACTGCATTTCCAGGCCACAAGCAGGAAGCTGGATGGAAGCGGGGCTGTTGGGATTAGAACCGTCACCCATATGGGATCCCAACGCATTCACGGTGAAGACTTCAGCCGCTAGCCCACCACGCTGGGCCCAAGAAACTAAACTTTAAATCGTGGAGTCTCAGCTGGAGAGGGCTTTGGAGATAGTCTGGCTGGAAGCCCAGGCCCTCCCTCCCCGACAGAGGTGGTGTGCCCGCTCCTGGGAAGACCAGCCCAGGTCCAACCCTCCCTGGCCCTAATGAGCACTTTCTGTGGAGAGTAGAGACCACTTCCGTAGAGAGGACGGGTGCCCGCTGCCCTGACCACCTCCTGAATTCCAAGACGGTGGCAACTCTTGCTCATGCTTTCTACCTCGCCCAGAGCCATGACCTTGGGGTCCCTGAGTCAGGAAGGCAAGGCCCTGGGCCTAGGGTGTGTGCTCCGGGGCTGCGCAGGGATGTGGGTGACGGGAGCGGAAGGCGCTGATCTTTATAGCCCAACTCAGGGTTGTTCAGTGTGAGCTGGAAGTGCCCCACCCTCTCCAGTATGAGCAGCTTCCTTCCTGCCTGCTGGCAAGGACTGGGTGGGGAGCAGAGGGAAGGCGGGCAAAGCCAGGAACGGGAAGGGGGCAGCCCTGGCCTGTCGGGAGGAATCCCTCCTCCTCAGGATGTCACCAATGCAGGCTGTGTGTCACAGGCTGGCAG